GGAACGTCCTCCCAACGTGAAAGACGCTATACAAATGTCATTTTGTTCTTGTTGATTCACTTCAAGGCTGTTTAATGGGACATTGCTTTGTGCAAATTGACTGCTGCATTCCAATTGCGCACAGCAGTCTACAAACAGTCGAGGATTGAGTGACCAAATTATTATTATAATATTTATTTTTTTGAAGGGATTATTACCCTCGGAAAAGTAATCCACCAATGTACTAACATCCAGGTTCCTACTTACTGCTGGGTAAACAGAGGCCTGTGTGTAGAGTAAGGAAACTTGCCAAACGTTTTGCCCTGCCCGGGAATCAAACCCAGGTCCTCTGGCTTGCGAGGTGAGTGCTCTAACCACTGAGCTACATGACTCCACAAGAAGTATTCAAGATCTTAAACATTCCACATAAATTGAACTCTAATAGTATTTTTAAAATAATTCAAAGTCTGCAACAAGGGGTCATGGAATCAGGTTTAAGAAGAGGCAAAGTTGGGACAGTTCAGATGTAATAATAATAATAATCCTCGCATTTGATATAGCGCTTTTCACGTCTTCTAGACGTCCCAAAGAGCTTCACAGAATATACTGCAAAGTGAGTTGACTGTATATTTGTGGGCGAACGCGGCAGCCAATTGCACACAGCAATGTCCCACAAACAGTCATGGATTGAAAATGACCAATTTATTATTGTTTTGTTTTTTTGGAGGAATTATTATTAGGCTCTGTGTGGATGTAATGGCTTTGTGTGTGTGTGAATATGTGGAATGGACAAGGGTGTTGCAACCCCCTCTCCTTCACCAGTGAGCCTGTGACTGACCCACAGTTAACCTGCTGTTACTCATGGCTCAGAGCATGCCCTGCTCACTTGTGGATCGTTGCCAGAGCTGTTCAGGATTCTCCCACTTCCTCTTCTTCGTCTCTCTTCCTCCCTCCCCATTTTCAGGTCTCTGCTGAAGACCTTTCTTTTCAAACCCACCTTTGGTCACCTTCCTCCCCCTCCCCCTGGCTCGGCCCCGGGATCTGTTACTGTAAAGTGCTCTGAGACGCTGTCCGGCTTGGAGGGCGTTATATAAATCCACGTTGTTGTTCCTGTTGTTGCTGTCCATCAGATGGGGGGTGGGGGGGAAAGAGAATTGCTATATGTGTAGAGTGAGCATAAGGATTCTGAAAAGTGCTATGTAAATGCCATTTGTTGTTGTTGAAGTATAGGACTTTGGTTTATTTTTGACTGGTGGGTTTTTCTGTAGTTTCCATTAGAATCTTTTCAAAGATTATTTTCAAAGTGTCACAATAGAGATGCACCAAAGGGATAAGGACAGGGAGCAACTTAGGGAAATTTTCATTAGTAGAGAATTGGTGCTCGGGAAACTGTTAGCACTAAAAAGTGACAAATCCCCTGGTCCGGATGGTCTGCATCCCAGGGTTTTAAAAGAGGAGCTTATGAGATAGTGGAGACCTTATATCTGATCTTCCAAAATTCCTTGGATTCTGGAACAGTCCCCATGATTGTAAGATCGCAAATGTCACACCACAATTTAAAAAAGGTGGAAAGGAAAAGATGGGGAACTATAGGTAGTTAGTCTTACATCAGCGATAGAAAATTTTTTAAAATCATTGATTAAGGATGTGGTAGTGCGGTATTTAGGGCACAATATAATTAGGCCGAGTCAACATGACTTTACAAAAGGGAAGTCATGTTTGACAAATCTCGTAGAGTTTTTGAGGATATTTCCAGTAAACTGGATAAGGGTGAATCAGTGGATGTGGTCTATTTGGACTTCCAGAAGGCATTCGATAAGGTGCCGCATAAAAGGTTAGTCCAAAACATAAGGGCCCATGGAATTGAGGAGCATATCAACGGATTGGGGAATGGTTAACGGGTAGGAAACAAAGAGTAGGGATCATCGGGTCCTTTCCGGATTGGCGGGATGTGACTAGTGGAGTGCCACAAGGATCAGTCCTTGGACCTCAGCTATTACCATCTACATCAACGATGTAGATGAGGACATCGAAGCTAATATATCTAAATTTGCGGATGACACAAAACGTGGAGGAAGTGTCAACACATAGGATGACATTAAAAAAATGCAGCGAGACATAGATAGGTTAGGTGATTGGGCAGGTAGGTGGCAGGTGAAGTATAATGTAGGGGAGTGCAAAGGCATCCACCAAGGGAGCAAAAACAGGAGAGTGGGAGAGATTGGAATGTGTTAGCGTCCAGAGGGACTTGGGTGTCCTTGTACACCAATCACAGAAAGTTAGTGCAGCTGCAGCAGCAGTTAGGAAGGCGAACGGTATGTTAGCATTCATTATGAAAGGAAAAGAGTATAAGAGTAGGGAAGTCTTACTGCAACTGTATAGGGCCCTGGTGAGACCACACGTGGAATACTGTGTGCAGTTTTGGTCTCCTCATGTAAGGAAGGACGTACTTGCCTTGGAGGGGGTGCAGCGTAGATTTACTCGGTTAGTACCAGGGATGAAGGGGATGAGTTACGAGAATAGGCTGAACAATTTGGGCCTATATTCTCTAGAATATAGAAGAATTAGAGGGGATCTTATAGAAACCTCTAAGATCATCAAAGGGCAATGATAGAGTAGATAGTGGGAGAGTGCTTCCCCCGGTTGGAGAAACTAAAACCAGGGGTCACAACCTGAAAATCAGAGGCAGCCCTTTTGCACTGAGTTGAGGAAGAACTTCTTCACTCAAAGGGCAGTGAATGTGTGGAACTCACTGCCCCAAAGGGCTGTTGACGCTCAGTCCTTGAATATATTCAAGACTGAGATAGATAGATTTCTTATTGCAAAAGGGATTAAGGGCTATGGGGATAAGGCAGGTCAGGTTATTAGTTGGAGTTAGATTAGAAGATCAGCCATGATTGAATGGCGGGGCAGAGGCTCGAAGGGCCGAATGGCCTACTCCTGCTCCTACATGTTATGTTATGTCACATTGTGGTACATGATGTGTGGTGAAGTGTGAATTTTCAGGGTAGATACACCATCTGCAAACTGTTTTCCTGCCGGTGCCCTTCACTTTTCTGACCCTAATCGGCTGCTCGTTCCTCTCCCTCTCTTCCACCATCATTGTCAGAGACTTACTACACCATGCCCCTGTCTCTGAATTCAACACCCTTTGAAATCACCCCTTCTTCCCTCCCTACAGGCAAATCTCCATTATTTTTGTGAAATGCTTTGAGATGTTAATTCTAACCTCTGAGCTTCTGTCTTGTGTGGAATGTGGTACGTAAATGCAAGTTGTTGTTGTATGTGCAAGGTATCGTGAAAGTGTTGTATAGCGTTTTGGGCACAAAATATAAAGTCAATTCACTTTATCTCAACGACGTGATAAGGCGCTATATCAAATGCAAGGTTTATTATTGCTCAGCAGTTATTTCACAAGTGGTTGTGTAACCCTCAGAAGAGGCTGTTGCCGCATCAATATGGTGAATTCTGTGCATTGAAGGAGCTGGCTGATTGTGAGCTGGGGAGTAGAGACATAGCCACTTCCTTCATTTCAATCGCTCTTTCCCTGTAACTCGGTACAAAGATCAAGTGAAGCTGTGCTGAACTATGTGAATGGCACCCTTCTCACTGGGAAATGTGGCCTAACATTGCTTTCTTACCTCCTGTGGGCAACTGGACAGATTCCCATCAGTACAACAGAGCCAGGTATTGAACAGCAGAGATCAATCAGATGTAAAGTCTGAGGAGTCACTGATCCCCTCACACCTGAGACAGTGTGTGGAATTCAAGCCTCTTTGGTCTAATAATCAAAGGAATGTTTTACTTCCTGGTATTTGTTTCTTATATCCTTGATCACCTGTCTGCTCACTCCACTTAGCGGGCTCCGGTCTTCTCCATGTCCCCCACCCAGCACACCCCACCATCGGTGGTCGGGCCTTCAGCCTTTCTGCCCCCCGCCCCTTGGAACTCCATCCCACTATCCATTTACCTCGGCTCGTCCTTTGCCTCCTTCAAGGCCCATCTCAATACCCTCGTCTTGGACCCCTAACCTATCTGCCCTCCATCCTTCCTGATCCCAACCCCCAGCTCGGGTCAAGAACCCTTGACTGTCCAGCGCCTTCAGATGTCCACCCGAAGTGACAGCTGCTCTGCAATTGTTGTTGTTCTTCTCCCCTTTTAATACCATCCATCTCATTTCTGTTATTTGTCTGCCTGTTCAGAAAGATGTTAAAGATCCTGTGACAGGATATGAAAAGAGACGTGAGTTTCTCCTAGTGTCCTGATCGACAATCCTCCAGAAACATTGGTCATTCATTGCACAGCTGTATGTGGTGCTGTGCACAAGTTGGCTGCTGTGTTTTCCCTCTGTACATTGACTATGTTCATAGTAATTCTTTGTGAAGCGCTTTGAAAGTTTTTGAAGCTATTGGTTCTGTATCAGTTGCAAGGTTATTAATTCTTCAGCACTTGATTGCTGAGAATTGTTATGCAGGTTTTGGTGGGGATCGTGATGCACTCTTCCCTGGTCTTCCCTTCCTCCCTCCCTCCCTCCTTTCCAGAATAAAAAGGAATTTTAACATGCAAGCCAAGAATTGATGGATTGCAATGCAAATATAACCTTTGCAGTGTCAGCAGATGTGCAGAGATGTGTGTGTGCCGGCTGGCTGGGTCTGTGCATCTTCAGACCCAGAATTAACATCATTTTTGGGACAGAAGGCGGTCATTCGACCGATTGTGCAGGGGCACTGTTTATCTGAGTCGCCCTTTTATTACTCTCACTTTCCAGCTCTTTTCTCCACATCCCTTAATATGTTGCTTTTACAGTCACTTTTTCAGTTTCCTGTTGGAGAAATTTTAGTGGAAAGTTGGGAAGGTCGGGAATACAAATACATGTTTTGGGCAAAAAGCAAAACATTGTGATTGGCCAATTTTGCCTGTATGCGCTTGGGTTAAGTAGAGAGCCAAACTCCCCTAGTATGATTGTGCTTTTATATGTGAGTTTCTGTGAGCTTGTCGTAATTGTGTGTTGTGTTCTGCAGGCGCCTCTGTGGGCATATCTGGCCTGTGCTCTTGGGCTGTTTGTCTACCAGTCACTCGATGCTATTGATGGGAAACAAGCGAGAAGAACAAACAGCAGTACTCCACTTGGAGAGCTGTTTGACCATGGCTGTGATTCCCTCTCCACAGGTAGGACTCAGTGACTAAGTCATGTTCAGATTAATGTGAAGTAACTCTTGGATTCTCAGCAGGCAGTGTGAAGTACTTTGCCATATCATCCTGGTGTGTAAGGTGCTATATACATGTATTATTGGTCTGTGAGCACTAAGTACCTGACAACTTTTGACACAACCACTAGAGATGCAGTAACATGTCATGACTATGGCGCTAGCAATTGACAAAGCATCTTAGTCAGGAATAGGGACTGACAGCTGAAATAGAAAACGATCTGATGCGACTGCATTTATTCACCCTGCTGCCTGACCTCCCTAAGACCACAACATCTCCTATGAAGAGCTTAGAGACATCGGGGCGATGTGATAAGACTCTACATCAAATGCAAGAATTATCATTATTATTATTTTTATACACACGGTAATTTATTCCTGCAAATCTCTATTTAGGCTTTTCGAATATTCTTTGCTCTGGTTCTTTACACTTAGTACTGGTGTCCACAAAGTCCTTTTCAGCGCCGTGGGACGTCCTCCCGATGTGAAAGGCGCTATACAAATGTAATTTTGTTGTTGTTGTCACCCCATTACAAAACAGACTGCAGAGTCGCTGAAACAAGCTGTCAGATGCATTTTGCCTCCTACTCGATCCATGCTACAGAAGATGTCACACCAAACATGGTGGCGAATCATTATCTGCCATGAAAGTGATGGTGCTCACTCACACTGATTCGCTGGGCATCTAAATACAGTTACACACTTGTACGGAATACAATTAAGAACTCCTGAATAGAATTATCATCATTCTTCCACATGTTTCAGTTGTTGGTCAGTGCAGTATAGAGAAAAACACACACACGAGGATAACATGTCTTTGTGGACACTAGATGCTTCAGGCTTGATGTATTAAGCAGGTGTCAGCTTGGCTCGGTTGGGAGCACTCTTTCTTTTGAGGTAGAAGATTTGGGGGCAGTCCCGTACTATGTCAGAGTGGCCATCCTTTGTATGACACATTAAACTGAAATCCCATCTGTAAAGACTTGGTTCAATGCCTCTGTTTTTCCTCCCTCTTTCTATGTGGAAACTTGTGTGTAGAAACTCTAGTCCTAACCCTAATGTCCACCACACCATGCTAGGCAGCTTAACACACATGATTCTCTGGTATACATACATCTGTTGCAAATTAGTCATGGTTACACAATTCCAATTTGACTATCAACTAAAACTTGTGTTCCCAAACAGACTGTTTCCTTTCCAGCTTTTGTGATGTTTTCTTGGGTTCCCTCTGTGCAGTAACTCACCCAGAGCCTAGTGTCCTCCCTGTGCCCTGCCCAGTACAGTGAGTTATTTAAACCCTGTAATCACCTGTGCTGTCTCTTTCCGCAGTTTTCGTGGTGCTGGGAATCTGCATTGCTGTTCAGCTTGGCACCAACCCAGACTGGATGTTCTTCTGTTGCTTTGCTGGAGTCTTCATGTTTTACTGCGCGCATTGGCAGACCTACGTCTCTGGGACCCTGCGTTTCGGCATGTAAGTGTCCACTCCCGTGGGGGCCAAGGGTCCTACTTGCACACAGTAAGGTAGCTCTGATAGTGAACGGGTTAGGGCTTGTGGTGTGTGGGATTGAGCAGAATCAGCAGGTCCTAGGTTTACTCCGCTCTGTGTTGAATGATCAGCTGTAGGGGGCTGTAGGACTGGACTCATGATATCTGGTAAAACATCTGTCAGCTTCCCATTTCTTATGGTTGTCCTGTAATTTCCACTAGATAATGAGTTTGGATGTGGATCGAGGGCAGGATTGGAATTGAGATCTGGTCTGATTGCCGCTCCCCTCTCCCCTCTCCTCTCACACTTAGATACACTCAGACACATACAGAGGATTATGAGATTGCAGAGGAGCTGAAACAAGCTGTCAGATGCATTTGACACACACTGCATTCATGTCGTTGCACAGTGAGAAATAGGAAAGCTCTTATACATTTGAAAAGGGAAATTTGGTTTGACTGTTAATGTTCTAGCAGGAGGGTGGGTGTGAGTTATTGTGTGTGAATGTGTGTCCTCCTCCAGCCTGGAGGAGTGAGTTCTTGTGTGGTATCCTGCGCTTTGGGACCTCCTCCCGACGTGAGAGGCGCTCTCCAAATGTAATGTTGTTATTGTTGTTGCTGGCACCTGCCGGCAGCTGCCCTGAATGAGACAGGGTGAAGTTTAGTGGAGGCTGGCCCTGACATTTCATGGTGTTCTGCTGCCTTGTAAACAGAACATCACTCTCATTCTCTCTTTCTCTTTCACTCACTCTCTCTTTCTCACTCTCTCACACTCTCTCTTTCACTCTCTCTCACTCTTTCTCTAACTCTCTCACTCGCTTTCTCACTCTCACCATCTCATTCTCTCACACGCACACTCTCTCTCACTCACTCTCACTCCCTCTCTCACTCCCGCTCTCGCTCTCACCATCTCGCTCACTCTCACTCACTCTTATCTCTCATTTACTCTCTCTCTCACTCACTTTCACATCTCACTCTTACACACGCATTCACTCTCACACTCACTCACTCTCTCACAATCAACAACAACAACTTCGATGTATATAGCGCCCTCCACACCTCCATATCTCAGAGCTTCACAGTAACGAATGCCGGGGCTGAGCCAGGGGGAGAGGGAAGAAAGTGATCCAAGGCGCGGTCAAAAAAGAAAGGTATTCAGCTGAGACCTGAAAATAGCAAGAGAGGGGGCAACGCGAAGGGAGTGAGGAAGGGAGTTCCAGAGCCTCGGGGTATAGTGGCTGAAGGCACGGCCGCCGAGGGTGGAGCGGAGGATTCGGGGGACGAGGAGGAGGCCAGACCTGGTGGAGCGAAGGCAACTGACTTTGTTGTGAGGAGAGAGGAGGTCAGAGAGGTCGGGGGGTGCAGAGGAGTAGAGGGAATTGAAGACAAGGGTGAGGATCTTGAAGTTGATCCTCTTGGGACAGGCAGCCAGTGCAGTCTGGCAAGGACTGGGGTAATCGGGGAGCGGAGTTTGGTGCGGGTAAGAATGCGGGCGGCAAAGTTTTGTATGATCTGGATTTTATGAATGGTAGCGGAGGGGAGGCCGGCGAGGAGGGCATTTGAATAGTCCAGCTGAGAGGTGACAAATCACTCACTCACTCACTCTCTTACTCTCATTCACTCACACTCACTCACTCTCTCGTACTCATTCACTCTCTCTCACTCAGTGCTGCATATCGAACAGCTGACATTTTTTCAGATTCTTAAGATCATTTTGCCACAGCTTTTTCTCTTGTATTTAGTATTTAGTTGCTACATCGGTGCAGTCTGTGGTTACAGCAGCAGGAAGTGAGCAAAGCTGATCTCTGTACAGACACTCTGTAAAGCAAGGCTTCAGTGGCGTCAAAAGTTGCGATAGTCACAAAAAGGATATCCTGGGGGTAACTGAAGCCAACTTGCAACCCTCTGTTTGGACACTGACCTCCTGTTAGGCACCTTCTTTGGATTCATAGAAGTTGTTACTAGGAATGACATCCAAAGAGAAGCCACAGCAGGGAACCTACAGTATTTGCTTTATAGAAAGCCTTTTGTGAATCAGTTGGAGGCCAGTTACTCGTGTGTAAGAGGGTGATGGTGTAGGGGTCCCTGTGTGGTTGTGGTGAGGGCTAGTCTGCCCAGGGTGATGGTGGAGGTGGGGCGCTGGTGCTTTATTTACCGTGTCTCACTTTTCTTTCCTGAATCAGATTCGCTATGACAGAAGCTCAGATTTGTATTGTAATGGCACAGATTGTGACAGTGATTGGGGGCCCTTCATTGTGGAATATGATGGTAAACAGCATCTCCCTGCTCCCCATGTCACTGCATGCTTTCTGTGGTCTTTGACAGCTGCTCTGGCCATGCACCGTACCCAGACAGTGATTCCAGGAGAGATACACTCGCACTTCTCCAGCCTGCGTACTCTCCCCCCCCCCCCCCACCCCCCTAACTGTAGAGATTAGTGTACAGTGTTGTTTAAAACTTTTCAGGGATTCATAGATTCATAGAATGTTACGGCACAGAAGGAGGCCATTCGGCCCATCGAGTCTGTGCGGCTCTTTGACAGAGCGTCACTTTCACTAACCCCAATCACCAGCTTTCTCCTCATAACCCTGCAAACCCGCCTTCCCCGATACCTGTCCAGTTCTCTCTTAAAAGCTGTTATCGAATCGGACTTCACTGCCCTTTCAGGCAGATCATTAATTGGATAAATTGGATAGCCCCAATTTAGCCATAGATCCAAAATTCCAAATGTTCTGACTAGGGGTGGGACCTGAACTAGCCCAGGGGAGAACAACAACTTGTATTTATATAGCGCCCTTCACATAGGGCACTGTATTGCGGCGCTTAACAGTGCCTGATGCCAAGCTGTGAGGGAGCTGGGATGTGACCATAAGCACGGTCGAAGAGAAGGGTCTTCAGTTGTAATCTAAAAGAGAGGAAGGAGGAGGGAAGTCAAAGGGATTGAGGGAGAGAGTTCCAAAGCACCGTCACCGATGGTGGAGCGGAGGGGGAGGGGACAAGAGACAAACAGGAGGCCGGAGCCATCTGAGCGGAGGCAGCAGTGGTGTCTATGCATGACCTGCTAGGAGCTGAATTGCTTCTTTCGTGAGTTATCTTGGCTGGAACAGGGTGTTAAGTTCAACAGCTCCAAGCTCCTAAATTTAGCACTGCTGAACTTTCCTGATGCACTGACGTAGGGTATAAGTTACTGGGAGATGCTCCTCAACATCAACAGCTCAGCTCACTCCAGCAGCTTTAGGTGAAAAATCTAATCGATCTTTGGGAAAAGTCTGATGTTGGCCTTCTGAGCATGGGAATGGGATTCTTAGAATGATTTGCATAGTAGCAAATGTTGAATAGGTATTATTTTACTTATTAATTCATTGCAACTGTGTCCTAATGGCACTGGGCCCTGTGTAGTGTACAAGTGCTGTGGCAGTGTTACTGTGGGGAGATCTACTGAATTCTGGGTTGACCACGTCTATCAATTATTTGGGGGTGCCTCAACACAAGAACATTTTTCATTTAATGTGTTCCAGAAATCGATAGCAAATGTTTTACATTAGTCAGACAGGCCAAAGAACCCAGTGTCAGAGCACACAACTGGTCAAACTCTGTCAGTGCGACTATTAGTTCCCCTCCCTCCCTCCCTCCCTCCCTACCCTGGTATCTATCCACGGGCGTGTATTCATCATGGTAACTCCTCACCGTGGCTGACCAAAAGGTAAGTTGCAGGGTTGTAGGGAGCTGGTGGAGGAGTGGGACAGAGGGTTCACTGCATGACTGAATTACATTTGCTTGGCTTACAATGAATTGACTTCCCAAAGTTGCTCTAACAACCATTCTGCTTCTCTCACCCTGTCAGAATTGATGTGACTGAAGTGCAATTCTTCATAATAATCCTGTTTTTATTGGCTGCAAGTGGAGGAACTGCATTTTGGGAATCTATGGTAATTAATTAAATTCTTTAATACAGTATCTGCTTTCTTACTCTGAGAAAAGACATGGCAAACATTGGCAAACGGCAGGTCTCTGATGAAGGAGGAAGGAAGAGGGAGAGAGGAAAGTTTGTTTGCCTGAGAGGCAACTCCCTGATTTGTGGATTCCAAGCCTCAAAATTGGCCTGTAAATTACCAATGGAATAGCAACATTAACCCCACAAAATAGTCAATTCACTTTTCAATATACTCTGTGAAGCGCTTTGAGATGTCTCAACAACCTGATAAGGCATTATATCAAATGCAAGGATTATTATTATTATATTGTAAAAGCTTCAAAACCCTCCTGTATTCAGAACCATTACTGATGTGCTCTTGTTTACTGCTGTCCTTTCCAGGTATGTGTGGACATCAATGATTAGATTGCCTGGGGCAAGTAAATACTATTAACCTTATTAGGAGCTGCAATGTCCACCTTTGGGGAGCCAGCCATTAATTTGGGGTAATTTCCAGATGATTTGGGATGTTGTGCATTGACTTCGGCCCATAGAACCAGACTTATAATGATTTGTGATAAATTCTGTGCTTGCACTTTCCTGCTGCAGTTTGTGTGGGCTGTGGTTTATTCAGCCTTCAGAGCCTGTCTGCGGCACAGAGCATTCAGGCCACAGTGCTTTTCTTTGTGATTCTTTTGCCATTATTTGGCAAGTGGACATTGCAAAAAAAATCCTACCATAAGTTTGCTGTAGACATTTCATAAAGTCATTCTGATACTTAAGTCACAAAATCAAAAGTCCGGGCAAGTGTGCAACATCACTAATTTCCAACTGCAATATTGAGTCAGATCTCCAGTATTTGGAGATGCTTGCAGATCGCCCACAAAAAACCCAGTCACTACACTTTTACAGTATATCCTGTGAAGCACTCTGAAATGCGGCAACCAAGGCATGATGGTGCTATATCAAATGTAAAGATTATTATTATTTACTCTTATAATAATATTTGACATAATTGAATAAGTGGCCAATGATGCGCCATATCACGTGTGCAAAACTTTTTGAAATTTATTTTCCTGATGATGGCACTCAATACTGAAGCACATCTTCCAGCTGCCTCTGGTTAGCAACAGCAGTTTTGTGTATGTTGTTATCGTTGCGCAAGTTTTCTTACTCCATGCAATAAACAGGCTGTTAAGTGGCGGATCGCTTTTCCGGAGACAATAATCCCTTTTTTAAAAGAAATTGGTCACTCAATCTACGACTGTTGGTGGGATATGGCTGCACACAATTGGCTGCCATGTTCCACCCACAAAATGTAGTCCATTCACTTTACAGTATATTCTTTGAATGGTTTTGAGACGTCTTAAGGACGTGATAAGGCGCTGTAACAAATGTAAGGATTATTGTTATGTTAGTTAGGGTTTGCAAGATGCCCGGTGTGCCAGCATGTTTGGGGAACTGGGAATATCACCACAGTACAGAGGAATCTGATTTGGAAGTGCAGAAGTGCAGCATATGCACCCACATCTAGACCTACTTGCACACACACATACACACATTCCACCAGAGCCCCAGGACACACAGGGTTTGTATTCCCTGCTTGGCTCTGCCACTCAGTTTGCAATAAGGATATTGGGTGTTGGACAGTTTTTCAACAGCTGAAATCACCAAATGTTTGCACTGTCTGACACTGTAACTAGGTTGTAGGTTAAATATGTTGCTTAGAATTGTGCGTATCACTGAGTGTGTACATGGTGAATGCCACGTTGGAGCTGGTACTAGAATCATATTTTGTGCTTTGCTGTTTTTCTTCCTCATGAAGATTCCAGTCTTGGACATCCAGGTGAAGATTGTGCCAGCACTCTTTGTATTAGCAGGAGCTATTTTCTCCTGTACCAACTATTTCCGAGTCATCTTCACTGGTGGTATTGGCAAAAATGGTTCCACCATAGCAGTAAGTTGCGAATCTCCTGTTTCCACCTGAATGCATGGCTTCAAACCACCCACTGCTGTGCCAATACATAGTAGTTTACTCAAACTCTGCTTTCAGTGATGTAATTTGCACGGCCCATGTAGAAGTTGTCAGTAAAGCGAGAGAGAGGGATTTTGTATCTCTGTACAAATGTTTTGGTGGTTTAAAGTAAATGTAGATTTAATGCCATGCACTTTAATTTGACTTATTTCATTACAATTGACAGTACAGTACACAAAGGCTTGGTAATAGCTGAGAGACCCTTGTACGAAATAACTAGAAATAGATCAGGTGACATTTAAAATCAAGCTGTCATCCACTCATTCTGGCTGTGTGTTTAAGGTCAATCTGTAGCTGTGATATGTTGGACGGCTGTGGTTGTGAATCAGCTTCGGACAATGTTGCTCATGCTGTGATTCTTTTTACAGGGAACGAGCGTGCTTTCCCCTTTCTTCCACATAGGCACTGTAATCACTCTGGCAATAATGATCTACAAGAAATCTACCAGCCAACTATTTGAGAACAATCCCTGCCTCTACATTCTTGCGTTTGGCCTTGTTTCTGCAAAGATAACCAACAAATTAGTGGTATGTACTTTCACTCTTATCTCTGCAAATCGAGAGGCTGTTGTTGGAGTAGAATGTTGCCCTAAGATATTTGGTGAGCAATTAGCTTGATTTTGCTGGTGAACAACCTACATTGCTTCCAGGGAATGATTTACACTGAAGCCCAGGGAGCTGTGGTTGATGCACTAAATACATGGCAGTTTCCAACAAACTAGATCAGAGGTTAATACCAACAAATGTCACAGGGCGATTGCGATTGTGATATCAAGCCTCACATCAGGACCAGGGTGGACAAAAGGAGAGTGGACATCCTGTTCTTTTTGAAAAATATCATGTGCCATTTCTCCCTCCTTCCCTCGCTCCACTGGAGGTGACTATTTTTTGCCACTCAATGCTGTCTGCTTCTCTTTCTCCTATTACCATTGGTCATAGGTGAGCAATGTGTCAGCCTGGGTCAGTTGGTAGCACTCTTGCCTTTGAGTTAGAAGGTTGTGATATCAAGCCTCACATCAGGATTTTAAACTTTTGAACTCGTACTCGAGGCTGAAACTCCAGTGCAGTTTGGGGGAGGCCTGATTATCGCTAATAATAGAAAGGCTTTGTTTGTCTGTGAGGAAACTCCCTTATTTGTGGATTCCAAGCTTCAAAATTGCCCATAAACTGCCAGTGGAATAGTAACATTGTAAAAGCTTCAAAATCTCCAGTATGAAGGCTTGTGCCTGGTGCCCTGAATCAGAAGGTTGTGCCTTCAAGCCCCACTCAGGACTTTGAGCTCATAAGACACTCCAACACAGTGTTGGGGACCACTGCTTTGTCAGAGGTTCCGTCCGATGGATGAGACGTTAAATCTAGATCCCATTTGTCTATTCAGGTGGACTTTAACGATCCCTTGGTAACTATTTGAACAAAGAAGGAAGTTTCTCCCAGTGTATTGGCCAACAATCCCCTAAATAAAATGTTTGTGGGACATTGCTGTGTGCAAATTGGCTGCCATGTTAGCCTTCAAATACAGTCACTGCACTTCACAGTAAATCATCAAAGCACTTTGAGATATTTGGAACACGTGATCAGATGCTATCTCAAAGGCAAGGATTATTAACAACAACAACAAGATTCCATTTATAAAGCGCTTTTCACATCGGGAGGACGTCCCAAGGCGCTGGACAGTTGGGTCAGGACCCGAGCAAGGGGGGAAATGGTCAGGGTGAGGGGGGGGGGAAGGGAGGGAGCGATGATTAATGGGCCCTCTTCTGCAGCTGCTGTATGCAGGTGTCAGCAGTGTTTTGAAGCACCTGTGTTGCTGTGGGCAGTAGAGGTTTGTTGAGGTTTTCATAACCAGGAGGCTTAAAAAAAACACAATTTGTGGAGTGTAATGGAATATTGTGAAACCTTGGCAATCCGTCAAGTTTGTAAGTTCTATTGGGACTGTGATTGGCAGTGGCAAGTTATGGTAAAAGTTCTGTTTTCTGATTTCAGGTCGCCCACATGACGAAAAGTGAGATGCATTTGCAGGACACAGCATTTATCGGCCCAGGCCTCCTATTCCTAGACCAATACTTCAACAGTTTTATAAATGAGTATTTGGTGCTCTGGATTGCTTTGGTAAGTGCAGTAAATAATAATATTAATAATAATTCTTGCATTTGATATAGCGCTTTTCTTCTAGAAGTCTCAAAGCGCTTCACAGAATGTACTGCAAAGTGACTTGACTGTATATTTGTGGGCGAAACAAACAAAGTAGCAAGACAACAACAATAACTTGCATTTTTATATAACGCCTTTCAAGTAGGTAACGTCTCAAAGGCTTAAGACAGGTTTGAAGGGTGTTTGAACTTCACAGATGTTAATCTTCTAACAAGATGAGGCTAGTTGATATTAAGCAAACCATTTCGTAACAGTCATAATATTCCGAAACAAAACTTATAGTGGGTAAATATCTGCAGATCACCTCTGAGTCAGACAGAGATCCTGTCTGCTTGTTAAAAATCCTATCGGATTATTTGAAAAGAGAAGGGAGCTTCTTCTGATTTCCAGGCCAATAATCCCCAAGATAAAATTGGTTGTTTAATTCATGGCTGTTTGTGGGACATTTTGTGTGCAAATTGGCTGACCTATTTGCCTACTAAATACAGTCAGTACACTTAACAGTAAAATCCTTCGACGCACAGCAGAATCCTTTGAAAGTACTTATGAAATACTGTGGGAAGAATGCACAGCACAGGAGCCATTTGGTGCATTGTGTCTGAATTACTTGTACCTGCCTTTGTTTTATTAATCCCACTTGTCAGTTCTTTCCCCCAAACGTTTTAATGTTTTTACTGCTCAAGTGGTTACCCAGTTTCTTTTTGAATGATTTTATTGATCCAGCCAAAATAGCTACTTGTGGTAATGAATTTCTGATTCTGACAACCTTCTGAATGAAGAAATTTATTCTATAAAACTCCCCTGCTAACTGTAAGACTATATCCCACTGTTTGTGGGACACTGCTGTGCAGAATTGGCTGCCGTGTTTCGCCCACCAAATATACAGTCAATTCACTTTACTGTATATTCTGTGAAATGCTTTAAGACATCTTGAAGACGTGATAAGACACTATTATCAAAATGCAGTTATATTTATTATATTTCATGCTCACTTGCTCAGTTCTGTAACTGAAGGAAATGTGCTTTTCCTGTTGGTGCCCTGCAGTATTTTAAATTAGGTTATCTGTATTGTCCCTGTCAACTATCATCCTAATAGATCTGGAATATCGGTTTCTCTGACTTCCTTTGTGATGGTGGTGGAATTAGGTTGGGGTGGAGTTAGGTTTTCTTCAGCTGAACGTCGACAAGATGGAAGCCATACTCTTTGGCTCTCGTCAACGTCTAAAATCTCACGGCTCTCACCTCCTCCACCTACCCGACCTCCCCCTAAAACTCTCCGAACCCGTACGCAACGTAGGCGTCAGGTTCGACCCCCAATTATCCTTCCTCCCCCACATCCGGTCCCTCACAAGCACCGCCTTTTTCCACCTCCGTCACATCGCCCGTCTCCGCCAATACCTCTCCCCAAAAGCCGCTGAAATCCTAGTCCAGGCCTTTGTCACCTCTCGGCTGAACTATTCTAATGCCTTCTTTGCCGACCTCCCCTCCCCTCCCCTCCCCGCCCGCATTTTCACCCGCACCAAACTCCGTTCCCCGATCCCCCCAGTCCTGGCCCCACCCGTCCTCCCCCACCCCCAAACCCCACTCCCCGATCCCCCCAGTCCCGGCCCCACCCGTCCTCCCCCACCCCCAAACCCCGCTCCCCGATCCCCCCAGTCCTGGCCCCCCCGTCCTCCCCCACCCCCAAACCCCGCTCCCCGATCCCCCCAGTCCTGGCCCTACCCGTCCTCCCCCACCCCCAAACCCCACTCCCCGATCCCCCCAGTCCTGGCCCCACCCGTCCTCCCCCACCCCCAAACCTCACTCCCCAATCCCCCAGTCCTGGCCCCACCCGTCCTCCCCCACCCCCAAACCCCACTCCCCGATCCCCCCAGTCCTGGCCCCACCCGTCCTCCCCCACCCCCAAACCCTTATTAGGAGATGACTGTGTTGCTGAAGTCACCTCCTCCACCTACCTGACCTCCTCCTAAATCTCTCCGAACCCGTACGCAACCTAGGCGTCAGGTTCGACCCCCAATTATCCTTCCTCCCCCACATCCAGTCCCTTACCAGCACTTTTTTCCACCTCCGTCGCATCGCCCGGCTCCGGCAATACCTCTCCCCAAAAGCCACTGAAACCCTGGTCCATGCCTTTGTCACCTCTCGGCTGAACTACTCCCAACGCCCTCCTCGCCGGTCTCCCATCCACTGCCATCCATAAAATCCAACTCATTCAGAACTCTGCCGCCCGCATTCTCACCTGCACCAAACTCCGCTCCCCGATCCCCCCAGTCCTGGCCCCACCCGTCCTCCCCCACCCCCAAACCCCACTCCCCGATCCCCCCCAGTCCTGGCTCCTGTCCCAGAGAGGATCGATTTCAAGATCCTCACCTCGTGTTCAAGTCCCTGCACTCCTCTGCCCCCCCCGACCTCTCTGACCTCTCTCCTCAAAACAGTACGCGTTGCCTTCGCTCCTCCGGGTCCTCCTCGTCCCCTGAGTCCTCCGCTCCACCCTCGGCGGCTGTGCGCCTCGAGGCTCTGGAACTCACTCCCCCCCTCACTCCCCACACTCCCCGGAACCTCACTCCCCCCACTCCCTGCAACCTCACCCCACCCCCTCCCCGGACCCTAACTCCACCCGCTCCCCGCAACCTCACCCCTCCCCGCAACCGCAACCTCACCCCACCCCCTCCCCGGAACCTCACTCCCCCCACTCCCCGCAACCTCACCCCTCCCCCCACTCCTCACCCCCTTTGCGTCACCCCCTCTTTTCCTATTTTCAGGTCTCGGCTGAAGACCTTTCTCTTCGACCGCGACTTTGGTCACCTTCCCCCCTCCCCCTGGCCCCTCCCCCTCCCCTGGCTCCCCCCTCCCCATGGCTCCTCCCCCTGGCCCCTCCCCTGGCTCCCCCCTCCCCTGGCTCCTCCCACTCCTCCTGGCTCCTCCCACTCCTCCTGGCTCCTGTCCTGTCAAAGGAAGAGTAAGGAGCCAAGTAACGTTCTTGTAAAACCAACTCCAAATAGAAATGGCTGAGGGGAGGGATTGGGCTGCAAAGACGTCTTGGAGTGAGACTGTTGTGAAAGTAATGTGAAATGTTAAGAAGCAGATCTATGGCTTCTTTATGGAACCAGTGAGACTTCTGGTAGTAGATGATGGGTCAGTATGTTCCTCCAGTGAGTGAGGAACATACACTGTAGGAAATCCTAACTCTTGATACGTTTGCTCCACAGGTCTGGTCACTGTTTGATTTAATCCGTTACTCTGTTGGTGTTTGCAACCAGATTGCCTCCCACCTTCACATTAATGTCTTCAAAATCACTCCTCCAACATCGCTGGGGAGTCAGCCAGACCACAACCATCACCAGTGACCACACGTGTTCATGAAAGGAGGAGACAATAGAACACAGCCGAGGGAATGTACATAAAGAGAAAACTGAACAAAATCTTAATTTATAGTTGAATCATTGTTCTGTGCAATTTTTTATTTAAAGCCTGAGTTTCTGAATGAAGACTAACACGCCTAAACTAGCATATAATGATGGGAGGAGCTCAATCTACCCCCTGTGTGCATGCATACCTGTAACGTTGCCTCAAAGGCACCTCAACACAGCTCAAAGGAAGTGGGTTCCCCGATGGAGGCATTGTGGGAAGAATAATCATCTGCTCAATACCTATTGTGGATTAACTCCAGTACCCGATGTAGTTATGAAAAGGTATGTTCGGTCTATCTTAGGTTTGGAATTTTTGTCTAGTCCTACAGGACACACACATTAGAGGTTTCAAAATGTCTGTGCTTTTGTATGCCAGTATCAAAGGGTTTGGAAACTGGACCTTGGGAGAGCTAGAAGGCTGGATAGTGGCTACGCAGCTGATGCTGACTGAAGCCACACAATGCTGGTGAGATGTAGCTCACCACGATTCTCAATAGCATAAACAAGATATTTTTGACTTTTAAATTTCTAAGTCTTTTTAGGATTTGAAAGAAAAGTATAACTGGAGCAGTGGCACCTGTTGTGGATTGTGTCCCTGATCCAGTTTGTTAGTGTATTTTCTGACCGCCCGTTACACCAGTGGAACTGTGTTCTACACAGAAGTGTACGATTGAAGGGAAATGGAAAGGTTTGTATTGGTCTCTTGTGTCTAAGCGCAAGGCCTTTTGATGTGCTTCATCCCCTTTTTGTGATGGAGCAAAGTGCTTAGATGCTTAATGTCAGTTTCAATAATATCAGTGTGCAGAATCTGCAATGTCTCCAAAGGTCAGCCCCTGGAGTTGAAGCCAACTCACTGCCAGGTGGGTACTGCTGCTCAAGGACAGGTACCTCCACTTTGTTGTTGCCTCTGAGCCTAGAAATATCCCAATGCGAGTCACAATACCTTTCTGATCACGCTGCTACATAGGTGCTATTAAAAGAATAAAACATTTCAATTGTAAATCTGCATTGAGCAATAATACATTAACAATTGCCCACTTTGCAAATCCTTTGAACCTAGAACATTTTCTGTGTATTAGGCTTGAAACCCTCCCTCTATATGTCTTTAACGTGCATTACAACCTCAAATAGTTACAGTCCCTGGAAGTTGAATGGTTCATAGTTAGGTGTAAATGTAAAGATTTACTCTATAATGGACGATGATCCTACTCTCCAATACTGAATTATCAAACGTTACTGTCTATTAGTCAAAAATGTAATTCAGCCGATGAGGAACAGAAGGGACTTGGTGTGTGAATAAATGCCACTCAGGACATGCAGTGTTGGCCAATCGTGGTGTGTTCTACCCCCTACCTCATAGGCTGTTGTCATTCTTCAAATGGAAGTGTCAAGCACCTGATCCTGTGTGGCAGTTGTATGTGGAGAATGAAGAGCCGTGTGACTATCTCATTTGAACTGAACTACAAAGTACAAAAAAAATACAGAGCTTTTTTGTATGTGGGTCACATGAGTCCCATCTATAATGTGGGCAGTGCAGTTCCTGTTGCTGTGCATCTGTTGTCTGATTTATGAATGAGAATCAATGGAAATGGATTAAAATAATCATAATCCAACTATTCGGACAAGTTTTTGGATTGCCAGGGCTAATGGTTCCGCAGTGCCGACATTATCTACTTGTTACATAAATCTCTTCCTCGCCTCTCCGGCTGACCAGTGTTGCTACTGCAAGTTTGAAGTAGCCATTGTAAATTACTGCACGATGAACCTTTCTAGTTGCCATCACTGAGAGGGGTATTTGTAACTGAGAAAATGATAATCTAATGGTATACAGTGAAAAATGGTTTGAAATGTGCTGATGAGGCTTTCAGTTGAAAGTTTCAACTGTATTTCTCTGCAAAACACCCATAGAACCACGGCCTACAGCCATTATCGGCATAGAAGCAAAATTGGGGGAACTGGATTTGCTTAAGTCTGAGTAAAAAGTTCTTTGACTCATTGTTGATTGGTAACAATACTCGTGGCTTGTACGCTTATACTCTGGAGCACTGCTGTCATGAAACTCACCCTTTTGACTAAATCATCACTTATGTTAAGTAATGTGCGTCTTTTGGAAATGACAGAAAACATTCCCCTCATTTATTGGTTAAAAAAACCTGCTATAAATTAGAAATCTGTTTTCAAAAGTTCCAAATGTTTAGAGAAGAATAAATGTCCTGTATTGTTTGTTTCAATAACAAATGGAAAGATTCTCACCGTTTGTGTAATGGTAGTCTGGTGCTAATTCTTAGGTTGGCTATTGGTCCCTTATCAACCTGTTATAAAATGGGTGTGATTTGGCGCCACTACCACCAGTCTAATTTGTCCTGTGTGCTGATAACCTGTAGGCTAGGATAGAGAAGCAGCGTATAAAGTTAGCCTGCCCCTCTCTGTAAGTTGCTCTCGTTCATCAGGAGCTTTACCATATAGTGACCTTATGTATGTTTTTGTCTTCTGCTATGGAGATCCTGGATAACTGGACAAGGCAAAATGGCAATACACAGAAAGTCACCATGCATATCTAAGGAAACCCTTTCATATTATTGCTTTAAATTGCTTTTGCACGAGGGATCTTTGATTTGTTCAGCAATGTGATAACGTGACACAATCAGGCAGCGATTGAGGGTGGGAATGTGAATTTGTATTTCTGTGTTTTCATTTGGAGTTTGATCTACTCTGCTCGCGAAGCCCTACCCTTGGATTCACAAACCAGTGGCTAGTATTTATTTTGATCAATGTGTATTTATTATTATATTCTTTTTCTAATGTGACACTCCTTTCTTGTACACATACTACTTTCAGTATTTTGAACAGTGCAGGGCTGTAGTTAAACAAACCGTATAAACGTTGTTGGTGTAGTCATTGAAAGGTCTCATATTTGGCCTATAAATTTTCAGACACTCCAGTTCTTGTCTATTCTATTGCAATGCAGACTGAGTAACCATGCACCAGTTTATTACCTCCCCCTAAACCTCAGCAAAACCAGTCCACATCTCATTGAAAATAACAAAACTATGCAAATCTGAAACTTGTGCACTGCCTGAATTGGCTCAAATTCCTTCACTATTTACAGTGACTTGGGGCTCGATGGAAAATGTAAAAAAGCCACAAATGTGTTTACGAATAAATAGCTTAGTGTGTTTTATAACCTCACTTCCCTTATATTTACAGAACTTGGTTGGACTTGTACTTCTGCAGTTTTGTTAAATTTGCAGCAATTGGTCTCTTTCAGTAAATTATTACTCTTAAGCAAGAAGTTTTTTTTCTATGGTGTGCTGTGATTACTTGTCAATCCGAAGCTGCACTCGGATCAGAGGCCACAGCTGCAGCCCTGTCTGTCACCAGATTTCCAAAAAGCCAGAGACAATGAGAATGAACCAAAGTGCTGTTTTCTGCCACGTTTTCATGTGCTCTTCCTGACTGCACAAAGTTTTGACATTTTCGTCACCAGTGAACATCCATCCTGTTGTGTAACTGGATTTAACTGACTGGATTCCTGTGTCAGCGCCTTTCACTTTGGCAACGGGATGTAATGTTTAGATGAAAGCGATGAAGATTTCATTTGTTTTTTTTTGCACAAATATACATTTCTTTATGTACAAACATGCAAATGACTTTCACCTATTTTTGCCTTTTCATGTAACCAAAACTCTTTGAATCTTTATGCATACTTGTAATTTTCTGTTGCATTTAATTTTAAATAAAAAAACTAAACGCTGGTGTAAATAAAGATTGCTCTATTCACTATAAAATGCATCTAGGATGTAGTCTAATTCTGTTTATTGCTTATTTTTACCCACTTAACCTTGAGCCCTATCTGGACAGATTTATTTTTATAAATTTTGATGAACTTTTTATTCTGAAGCTCTTATTTTGAATAAAGTTGCTACTGGTTACCAGAATACACGGGACTTGGGAAGCTTGTTGTACTGTACTTATTCCAATGTGAGAAACAATTTTATGTTCCAGTACAAGGTTAATTACAAATGAAGTGAATATTATGTGTGGGGGGGGGGGTCGGGGTGCTGGTGGGCAGAGCTGATGTGCCAAGCAATGAAATATGAGAATTGAGTTAGATTGTCTGGCAGTCTCAGGCTGGTTCATGATCCACATCAGCAGTACTCCCAGGCACTCCTATTTGTTGATCAAATAGCCTGGCTTGTCAGAAGATTTGGAGGGGCAGACCAGTTACTGAGGGGCAGGGATTGGCTCCTCTTAACTTTGCAATCAAAGCCCTAAAGGGCAGAGTGGCCGAGCAGCAGGAATTTTACCAGGTGGTATTCACAATGGCAAGCTATGTGGGTTCAGATAGTTAAACTCCAGCAAACCCGCAAACTGGCATCCTCAAGCCTTGGCTCTTACCATTCTGCTTGTAATCATTTCTGGAATTAGATAAGGAGGAGGCATCGATGGGGGAAGTCCAATTATTTTTTAAAATAAATATGCACATGATTGTGCAATTAATTGTGCCCCTGACTTTGTCAATGGTAGGATTTGTACCAGTGCAGATTTCTATGAGGAATCATGATGTTCATTACTGACAAGAGCCAATGTTCAAGGAAATGTAAAAGGAAATATTTCACACCCACACTGGAAAGTCCTAGAGCTTTTCACTGCCCACTGACTTGGAGTAGCCATAGTTCTGCTCTATGTCCTCTGTTACTTATGTATCAAATTAACTTGTAGTTATTCATATTACCCACAAGATACTAGCATTCTAATTCTTTTGTGCTTTAAAATTCTGCAGAAATTGAGTTTTAGGTTTTATATGCAGTGCCATTCCACTAAGAGCATACAGGTCATTCGTATAACTTCAACTTGTATAAAACACTGCTGCAGTTGATGTTCCTAGTGAAACAAATATTACATTGGAGAGGGTACAGTGGGGAACTCTGGGCTGAATAGCGTAATTTCAAATCCGGTAACAGAAAGCACTTATTTAGAGAGGACAATTAAAAGTCTGGAAGGGTGATTCAGACCAGGAACGACTTGGTGCTGTAAAATACAAAATGTATTCTGAAGGGCTGAAATCAAATGGACCATCTATTCTGGTAGAGGATCGATATGCAGTGACTATTCTAGATCTAAGTGCTTTACAATTGGTTAAGTACCTGGAGTTATTCGTAAGGAACTTGTCTTTATCCATCCATCTTCAGGCACCCTCCTACCCCCTCTACCCTCCCTCATTCCCAACCCTGCCCCCCCCTCGGGTCCTGATCCCTGACTGTTCAGCGCCTTAGGACGTCCTCCCGATGTGAAAGGCACTTTACAAATGTAATTTTGTTGTTGAGTTTCAGTGGCAGAAACCCAATATAAGTCGACTAAACCCTCATTGATAAGGATTTGCTTTGGAATGGCTTCTAATCTTCAAACCCATTGGAAATCATCTTGTCTCTTATTCCTGGTTGAGAATCTGAACTATATCTGACATTTCACACAGCGAATTATTTGGATCTGGAATGCATTGCCTGAAAAGATGGTGGAAGCCGATTCAATTTTAAGAGTTTTTAAGAGAGAAGTGGATAATGATTTGGGGAGGACAAGTTTGCAGGGTTATGGGGAGAGCGCGAGGGAAGGGGATTGATTTGGAAGCTCCTTTCAAAGAGCCGGCACAGATAGGTGGGCCGAATGGCCTCCTTTTGTGCTGTATAATTCTGATTCTATGATTTCATGATATTATAAAAAGATACTTTTGCTGTGGCTTATGGAAGCGCTAGATCACTGAATGAAAACATTGTATTATGAAGCATTTTATTTTGAATAACAGATTCACCTAACAATGTAACATTGAGACCCATAGAAGATTAACATTACATACAAAGAATAAATATGTCACGTTCAAAACCATTAACATTTGAACAACTAATTGTATTTAGTATAATAATAAATTAGTTGGCTATTTCAATAATACATGCCTGGTAACAAAAGGAGCTCTTGTGAAGGCAACCACTCCGAATGTGTATGTACTGAATCAGGTCACATGAGCATTGACTGTAAGGACTTGCGTACTGTGGCCATCTCTTGCTGTTGCTGCATTGTGGAAGAGAAAAAAATCATAAATTATAAGAGATAGAAATTGAACTTATTTTTCCTCAAGAAGCAACAATTGTAAGTCATAAAGTGACATCTCATAGAATCATAGAACCATACAGCACAGAGAGGCCATTCGGCCCATCACGTCTGTGCCGGCTCCTAAAAGAGCAATCCAGCCCAATCCCACTGGCCCGCTTTCTCTCCATTGCCCTGCAATCCTGTCCTCCCCAAATACCCATCTACTTCTCCCTTAAAAGTTGTTATTGAATCGGCTCCCACTGCCCTTTCAGGTAATGCATTCCAGATCCCAACAACTCGCTGGTGAAAACATGTTTCCTCACCTCCTCTCTGGTTCTTTTACCAACTATCTTAAATCAGTGTCCTCGGGTTACAGTGGGAACAGTTTTTCCCGGTTCAACCTATCAAATCCTCTCATGATCTTGAAAACCTCTATTAAATCCCCTCTTAATCTTTTCTGCTCTCGGGAGAATAATCCTAGTTTCACTCTCCTCATTACTGAGGTCCTTCATTCCTGGTAGCATCCTGGTGAACCTCCGAATGCCCCAACATAGAATCATAGAATTGTACAGCACAAAAAGAGGCCTTTTGGCACGATCGAGTTTGTGTCGGCTCTTTGAATATAGCAATCTAATGTCAATCCCACTCCCCGGCCCTTTCCCCATAACCTGCAAATCCGTCCTCCTCAAATACCCGTCCACTGCGTTTTTAAAAGTAGTTATCGAATCGGCCTCGACCGCCCTTTCAGGCAATGCGTTCCAGATTCCAGATACAACTCGCTGTGTAAAAAAATTTCTTCTCACCTCCCCTCGGCTTCTTTTAGAAACTATTTTGAATCTGTGACCTCGAGTCACCGACACACACACCAGTGGGAACAGTTTTTCCCTTTCTAACCTATCAAATCTTCTCATGATTTTGAAGACCTCTATTAGGTCCTCGTAACCTTCTCTGCTCCAATGAGAATAATCCCGGCCTCTCCAGCCTTTCCTCATCATCACGGTCCCTCATTCCTGGTCCCATCCTCGTAAATCTCCTCTGTACCCTTTCCAATGCCTTAACATCCTTCCTATAGTCTGGTGCCCAGAACTGGGCGCAGTATTCTAACTGAGGCCTAACCAGTGTTTTATATGGGTTAATCATAACCTCCTGACTCTTGTACTCTATGCCCCTGTTTATAAAGCCCAGTATCCCATATGCCCCTTTTACAGCTTTATCTACCTGTCCTGCCACCTTCAAGGATTCATTTACCTGCCCCCCCAGGTCTCTCTGTTCCTTCACCCCCTTAAGATTGTATTACCGGCCTATATTGCCGCCCCTCATTCTTTCTTCCAAAATGCATTACTTCACATTTCTCCACATTGAAACTCATCTGCCATGTGTCGCCCATTTTACCATTCTGTTATGTCTTCCTGCAGTTGGCTGCTATCCTTCTCACTGTTTACTCCCTTACCTAACTTTGTGTCGTCCGCAAACTTGGAAATGGTACTTGCTATACCCAAGTCCAGATCATTTATGTATATTAAGAAGAGCAGTGGTCCTAATACCGATGTTTGTAAAATATTTTAGAATTCCCTTTAATGTTACCCGCTAACCTTTTTTGTGTAATCTTTTTGCCCCTTGTATTTCCTTTTTTAAACCTTTTTTGCACTTCCTGTATTCGATGTGGTTGTCTTCTGTATCTTGGGTTTGACATTTGTCTACACCTCCTTTTTCTGCTTCATTCTAGATACAATGACCTTCGTAATCCAGGGAGGTTTGGATGCCCTACTGTTCCCTTTTGTGGGAATGTATTTATTCTGCTTCCTTCCTCGTTGGGCTGGAATCGTACTGATCAAGAAAGTTGTCCTGTATGCATTTTAGGAATATTTCCACCTCCATGCCCTTTGCGCTGTTATTTTGCCAGTCTATGTCGGGATAATTAAAGTCCCCCATTATCACGACTATTGGCCTTGCATCTGTCTGAGATCTGCTTGCAGATCTGCTCATCTATTTCCTTCCCACTATTTGGTGGTCTATAGTATACCCCTAACAGTGTAACAGCTCCTTTTTTATTACTTAACTCTAACCAGATAGATTCTGTTTGGGGCCCTCCTGCACCTCGACCCTATCCACGGCTATAACCGTAACCTTGATTAACATTGCCACATTCCTTCCTTTTTTTCCTTCCCTATCCCTCCTGAATACATTATAGCCAGGAATATTCAGCTCCCAGTCCTGTCCTTGTTTGAGCCAAGTCTCTGTTACTGCTACTATATCGTATCCCCATATGACCGCTTGAGCTGCAGCGCACCAATCTTGTTTGCTAAACTCCGTGAATTTAGGCACATGCACTCCAAGACCAACTTGACCTGTTCTGCACTTTAAACCCCCCGTTTTATTTCTCTATTTTCTAGCTCTTTGTTTTTTGCATTCCCTTCCCCCCTCAAAACTAGTTTAGCCCCACCCACCCCCCACCCAACAGCATTAGTTAGCCTGTCTGCAAGCACATTTGCCCCAGCCCTGTTTAGGTGCAACCCATCCATATGGTGCAAGTCCCACCTGTCTCAATGATCCAGAAACCTGAAGGCCTCTTTTCTGGACCATTTCTCCAGCCAAGCATTCATATGCTTAATCCTACCATTATGGTACTTACTTGCCGGAGACGAGGGGTAATCCAGAGCTAACCAGCTTGGATGTTCTATTCTTTAGTAAGTTCCCCAGCTTTTGATATATGGAGTCTCAGCCCTTTTTTTTAACCAATATCATAGATCCACCATTTTTCTTATGGAGGTGCACAGAACTGAACGCAGTCTCCAACTGAGGCCTAACCAGCATTTTATAAATTTTCAACATAACCTCCTGACTTTTGAATTCTATGCCCCTGTTTATAAAATCTAGTATCTTTTAACAGCTTTAATGCTGCACTTTCCTGGTTCTAATCCTACTTGACCCATTACCTCCACTTTGTCTCCTCTAACGGTTGCTCTATTCTCTTTGACCGAGCCTTCAGCTCCCCTCTCGACTCTCTTCCCCCTCCTCGCTCCCTCCCTTCCCTCCCCTCACCCTGACCATTTCCCCCCTCCTCGCTCCCTCCCTTCCCTCCCCTCACCCTGACCATTTCCCCCCTGCTCGGGTCATGACCCAACTGTGCAGCGCCTTGGGACGTCCTCCTGACGTGAAAGGCGCTTTATAAATGGAATCTTGTTGTTGTTGTTGCTCCTTCTGCCTTCGCATGTTCACCAGTGGAATATTTCAGAGCTCTATCCTCAACCCCTTGCTTTTCCTTATTTACACTCACTTGGTAACATCATCTGCAGGCACGGGGTTAACATCCACACCACTCAAATCTACTCATGCCTGGCAGTCATCGCCCATATTAAGCTGCAATTTCTAGGTACTCGCCTCTATTTGTGATCTTCTCCATTCTTTCTGTTCTACCCTTCTGCTTGGAGCATTATCCTACACAAAAAGCATTATATAAATGCGCATTATTACTTACAGTATCCATTAAAATCCTCTTCTGAAAGAGGGCCATTTCCTTGCGGAGCTCACTTTGTACAGCCGACTGCTGCTCCGAGTGACTCTTCTCCAGTTCCTCCAAACTCTGCAAAGAAGGCATGACCATATTTCTTCATCTTATCAACAGTACATGTATCTATGACGCTAGTATAGCTGCATGATGCTGCCAATAAACAGTTGTTACCCTTGATAGTAATCACCTTATAATAAATAATATTAGTAATCCTTGCATTTCATATAGCGTCTTCAAGATATCTCAAAGCACTTCACGGAAAGAGAAGTTGATATTATGTGGGCAGAAGACGGCAGCCAATTTCGCACAGCAGGGTCCCACAAACAGTCATGAATTTTTTTTGAAGGAATTATTACCTCGGAAAAGTGATTCACCAATCGACTATAGCTAAGACCATCATGTCTGTGCCGGCTCTTTGAAAAGAGCTATCCAATTCAATCCCATTCCCCGCGCTCTCCCCATAGCCCTGCAAACTAGTCCTCTCCAAATAATTATCTACCTCTCACTTAAAAGCTGTTATCAAATATTCCACCACACTTTCAGGCATTGCATTCCATATCCCAACAACTCCTCACCTCCCTTCTGTTTCTTTTAACAACTATTTTAAATCGGTGTCCTTGGGTTAACGACCCACTCGCCAGAGGAAATAGTTTCTCCTTGTTCACCTTAGCGAATCCCCTCATAATTTTTAAAACTTCTTTTAAGTCTCCTCTTAACCTTCTCTGCTCCAAAAATAATCCTAGCTTCTCTAACCTCTCCAGGTAACTCAAGTCCCTGATTCCTGGTACCATCCTGGTCAATCTCCTTTGCACCCTCTCCAATGCCTTGACATCCTTCCTAAAGTGTGGGGCCCAGAACTAAACACAGTCTCTCGCTGAGGCCTAACCAGTGTTTTATATAAAGGTTCATCATAACTTCCTAACTTTTGTATTCTATGTCCCTATTTATAAAGCCTAGTAGCCCATATGCTATTTACATGCTTATTCTATAAAGAGCTTCCCAAACTACATTCAATTCACAGCTAATGTCAATTACAGAAGAAACATCAATGAATTTGGCATCTAGCTTTACAGAATCAGTCCTGCAGTGTACCACATCAGGGCAGCTAAGTGCTATGTCAACGTTTAATGTTCAACACTCTCAGCTTGTAAACAGGAGCCATGTTGCTCAGGAACCACTTTCTTACCTTCAAATTATATCCTTAGTAAAAATCATACTGTAAATGACAGGCTAATGAAAGGTGGCAAGAAATGTTAAAATTCAATTTTAAAGCTGATGTAATTGTAATAACAAATGTATTGTCAACCAATCAAATATTCGAGCAATTGACAAATAACTGCAATAAAATGTTCTATTAGTTTTTCAAGTAATTCCAGAGAAGGGAACACATTTTTTGCTATAACTTTCTACATAGTTACAAAAAGCTTATCTTACTTTTACTATTAACAAACGACAAAATACTAGATTCTGGAAATCTCAAATAAAAACAGAAGTCGTTGGGAACACTCAGCAGGTCAGGCAGCATCTATGGAGAGAGGAAAATGAAGAAAGGTCATCGATCTGAAATGTTAACTCACTTTACTCTGAGTGTTCCCAACGATTTCTGTTTTTATTACACCTTTCCTCTTGTTGGTTATTGAACCTTTATATTACCTTTAGAAACTGATCAAAGAGCTGCTTAATACTTTTCAGTCTTTGTCCTTGGACCACTCTCAGCTGCTGGAAGATCTTCTGTTGCTGTCTGAACAAGTTCTGCCAGAACAATAAATAGGAAGAAAGCATTTTTTTTTCAGGTGTGTAAATAACTTGCCCCTTCCCTCCAAGTTATTTTTCTCTTTGATCAGAAACTTCAAACCATGTCAAATGACCTGCTGATGCCCAGGTCTCTACAATCTCACTTCAATCCTCATCAGTAGCATTTCTAGCAGCACAGAAGCTTGATAGAACATTCTACTGATTGTCCAGTGCCTTGGGATGTCCTCCCAACGTGAAAGGGGCTATACAAATGTAATTTTGTTGTTGTACATTTAAATCTCTGGTATTACATCAGCACCAACTAGCATCATAACTTCTGCAACACCAATAGATCAGAAACAGCCAATACCCCAGCCTTGCTCCTCACTAGCAACCTGGACTTGGTTCTGTGCTGCACTAAAAGAACTGAACTGAATGAAGAAATGGGCAATATGCTGTTAAGGATTCAGCGTGGAATTACTGCAGCTGTAGAAATGAAAGAACATTTTTTTATTCCACATTTCATATCACATAACTGTCATGTTAAACTCAAACTTAACTAGTGTCTTGAAGAAATTCCACAGAAGCACAACTATAAATTCCAGACAAATCTTGCACAAAGAAACTTCTAAACACTCACTTCTATTTTCTCTTCCTGATCCTTGGCCTTTTGAATATCTTTCTCCCACTGCTGGAAGATTCCACTAAACTGCTTACAGTAATCATCTGTTAGCTTCTGCCTAAACACCAAGGGCAAAGAGTGTAGAATATTGAGTGAGAGAGGGTGCCTTTCTACATTAGTCAATTAATATCCTCACCCGCATGACTAAAGCTGCCTGCATTTACTCAGAAAGTGTGAAAACATACTAAGTGTGAACTTCCTAAATGCTCGCGAGACAACCTTCTTTATCATTTGATCAGGATATGCGCACGGAACACAGAAACTTGAATACTCAATAAAAACTGTGCAGGTAAAATGGAAGGAACTGTATGAAGAGTTACCAGTTTCAAAAGTTAATAAATGACACTGTAAAAAGTCAATCCAAAGTAGTATCCTGATCTGACATGTAGAACACTTTGAATTTTAGGACAGAAAATATTTTACTACACAAAAGTCGGGGTCAGACTTCGTCACTCTCATGCGCTCCAGGACACTAGCTCATGTAAAGGGCACTATATAAATGCAAGTTGTTATCAGGAAGAAGATGAGAGGGTAGAACACTGGAACAATTTAAGAAATGGCTTGATGTTGGGAAGGGGATTAACTGGGTAGAACAATATCAGTTGGGCTGAAGGGACTTTTTTATCTGAACCTCTTTTGTCATTGTGTGAAAAATATCCACTTTGAAATCCCATTTACAAGTTAGCACATAATATTCCAACTCCTTCTGAAAAGAGAGCCTCACATCAAGCACACTGAAGCCTAATGCCATACGGCCATGAAGTGCCCTTCTCTATATTAATGGGGATATTAACAGTTGCTTTTTATTACCTTTCTTCTTGTTGCATTTTCCAAATCTGCTCTATCTTTTGGTTGCTTGTCTTTAGTGAAGATTTGGTGTACACCTCCAACCGCTTCTTCTTAGCCAAAAGAGCCTTATTGATATCGGCTGTGTGGGGTTAATAGGAAATGAGGTAAGATTTAACACATTAAGTTCACTGGTTTACACTATAACATTGACCCACTAAACCAAATTTAGTCTAGGCTACATCTTTTTACCAGTATACGTCCAATGGGTCAAATAGCCTCTGTTATTCTGACTCTCAATCTTAGCTACAACTGTTTCTCTAATATTATGACCAATGATGTAACTCAATTCTGTCTGCCTTTCCGACCATCAGTCATTGTCCCCACCCCATTCCCATCACTGGTTGCTCCTGTTTGACAACCCAGAGAAGCTCGTGATTGGATGGAGTCTACTGTCAATCAATCATGATTTGACTCCTCCCATCCCATGTTCCTCTTACCACCTCAGTGATCAACAGCCCGGAGTCGCTTAGTGACTGAATGCAGTCTGAAAGGAGCCGCTTAAGACTGAATAGCACAGAGGCCACGAGTGAGTTAATGCATTGGCAACCATCAGCATAGTATTTGGTCCAGAGTAGCTGAATTTTGGGCTAAATAAACCGGCATATTTAAAATATCTTACAATAGAAACAAATTGGGTCCTGGGATTTATTTGAAATAAACACCGTCAAATGTTAACTGGCATCCAAATTAAACGGCCTACACTATATTTTCAATTGTAATAATAATAATAATAATCCTTTGATATAGCGCTTTTCACGTTGGGAGGACGTTCCAAAGCGCTTCATAGAACACACCGTAAAGTGAATTGACTGTATATTTGTGGGCGAACGTGGCAGCCAATTGCGCACAGCAATGTCCCACAAACAGTCGTAGATTGAAAATGACCAATTTATTATTGTTTTTGGTTTTGGAGGGATTATTATTAGGCTCTGTGTGGAGTAAGGAAACTTGCCCAAGTTTCGCCCTGCCTGGTAATAAGTGGTGTCCTGTAGCTTAGTGGTTGGAGTACTCGTCTTGCAAGGACCTGGGTTCAATTCCTAGGCAAGGCAAAACATTGGGCAAGTTTCCTTACTTCACACCTCTGTTTACCTAGCAGTAAGTAGGAACCCAGTTGTTAGTTGATTGGCGGATCGCTTTTCCGGGGGTATTAATCCCTTAACAAATAATAATGAATAATAATTTGGTCACTCAATCCCCGACTGTTTGTGGGACACTGCTGTGCGTCTTTGGTTGCCGCATTTCGCCCACAAAATAATCAATTCACTTTACAGTTTATTCTGTGAAGCACTTTGAGATGTCTCGAAGACATGAAAAGGCGTTATATCAAGTGCAAGGATTATTATTATTAATAATTTCTACAAATATGTGACTTCTGATCCAGCCTCAAAGTTCCAAAGTACTTTGTGTTAAACACCTGACACACTTCCCTCCTCCATTCAATGGCATTTATAAATCATAGGAATGTTAGCAGATATAAATAACTATTACTAGGAATGTTAGCAAATAAACATTTGCCACAATATTCTAGAAACAAAAGTACTCACCGCCAAATCGTTCCAACATGCTGGCAACATCACCACTGTAAACACAGATAAGACACAATTAATTCAGCCTCTGTTCAGCTAGTATTCTGCTCGCCAGATTCTCTTCCGCAGCCTGCAGATTCTCCAGAATCCGCAGTCCTTGTTCTCTACTGCACCAGGCTCCGCAACAAAGCTATCATTTCCATTCTCGCTTGGCTCCAATGGCTCCCTTCCTCCAGCAGATTCAAGATCCTCGTTCTCAAGTTCAAATCCCTCCAGGTTCTTAACCCATCCTAGGGACCTTCTTTAACCCTCCCTTCCCTCAGCGAACATTGGCCTGCTTCATACACCCTGCCCTATCTACCGCACCATCGGCTGGAGAGATTCAGCCATTTTGCCTCTTTGCTCTTTGGAATTCCATCCCATAGTCCCTCTGTTGGAAAGCTTGTTTCATTGAAAAGAACAATAAATACATCTTCAAATGGTGGGATGTAACCAGGCTATTTAATTTGATTAAACAATTCAGATGTAACCAACCTATTTAACTATTTAACCTATTGTAGACAACTGTAGAACATAATTAATAGGCTTTGTATGAGCCTGCAGACTGAAATAAATTATCCCCACTCCCAGGAATGATTAATGGGCATATTGAATTTAATGTTTATGAGCTGGTACAATTTAATAAGTTGGTTAAAAACGCATGAGATGAGGTAGAGTCAAATGGTAAATTTTTATTCCACGCATCTCATTTAAACATTCCATTGTTTGGACATTTAAGGCATTTAATGCTTTTGCATTAGTATGTGTTTGTACTATTTAAATTCTGTATGATAAAAACAATCAAGTTATAAGGAAAAGCAATTACATTCTCTAGATTGATAAACCATATTAAAATACTGTATTCTATTTGAATCAGCACACTATTAAAAGGCATGCTGTGCTGAAAGACATGTGATATGTGTTTAAAGTTGTTTCTGAAAACATGCCAATAGCAGTAATAACTTTCTATCTATTTTTAAATAGTTAAATGTGGAAAGGTTGAGCTAGTAGAATACTGAGCGCTAACTCCATTTCTAATCAATTAACCAGGGAAAGCCCACTTCAGCCACTGTGCTCCCACTCTTTCAACATTACATTGCCTTGCCCCTCTTAATAATACTAATAATAATCCTTGCATTTGATATAGCGCTTTTCACATCAGGAGGACGTCTCAAAGCGCTTCACAGAACACACTGTAAAGTGAATTGACTGTATATTTGTGGGCGAACGCGGCAGCCAATTGCGCACAGCAATGTCCCACAAACAGTCATGGATTGAAAATGACCAATTTATTATTGTTTTTGGTTTTTGGAGGGATTATTATTAGGCTCTGTGTGGAGTAAGGAAACTTGCCCGAGGTTTCACCCTCTGTCTGGAATTGAACTCAGGTCTCTCACTTGCAAAGCGAGTGCTCTAACCACTGAGCTACAGGACTCTTCTCTCCCCCACCTTGAAATCCCTCTTAAAAATTATTTTTGACCCTCAAATTTCCCTGCTTTTCCTCCCTGGTAGGGGAACCCCACTGTTTATGAAGCACATTAAGCCTTTCTCCTACAAGGCACTAAATTAGGGGATGAATCCCAGGATCCCAGGATTATGGTGCTCCCGAAATCCCAGGATTTAACCGCTTCACTAAATGTAACATCCACATAAAGCATTTCTTATGGAGCTGTGACCTCACAAGTTGAAAGACTATGCATGTCTTCTCAATATACAATATTTCTGGAATAAAAGGTACTGGAAATCCGCTCTAGGCCAATCAGTATCTGACAGAGAAAGATGTTTTAATATTTAACACATAAACCTTCATCAGAACCAGAGCACTTCCAACAACATAAAATATATTTAACACATTTCACATTTCTAAGCACTTCACAGAATATTAATTTGAAGCGACAGTAATGGAGCAACATTTGCCGACTGATGTTTTACAAATTTCTGGCTGTTCCAGAGGTTTTAAATCTCTTCAAATACACCTTTGACCAACATCCTAAAACCTCCCTTTGCCTGTTCAGTACTCTCCATTATATCTTTTGAGCACTTTGAGATGGTCATTCAAGTGAACAATGCTATAAAACACATGCGGGTTGTTGTTTTATTTTGGTGAAGAGAGCTGCTGATTCTGAGTTGGTTAATTACAACATGAAACCAGTACTCTGAATACGTCAACCTCCCGAAACGATAGCCTGACAGAACCTCTGACTAGGTGCTTGGCTGCAGTGCCCTCCAGTGCCTCCAACCGTTATATATTTGTAGCTTGGTTTATATTAATCATGGGTTATCACTTAAATCACAGAATAATAGGCAGGATTAGAGTGCGATTTGCTAGTGCAATTGGCTGTTATGTTTGCCTACAAATAGTCAATACACATCACAGCAAGTATCTGAAGTTATTTGACCAAAGGTCATAGATTTCAACACGATAAGATGCTGTTAAAAATAAAAATTGTGTATCAATATAACGTTTCTTCCCCATTTCTTGTTAGGTAAATTAAACCAAAAGAAACATCACAATATATGTCCCATCAACAGCAACAAATTGCATTTATATAAGCCCTTTTACATCAGGAGAATTTCTCAATCACTGGACGGTGAAGGGTTTTCAATGAGGTTAATGATTACAGTAAAGCGGGATAGAGGGGGGTGTGGGGGGCAGGTGGGAAGATGACCAGAGACATGGTCAAAGAAAAAGAGGGGTCTTGAAGAAGGAAAGGGAGGGTGCAGAGTGGAAGGACTCTGGAATGGAATTCCAGAGGGTGGGGGCAGAAAGACTGAAAGCCCGACCACTGATGGTGATGCTGGCAGGGCGGGGGGCATTGAGCAGGCCAGTGCCTGTCGAGCGGAGGGAGCAGGCAACTTGGTAACGTTATTGTAGGTCGCAAAGATAGGGAGCAGCAAGACCATGGAGGGTTTTAAAAGTGAGGATCCTGAACTCAATCCTCGAGCTAACTCGATCTGTAGCTTGTGAAGGGAAGAATTGGGAAGTCTGGCAAGCAGGGAGTTAGCATAGTCAACCCTGGTAATAAAAATATGGTTCATGGTCTCGGCGGCCAAAGACAGACCCCTGAGGAAGGAATGATGTATGTGAGGTAGGAATGATCACAGCTATCCAGCTACCAGCCCATCTCCCATTTCCTTTTTCTGTCTGAGGTCCTGTCGGCTCCCAGCTTCGCTCTTTCCTCTCCTTCCACTCCCTCCATGAGCTTCTCCAATCCGTGTTGCCCACAGCACGGAAACTGCTCTGGTCAAGGTCACAAACAACATCCTGACCATGTGTGACCAGGGGTCCCTCAGCCTCCTCATTCTCCTCCACCTCTCCACCGCCTTTGTCACTGTGGACCACTCAACCTCCTCCACTGCCTCTCCCTCCACCTCAACCTTCAAGGTTCTGTCCTTGACTGGTTCAGGTTTCACACCGCCTTCACCTCGTCTCTGCAAACGGCGTCTTCTCCAGCCCCCGCATCGTCTCGTGCGGCGTTCCTCAGGGCTCTGTCCTCGGTCACCTCCTCTTCACCCTCTACATGCTCCCCTTTGGTGACATCATCCGCAGACATGGGATAAATTTCCACATGTATGCGGATGACACCCAACTCTATCTCTCTGCCTCCACCCTGAACTCCAGGACCACTGGCATCCTGACCGACTGCCTGTCCGACATCAAATCCTGGACGAGGGACAACTTTCTCCAACTCAATGTCAGCAAGACCGAGGCCCTCCTGATTGGCTCGCACCAGTGCCTTGGGCGCTGGCAGCATCAGCCTCCACGGCTGCACACTCAACCTCTCTAAGCCAGTCAGAAACCCTGTCCTTTCTTCCCCACATCCGGCTATGACTGGCACTGCCTACCATCACCTCCGCAACATTGCCAGACTCCACCACTGCCTCACCCCTCAGGTTGCCGAAACCTTCGGCATTTGTCACGCCCTCCTGACGTGAAAGGCGCTTTATAAATGGAATCTTGTTGTTGTTGTTGTTGTCACATCAAGGCTCGATTACAGGAACTCCCTCCTCGTCGGCCTTCCCAACTCTTCCCTTCACAAGCTGCAGATCATCCAAAACTCTGCAGCTCGTGTACTCTCGCGCACCAGGCTCGTGACCCCATCACTCCCACCCTCGCCCGACTCCACTGGCTCCCGATTCCTCAGAGGATCGAATTCAAGATTCTCGTCCTCACTTTCAAGGTCATCCATGTACCCTCCTACCTTTCTGACCTGCTGACTCCCTACCAACCTGCCTAGTCCCTCCGTTCAGTGGGCTCCGGCCTGCTTAATTTCTCCCGCCCCACCCGACCTACTATCGGTGGCCAGGCTTTCAGCCTATGTGCCCCCACACTCTGGAACTCCATCCCACAGTCCCTTCGCCTCGCTTCCTCCCTTGCCTCCTTCAAGGCCGGTATCAAGATCCTCCTCTTCGATCATGCCTTCAGTTACCCTCCCACCTCTCTGCATTCCCTCACCCCTACTCTACCGCTGCCCCATGCCTAGGTCCTGACCCCCGACTGTCCAGCGCCTTGGGATGTCCTCCTGATGTGAAAGGCGCTCTATAAATGTAATTTTGTTGTTGTTGATGATGTATGTGACAATGTGAGGGCTGGAGGAGAAGCCATAAGTGGATACAAAATGGAAATGATGAGAAAGCTAAAAGTGAAACTAGGCAAGAACAGAACTGTGAAGGTGGAGCTGAGAAGAAAGGAGAAGAATAGTGGTCAACAATTTCGAAGGCGACAGAGATTGAGAAGGACCAGGAGACATTATTGCTTAAGTCTTCATACCCAACACTGATTTCATCAATTTCTTCATCTGGATCAGTCATTGCAGTGGATGCAGGTCTCTTCCTCCCAAGTTGCATCGATGGTTGCTCTATAAAAGCAAAAAGTTCCATAAAGATGGGCTACGTTAAACACAAAACACATTCCTCACCTCCACCCTATTCTCACACCAAATGCTGCCAAAAACCCTCATCCATTCTTTTGTCACCTCCCGCCTTGATTTCACAAACGCACTCCTTGCTAGTCTCCAGTTCCACATCCACAAGGTTAAGGTAATACAAAACTGAGCCTTCAGTCACTAACGCCCCTAATCTGGAATTCCTGCACTCAATCCTTCACCTTTCCCCCTCTTTATCCATCTTTAATTCTATCTGGAAAATACCTCTTCAATCACACCTATGGTCACCTTCCCTTTTCTTGGCACACAACCCTACCACTATTCAGTGTCTGAGATATTATCCTACATTAAGGGCATTATATAATGCAAGTTGTTGTTGTGAGCATTGATCGAGTTAAAGCGTACAGCATGCCTGGAGATTAGAAGATACTTGGCAGAATTATTATGTTATAACATAAAATGCCCAATATTCTTAATTGTTTATTTTCCGTCTTAATTTTGGAAAATTCTTAAATATTGTCTTGATTTCTAATCTTTTTATAGACATTTTTAAGGAATGGCTTCCGAATTAAGATCTTTCAAAGTTCTTTTTTATTTTTAATGACTTTTAATTTTAAGACAATACCTATAAAATGCCTATATATATATGTGTGTTTCCCTATAATATACACTGTCAAAACACTTTACAGTAAATAATGCATTCGATATAGCGTCTTATCATGTCTTCGAGATGTCTCAAAGCGTTTCACAGAATATACTGTAAAGTTGATTGACTATATTTTGTGGACGAAACAGCAGTGTCCCACAAACAGTCGTGTATTGAATGACCAACTTATTACTATTATTATTAAATCATGTGAAGCATTTTGAACATAAAAATTAGGAGTAGGAGGAGACAATAGGATCCCTCGAGCTTGCGCCGCCATGAGACATCCTTCTAATATAAAGGGTGAATATCTATTATTATTAATTATGTGGCTATCGGTAGGAAGATTTCAGGCCACTGTTTATAAAACACACCCGTTATGTACAGCAGTTGGAAATTACATAATGGATCTGAAGTGTTGAAGGGTGCACACTAATGTACAGAGAGACTTATAGATGCCAAAAGTACTCATAGCTGCAACATTATTTTCAGTGATTTGTGTAAAAAATAAAGCCAAGCATCTGTTTCCTGTAGAAAACAGATGCAAAGCTTTGGTGAGTTTATAAATAAATGATGCAAAAACACCACATGTCATGTGAATCACCATGGGTTGTGCATGCCCTCTCAGCATGTCAATGTAAGTAATGCTCGACTCTTACAAAGTCAAGGGATTCAGCTTTCAAAATAGTAATGTTCCTTTTAATTAAAGAATAAATCTCTCTCTCACTTTAAAGGTCTTCAAATTAGACACCAGGTATGATTCACGGCCCAAGCCTTGAAATCATCTGGAAGCCGATTTTCCATAATTGATGATGATGGAGGAAACCATCACTCCCCTGAGGCTCGGGAGATGCTTGCATCCGGATAATGCTCAGGGACAGTCCTGCAGATAATGGGACCCCTGAGAGAGGGGTGATAGAGCCTTGGGCTTCAAACTTGTACAACGGATGTGAGTATTTGATAGACCAGACACCTCAGGAGGTGGTCACCCCACACACCAAGGGTTCAGACGGAAAATGACTGGGTGACTGTCCGGCATGGTAGGAAGAGGGGACGGGTTGGGCAAAATGCCCCCAATAGTGTAGCACTCTCAAACCGGTACTCTGTACTGAACATTGAGAGTGTTGATACCTCCAGGGAGGACAGTAAAAAACGATTTGTTGAATAAGGGGACATAGGTAACAGGAGCAATGCTGTTGTCATAGGGGATACAACAGTGAGAGGTATAGACTGTCGTGTAACAGAAGATGGGAGTCAAAGATGGTATGCTGCCTCCCTGGTTCAACAGTCTTAGACATCGCGGAATGAGTGGATAAAATTCTTCAGGGGGAAGAACATCCAGAAGTGGTAGTCCAGGTGGGGATCCATGATATTGGTAAAAAAAAAGGGCTGAGATGCTACAGGGTGAATATCAAAAGCTGGGGAACATACTAAAGAATAGAACATCCAAGGTGGTGATCTCTGGATTACTCCTAGTGCCTCGGGCAAATAAGTACCATAATGGCAGGATCAAGCATATGAATGCTTGGCTGGAGAAATGGTCCAGAAAAGAGGCCTTCAGGTTTCTGGATCATTGGGACCAGTTCTGAGGCAGATGGGACCTGTATCATATGGATGGGTTGCACCTAAACAGGGCTGGGGCAAATGTGCTTGCAGACAGGCTAACTAATGGAGGGGGTGTGGCAATGTTAATCAAGGATACGGTCGTAACCGTGGAAAGGGTCGAGGTGCAGGAGAGCCCCAAAACAGAATCTATCTGGTTAGAGTTAAGTAATAAAAAAGGAGCTGTTACGCTGTTAGGGGTATACTGTAGACCACCAAATAGTGGGAAGGAAATAGATGAGCAGATCTGCAAGCAGATCTCAGACAGATGCAAGGCCAATAGTCGTGATAATGGGGGACTTTAATTATCCCGACATAGACTGGCAAAATAACAGCGCAAAGGGCAAAGAGGGGGAAATATTCCTAAAATGTATACAGGACAACTTTCTTGATCAGTACGTTTCCAGCCCAACAAGGAAGGAAGCAGTGCTAGATCTAGTTCTGGGGAATGAAGTAGGACAAGTGGAGCAGGTTTCAGTGTGAGAGCATCATTTCGGCAATAGTGATCATAACATCATTAGATTCAGAGTGCATATGGAAAGAGACACGGAACCATTTAAGGTGAAGATAATCACCTGGAAGAGGGCAAATTTCAGTGAGTTAAAAAGGGACCGAGCCAAGGTGGACTGGAAAGAAAGATTGGCAGATAAAACAACTAAAGAGCAGTGGGAAGTCTTCAAGGATGAGATAGCTCAGGGACAGAATAAATACATTCCCACAAAAGGGAACAGTAGGGCATCCAAACCTCCCTGGATTACGAAGGTCATTGTATCTAGAATGAAGCAGAAAAAGGAGGTGTAGACAAATGTCAAACCCAAGATACAGAAGACAACCACATCGAATACAGGAAGTGCAAAAAAGGTTTAAAAAAGGAAATACAAGGGGCAAAAAGATTACACAAAAAAGGTTAGCGGGTAACATTAAAGGGAATTCTAAAATATTTTACAAACATCGGTATTAGGACCACTGCTCTTCTTAATATACATAAATGATCTGGACTTGGGTATAGCAAGTACCATTTCCAAGTTTGCGGACGACACAAAGTTCGGTAAGGGAGTAAACAGTGAGAAGGATAGCAGCCAACTGCAGGAAGACATAACAGAATGGTAAATGGGCGACACATGGCAGATGAGTTTCAATGTGGAGAAATGTGAAGTAATGCATTTTGGAAGAAAGAATGAGGGGCGGCAATATAGGCCGGTAATACAATCTTAAGGGGGGTGAAGGAACAGAGAGACCTGGGGGGGCAGGTAAATGAATCCTTGAAGGTGGCAGGACAGGTAGATAAAGCTGTAAAAGGGGCATATGGGATACTGGGCTTTATAAACAGGGGCATAGAGTACAAGAGTCAGGAGGTTATGATTAACCCATATAAAACATTGGTTAGGCCTCAGTTAGAATACTGCACCCAGTTCTGGGCACCAGACTATAGGAAGGATGTTAAGGCATTGGGTATTTGAGGACGGATTTGCAGGGTTATGGGGAAAGGGCTGGGGAGTGGGATTCAAAGAGCCAACACAAACTCGATGGGTCGAATGGCCTTTTTTTTTTGCTGTACAATTCCATGATTCTATGAATTCTATGTCTTGAAAATTAAGGCTAAATTTAAGAAATTTCTCAAATTCTCCATAATCAAGCCAAATTTTTAAAAGATTACTCATCCTACTCATGTTTAATGTTAAGTTTTAAGCGATTTAAGGTGCTACCCCGTGCATAGGGTGCTATATAAATGTAAGTTGTTGTAATGTTTGCATTTGATATACAGTATGTAATGTTGAAATGTTCTATGCATTGCTATCTAATTGAGCAACAAGAGTGTTTTATGAATTTCAGCAAAATCCTAAGATGTTAATTAAATTCTTAAATTTACTGCTAAGATTTCCCATAAAAAAGTGTTAAATTTTGCCCCAGAGGTTATGTTTTTTTAAAAACATTTTAGCAAACCTGATGACTCTTAAATTGTAAGACCACGTCTAAGGGTAAGACCATTTCCTTTTCGGTTTGAAGATCTTTAGAGTGAGAGACGTCTTTTTAATGAAGAGGGGCACTGTTGTTTTGGTAACTGAAATAACCACAAAGTTACCCATCCCTATCAAAGCTGACCAGTAGCTCACAGCAATAATTTTGAAATTGAATGCAACAGCAATCTCTTTAGTTGTGACACTGATATTGGTACCTGGAGTCAATCAGGTTGTTATCTGAGTGGAGTGGAAACCACATTTGCAGAAGTTCCACTGACCTACTCATTTCAGCCCTGTAATCACCATTTAGAATGCAAGCTTGATTTCAAATAGTTATAGCTCGGCAAATTATTTTATGAGTAGACTATTTTTAGTACGCAAATTAGTCATAAAAATATATTGCAACTGGTATCTCAAATTTAAAGAGTAGTTTCAAATCATGAGAATGTTTATAAATTTCAGCAAAATCATAAGATTCTAATTAGTCTTGAATTTACCATTATTCTTGTTTATGAAATTGTGTTGAAACATTATCAGTTAGTTTTTTTTAAACTTTGCACTTTTCATAAATATACTGAGGGAAGGTGCGATACCATGTAAATAATAATAGATGGTATAACAGCTGAAGATACATGTAACCAACTTTAGAGATGACCCATTGAACACTAAAGCACCGAAAACGGCCTTTCAGTTCATCTAATCTGCTCTGCTTCTGTCCTCCAAATGCGTTACCTAACCTAATCTCTCTCCTATTCTCTCTTCATGTCCTTTAATATTTTTCCTTTACAAGCATATCTCTCTTTCAATTATCCGATCATGGGTCAGGTTGGCTCAGTTATTACTACTCTGACCTCTGGGTTAGATGGTTGTGGGTTCAAACCACACTACAATGACTTTTGAGTTTACAGTCTAGGCTGACACTCCAGTGCAGTGTTGGGGGAATGTCTTGTTGTCAGATGTCTCTTACATGGGGCTTCAACCCACATCCGTTTGACCCAGAGGGAAGAACGTTACCGACTGAGAAAAGCTCGCCCTTTATAGATAGAACAACATGCAATTATATAGTGCCCTCCACGCAGGGTAGTGCCTCAGAGCGCTTAACAGTATCAGAGCCTGACTCTCGCCGAGGAGGTGACTGTAAGCACCATTGAAAAGGAAGCTGGGATTTGAAAAAGTGAAAGGGCAAGGCGGAGGGATTGAGGGAGACTGTTCCAGAGTTTCAGGGTATAGCAGCTGATTGCGTGACCTCCAATGGTGTAGAGGCGCAAGGGACAAGCAGGAGGTGCCGGGTGGTGGATTGGGAGAGTGAGGAGGTCGGAGAAGTAGGGAGGTGCCAGGGAGTGAAGAGATTTGAACACGAGTATGAGGATCTTGAAGTCAATCCTTTCAGTGATGGTGAGCCAGCAGAGCCTGGCCAGAACTGGTGAGATGGGGGTACGGCGTTTGATCCGGGTAAGTATGTGGGCGGCCAACACTTTGCCTCAAAGAGTTTTTAATCTTTGAGACAAAGAAGTCTAGGATCGCTTTGCAATTGGTGTTTGGGAAGAAGGAACGTTTTGATCTCTGCGACAATTTGTATGTGCTAAAGGTGAGGAATGTTAATATGATAAATAGGATGTTTTTGCTTTACAGATTCACTGACAGCTTTGGACACTAGTGCCAAACCTAAGAGTTGAAAAGTGTAATCTAACCTACTTTATCAGAATTATTTTCTATTTCTCAACCCAGCCAAAGCAATGCGTAGTGTTGGAAATTGAGACAGTCCCACTGGGATAATCCCATCGCCTCGCTTGCCCCACTTTTGGCAGATGGGCCTTCTGCCACTCTTCCCCCACCCTCTGGAACTCCATCCCACAGTCCCTCCGCTTCACCAACCTCCCTTGCCACTTTCAAGACCCATCTCAAGACCCTCCTCTTCAATCGTACTTTCGATCTCCCTGCTTTCCCATCCTCCACCATCCCCGACCCCCAGCTCGGGACCAAAACTCTGTCTCCAGCGCCTTGGGACGTCCTCCCGACATGAAAGGCACTATACACGTGTAAGTTTGTTGCTGCTGGTGGTGTGATTTGGGTGAATTGTAACCTTGCTAAGTAGGATTGCTAATTCAATGACAATTTGTGCTGGATGATGAGTAGTTTTGTGTTTTGGGCCCAAATCTTAAAATAAACAATGTTGAGATTACTCTAGACTTTTTGACCAACAAATAGAAAGAAGTATAGAGCAAGAGGGAATAAAGAGGGAATAAACTTTAATATTAGCCAGGGCTGAATCTGAATCTAGTCTTGGAGATGACAGAGATTTGGATGAAGAAGGCCATTTGATCTCATTGTACAGAATATCCATCTTAGCACTTTCACATTCCAGCATCAATTTCTTAAATGATTTGAATGTCCTGGGTACATTACTCTGTTCCAGCTGTTGATTATCCTCTATATAAAGAAACACATTCTGGTGTCTGTACACCTGTATTCTGCCAACTTAATGTACCTGAAAATATTGTTTTGTTTTAACATTTCAATTTTGCATCTTATTTATAACCCTAAGGTTATAAACAATCCCCACCTCTATGCCTTCTCAACAGTTTGCACACAAAATACAAACAATTTATAAATAACCTTAGGGTTATAAATAAGATGCACCATCTTGTTTCCAGACTGAAGAGCCCTCCTTTATTCATTCATTCCTTAATCCTCTAAGAAATTAAAGAATGAATGAACATGAGGGATCGGCCTCATTGCATTGCAATCCCCACCTCTATGGCTTCTCAACAGTTTGCACACAAAATACAAACAATTTAAATGATTTAGACTACACAATCTGGAAATTCAAAAGCGTTCAACAATATCCTTTCATAAAAGCAAACCAAATCATAAGCATTAATTGGAATAAGCATTCCTGCAGGCTGAGGATTATACACTGAAAGAAAAATCAATGATTCATTTGCAACTAATCGCAGAAAAGGTGCCCAGTTAGCTCTTTAATTGTAGTAATAATCAGAATAATATAACATTGCCCGGCTCCACCACTGTCTCATACCATAGGCCACTGAAACCCTCATACACGCATTCATAACATCCAGGCTTGACTATGAAAACTCCTTGGTTGTCGGCCTCCCCAACTCTTCCTTTCATAGGCTAAAGATCAAACAGAACTCTGCAGCCTCTCCCGCACCAGGCTCCATGATCCTATCATCCCCATCCTCGCCGGACTCCACTGGCTTCCCATCTCAGAGGATACAGTTAAAGATCTTGGTCCTCACCTTCAAAGCCCACCATGGCCTCGTTCCCCCCTACCTCCGTGATCTCCTAACCCCCTCTCAACCTTCTCGCTCCCTCCTCAGCGGGCTCTGGCCTGCTTCACATCCCCTGCCTCGTCCGCCCCACTATTGGCAGGCGGGCCTTCATTCACTCTGGACTCCATCCCGCAGTCCCTCCGCATCACCCTTGCCTCCTTCAATATCCTCCTCGTCGACCGTGCCTTCAATCATCCTCTTTCTCTCCTTGCCCTCCACTCTCCCCAATCCCGAACCCCAGCTCAGATCCAAAACACTGACTGTCCAGCGCCTTGGGAGGTCTTCCCGACGAGAAAGGCACTATACAAATGTAATTTTGTTGTTGTTATATAATAATCCTTATATTTGGTATAACTCCTTAACACGTTCGACATCTCAAAGCATTTCAAAGGATATTCTGTAAAGTGGATTTTGTTTTTGGGGACGAAATTATACCATACCTAGCTTCTCTGGCTCAAAACTGTTGCCCAAATTTCTCTCATTGTCTTCTGTAAACTCATACATCGCCTCATAGGCTGCCTTCTCTTTCTGGTTTTTCCCAGGATTTCTTCGGCCTGATGGTTTATGAGCCATATTCCAATTAAACCTGAGGACGAATTCCAATTAAACCTGAGAACGAATTAAAGCAGAAAGTAATTTTCAAAACTATTTTCTATGGTGAAAAATGGTAAAACAGTTTAACCTTTTAAAATCATTGTTCATAACTACAACAACTTGGACGGAGTCTCAGAGCGCTTCACAGTAACGGATCCCGGGACCGAGCCAGGGGGAAGGGGAGGAAGGTGACCAAAGGCGCGGTCGAAAAGAAAGGTCTTCAGCAGACCTTAACTAAATAATAATTCCAAGTATATCCAATTAATCATTGTGACTTAATTACAATTTTATACTATATTTAGAAAGAGCTTTAGTTCAATTGAATTTGCCTCTTTCTGAGGAAATTATGGGGAATATTGACTTCATGTTCAAAAGCGCAATATATTCCAATTAATCTGTTCTTCTGTGGGCCTCTATAGCCCTAACCCAATGGCTTTATCCAAAGACTTTACCCTACTGAAAGGTAGTGAATGGTCAAACCCAAAACATTAAACTTTCACTTTTGGATGATAATTGACATGTTGTCCAAATCTAATAGAAACACATTTTGCCAAGTGAGTTTCTTCAACTAATATCACCAACATTGACCAGTTCCATCTGGTGGCCTAACAGAGAACCACAAGCTGAACTCCAAAGAACCAATGGAATTTTGATTGTAGTGTAATTAAAGGAGATAACTGAAACATACTCTTACAAAATAAGCTTGGACTGGTTGTACTGCAACAAAGAGAAAATATCCTAGGGGAATTAGGAGGCCATTTGACCCATCGTGTCCATGCCGGCTCTTTGAAAGAGCTGTCCAATTAAATCCCACTCTCGCACTCTCTCCCATAGCCCTGCAAATTTGTCCTCCCCAAATATCTATCTACTTCTCTCTTGAAAGTTCTTATCAAATCGTGTTCCTCCACCCTTTCAGGCAAATCATTCCAGATCCGAACTTGAACATCTGAACATGTCTAATGAGGTCCCACTCAGGATAGGATTTTGAATGCTGAATGATTGTAGGACGTCAGCCTACATAATAACCTTATAATACAATGCCACATTAGTTACATGCCACACAAAACCCCATCTACAACAACAACAACAACAACAAGATTCCATTTATAAAGCGCCTTTCACGTCAGGAGGACGTCCCAAGGCGCTGCACAGTTGGGTCATGACCCGAGCAGGGGGGAAATGGTCAGGGTGAGGGGAGGGAAGGGAGGGAGCGAGGAGGGGGGAAATGGTCAGGGTGAGGGGAGGGAAGGGAGGGAGCGAGGAAGGGGAAGAGAGTCGAGAGGGGAGCTGAAGGCACGGCCAAAGAGAAAGGTCTTGAGACCGGCCTTGAAGGAGGAAAGGGAGGAAGCGGCGAAGGCACTGGGGGATGGAGTTCCAGAGCCTGGGGGCTGAGAGGCTGAAGGCCCGACCACCGATGGTGGGGCGGGGGACGTGGAGCAGACCGGAGCCAGAGGAACGGAGGGTACGGGCAGGTAGGTAGGGGGATAGTAGGTTGGAGAGGTAGGAGGGAGCGAGGCCGTGAATGGCCTTGTAGGTGAGGATGAGGATCTTGAAATCAATCCTCTGGGGGATGGGGAGCCAGTGGAGGCGAGCGAGGGTGGGAGTGATGTGGTCCCGAAGCCTGGTGCGGGACAGTACACGAGCTGCAGAGTTCTGAATGACCTGCAGTGTGGAGGGAGGGGCGGGAAGGCCGGCGAGGAGAGAGTTCCCATAGTCCAGCCTTGAGGTGACAAAGGCGTGAACCAGGGTTTCAGCAGCGTGAGGGGTGAGGTAGTGCCGTAGTCTGGCGATGTTCCGGAGGTGATGGAAGGCGGTGCCAGTTGTAGTGCGGATGTGAGGGAGAAAGGACAGCTCAGGGTCGAACAAAACGCCGAGGTTCCTGATGGCTTTGAGAGGTGGAGAGTGCAGCCTTGGATGCTGATGGTGTCGGCACCTGAGGTGCGGAGGCGCTGACGTGAGCCAATCAGGAGGGCCTCGGTTTTTCGCACGTTGAGCTGAAGAAAGTTGTCTCTCGTCCAGGACTCGATGTCGGACAGACAGCTGTTAGGACATCGGTGGTCGTGGAGTTGAGAGTAGAGGAGGAAAGGTAGAGTTGGGTGTCATCCGCATACATGTGGAAGTTAACTCCATGTCTGCGGATGATGTCACCGAGGGGGAGCATATAGCATATATCTACTCTGAATCAGGTCTTAAAAATTAATGAGATTCAGGCTCGCCTGATTTTGGTTATTTAAAAAACATTAGATGGGTAATATCAGCAGTTATGTTATCTTGACTTTTTTTCCCCAATTTTTTAGCAAGCCTTTTGACTACAAGCATGGCTGACTTGCCATTTGCCATAAATGAAGATTTCATTTCCTGTGTAAAGCAATCCATTCAGTCTCATTTATCTGCTTTTTCCCAACCCTCGAAACTATATCGTAGAGATAGATACCAATGCTAAATCTTTGCCCATCTGTTATTTTTACATTTTGTATAAAATTTGTAAATAATTAATCAATTCATACTACATATTGTTCAACACACCCTCCAACACAAAGCATATCACATTAACCTGTCAGCCTGGCTCAGTTTCACCTCGGAGTCAGAAGGTTGAGGTCCAGCCTCACATTAGTTCTTTGAACTCACAAGTCTCGGCTGACGTGTCAATGCAGTGCTAACTGTACTTTATTACTGGAATGGCAATCTTCAGATGAGAAAGGTCCTGTCTATCTGTTGAGGTGGACATTAAAGAAAGTGGTATTATTTGAAAAAAAAACAAGTTTCTCCCAGTGTCCCGGTCAAAAATCTCCCAAATAAGAACAGTCATTTACTCGATGGCAGTTTGCGGGGTAAATTGTCTGCTAAATTCGCCTACAAAATTCAGTCACTACACTTCACAGCATATCCTTTGCAATGGTTGAGACATCATCCTGACATCAAAGGCACATCACCGAATACAAGGATTATTAATCAGCAAAACCCTACCCCCAATTCAAGCAAAATAACACTCCCACATTGAAGATGAAATTGCAGCAAATGTCAAAACATTCAGTGAAGAGCTTCTCACAGGGGGGCGGTCAGTGACAGGCCGGGGGGGGGGTCAGTGACAGGCCGGGGGGGGCGGTCAGTGACAGGCCGGGGGGGGGGGGCGGTCAGTGACAGGCCGGGGGGGGGGGGTCAGTGACAGGCCGGGGGGGGGGGGGGTCAGTGACAGGCCGGGGGGGGGGGGGCGGTCAGTGACAGGCCGGGGGGGGGGGGGGGCGGTCAGTGACAGGCCGGGGGCGGGGGGGGGGCGGTCAGTGACAGGCCGGGGGGGGGGGGGCGGTCAGTGACAGGCCGGGGGGGGGGCGGTCAGTGACAGGCCGGGGGGGGGGGGCGGTCAGTGACAGGCCGGGGGGGGGGGGGGCGGTCAGTGACAGGCCGGGGGGGGGGCGGTCAGTGACAGGCCGGGGGGGGGGCGGTCAGTGACAGGCCGGGGGGGGGGGGGGGCGGTCAGTGACAGGCCGGGGGGGGGGGGGGGGGGGCGGTCAGTGACAGGCCGGGGGGGGGGGGGCGGTCAGTGACAGGCCGGGGGGGGGGGGGGGGGTCAGTGACAGGCCGGGGGGGCGGTCAGTGACAGGCCGGGGGGGGGGGGGGGGGGGGGGGGGGCGGTCAGTGACAGGCCGGGGGGGGGGGGGGGGGGGCGGTCAGTGACAGGCCGGGGGGGGGGGGGCGGTCAGTGACAGGCCGGGGGGGGGGGCGGTCAGTGACAGGCCGGGGGGGGGGGGCGGTCAGTGACAGGCCGGGGGGGGGGGGGGGGGGGGGGGGGGGGGGGGGGGGGGGGGGGGGGGGGCGGTCAGTGACAGGCGGGGGGGGGGGGCGGTCAGTGACAGGCCGGGGGGGGGCGGCGGGGGGGTGTCGGTGTCTCGCACGGTCTCGGCTCCCGCCTGATGACTGCCTCACCATTCCTCGCATGGATACACGAGCGCCCGCTTCACCGTCTCTCACAGAGCCGCGGCACGAGGTGAGGATCGCACACACGGGGCCGTCGAGGCTTTTAAAGGCGCTTCTAAATGCAGTTAAACTTCGGCACGAGCGACAGCGCACTATTTTTTTGCTCGCGGGCTGTTCTCCCCAAAGGCGGCGAAGAGGCGAAGAGCGGGAACGCCGCGTGATCGGCAGCACGAGGCGAGGCACGTGACCAATGCCGCCAGATTGGACGGGTTCAAGGCCAATTGGGCGGGTTTCTGTTCAATTGTGCGTGAAGTGACGGCTTTGGGCGGGCGCGCGGCTACTTTTTTTAATTAAATGTAAATCTGCAAAGCGTTCCCTCCCCTCCTCCTTTAATGACCTTTTCTTACACAGTTTCAAAAGCTCTCTCTGCTTTTAAATTGGCCACTCTGCTGCTCACATAGGAGGTCACACATAATATTAGGCTACTTTAGTATTTGGTGGACTTTGGGGGCTATCACCCGCAGGTGACCCCGAGCGGCCATCGTCCCCTCTTTGCACATCGACAATTCAAACTTCTGTGTAACCGCTCACAGTGATTTCAAACCGTACATTGTGGAGTCCTGTAGCTCAGTGGTTAGAGCACTCGCTTTGCAAGTGAGAGACCTGAGTTCAATTCCAGGCAGAGGGTGAAACCTTGGGCAAGTTTCCTTACTTCACACAGAGCCTAATAATAATCCCTCCAAAACAAAAACAATAATAAATTGGTCATTTTCAATCTACGACTGTTTGTGGGACATTGCTGTGCGCAATTGGCTGCCGCGTTCGCCCACAAATATACAGTCAATTCACTTTACAGTGTGTTCTGTGAAGCGCTTTGGGACGTCCTCCCGACGTGAAAAGCGCTATATCAAATGCGAGGATTATTATTATTATTATTGCAGGATTGTGGTTACATCATCTCTTTTATGTTGCAGGGTCTTGCCCACATGGAGAATATCCTACTGGCGCTCTCACTGGACACCTTGGATTATAATCATCCTTGGATTGGATGTAGAGTCAATGAATGCCAATGTTTCAGACCTAGTTGCTCTTAAGTTTAGGGACTGTATTTGTGAGCAAACATACAACAACAACACAACAACAAGATTCCATTTATAGAGCGGTCAGAGTGAGGGGGGGTGAAGGGAGGGCGAGGAGGGGGGAAATGGTCAGGGTGAGGGGAGGGAAGGGAGGGAGCGAGGAGGGGGTAGAGAGTCGAGAGGAGAGCTGAAGGCTGAAGGTCAAAGAGAAAGGTCTTGAGACCGGCCTTGAAGGAGGAAAGGGGGGAAGCGGCGAAGGCACTGGGGATAGAGTTCCAGAGCCTCGGGGCTGAGAGGCTGAAGGCCACCGATGGTCGGGCGGTTGGGGCGGGGGATGTGGAGCAGACCGGAGCCAGAGGAACGGAGGGTACGGGCAGGTACGTGGGGGATAGTAGGTCAGAGAGGTAGGAGGGAGCGAGGCCGTGAATGGCCTTGTAGGTGAGGATGAGGATCTTGAATTCGATCCTCTGAGGGATGGGGAGCCAGTGGAGGCGAGCGAGGGTGGGAGTGATGTGGTCACTGGTGCGGGACAGTACACGAGCTGCAGAGTTCTGGATGACCTGCAGTGTGGAGGGAGGGCCGGGAAGGCCGGCGAGGAGAGAGTTCCCATAATCCAGCCTTGAAGTGATGAAGGTGTGGACCAGAGTTCCAGCCGCGTGAGGGGTGAGGTAGTGCCGTAGTCTGGCGACGTTCCGGAGTAGATGGAAGGCGGTGCCAGTTGTGGTGCGGATATGAGGGAGAAAGGACAGCTCAGGGTCGAACAGAACCCCGAGGTTCCTGATGGCTTTGAGAGGTGGAGAGTGCGGCCTTGGATGCTGATGGTGCCAGCGCCTGAGGTGCGGAGGCACTGACGTGAGCCAATCAGGAGGGCCTCAGTTTTGCGCACGTTGAGCTGGAGAAAGTTATCTCTCGTCCAGGACACGATGTCGGACAGACAGCTGTCAGGACATCGGGGGTCGTGGAGTTGAGGATAGAGGAGGAAAGGTAGAGTTGGGTGTCATCCACATACATGTGGGAGTTAACCCCATGTCTGCGGATGATGTCACCACAGGGGGAGCATATAGAGGGTGAAGAGGAGGGGACCGAGGACAGAGCCCTGAGGGACACCACATGAGACAGTGCGGGGGGTGGAGGAGAAGCCATTCGTCGAGACAAAGTGAAGACGGTGAGAAAGGTACGACCTAAACCATTCAAGGACAGTGCCTTGAAGGTTGAGGTGGGAGGACAGACATGAAGTGAATGCACAATTAATCTTGAATATTGGTGACCAGGACCCAGAGGAAATTTCCTTTTCTATATACAATATATAGTTTGGGACACGCCATGTCAAGCCTCAGCTAGGATGGTGGAAGTCAAACTAGATGTACTTCTTTCGCCTAGCAAATTCTTATGTTCTTTCGACAAGTGTTGCAGGATATGCTTAGCTGAACAGATAGACGGGAAGTTGGTTTCACATCTTAATGATGGCACCTCCAACAATGTAGCACTCCCCTCTTGCCCAAACTGCCTTGGAGTATCAAGCTATACTGTGTGTTCAAATTCTGCCATGTTGCTTGAACCCACAGGCATTTGATGCAAATGAGGGAGTGCAACCAACAGAACCAAGATTACATCCTTTATTGAATTATCTTGTCCAATTCATTTAAATATTTTACTCAATCTGCTGTTTAATTTGTGGACATGTAAGATAACAACCACAACTTGCATTTATATAGCGCCCTCATACAGGGTAGAGTGCCAGATGCTGCGGCTCCTGCATCTGCCAGTTAAATCTTAATTTGTGAATGGCCTTTTTAAGCTGCTGAATATCATCCATGATTTTATACAGAAACGATCAAACGACTTGTACTGAGATCACTATTTGGAAGAGAAGGGAAGGCTAATTTAGCTGAAGCCATACTGTTAGCAGTCATTTGTTTAGTCACACCTAGGGATTTTGGTATGAAAATCCTTCCGTAGGATCGCAGGGAGCTCAATGTGCCAACAGGGCCTTTCTTCAATCTTGCAAAACGCATTAAGGTTTATTCAATAGTGAATTTCAAGTTATGGTTCTCTGTGTGTGTTACACCACAAGAGAATGTTTAACCGAAGATTGCGAGATGGACTTCCACAATCATATGATTGCATTCAGATTAACTACTGGACAGGAACTGTTTTCTTAACTAAAATCATACAGTATGTCCAAATTAGAAACATGTTAAATGGATTTCCAAAGAAATACAATTTGTATTAGAATCTTTATGCAGCTGTATGCGGAAGGAAAATGTAAAATACTAATTGGGATGGTAAAATGGTTCTGGTTTTCTGATAAAACAGTATAGCGATGTAATATGTACTGATCAATTGCAGTGAGGATGAGAGATAGCTGGTACTGTAGTGAGTTATACATAGGCTGGATGATTAAATATGCATTATAGTTGAACAATTTATTCTAGATATTTTAATTTAAAGCCCAACTGTGTAAAATATTTCAGATAATAGATGTAGATATGGCAAAAAAAACTGCACATATAGTAAAGAAAAATACAAATTTAACAATAAGATTTCTCCAGAAGTGAAAAATTGCTCACTCTTTTAGCCTTAAATACATTTTCTTAAAATTTTAACATTTTGTAGAATATTGAATATTTAATTTGAAAACTTAAGTCTAGGACCATGATGTTTGGCCCTTTCTCTCTGCAAATGTAGTTAAACTCTTGAATTTGTTCTCCAAACAAATTTCATAGAAATGTTTTTTAATGCTCCTAAACCAGTGGGCTTCAACCATCAGTGGATTCAGGAAACATATATAATTTAGCCTGAAGTTTATATTTATTTTGAGAACATTAACATATCTCAGAGCTCAGGAGAGAAAGGTGATATAAAGTCATATCTATCTGCATCCTATATATTGACACAAAGCCAGTTTGATCACTATTCTTTGGTTGTGGAATATTGGGGAACAATAGTATAGTTAAAATTTGTATGGAAGGCCAACACTTTAACACTTTAATTGTGGAGTCCTGTAGCTCAGTGGTTAGAGCACTCGCTTTGCAAGTGAGAGACCTGAGTTCAATTCCAGGCAGAGGGTGAAACCTTGGGCAAGTTTCCTTACTCCACACAGAGCCTAATAATAATCCCTCCAAAACAAAACAATAATAAATTGGTCATTTTCAATCTACGACTGTTTGTGGGACATTGCTGTGCGCAATTGGCTGCCGCGTTCGCCCACAAATATACAGTCAATTCACTTTACAGTCTATTCTGTGAAGCGCTTTGGGACGTCCTCCCGATGTGAAAAGCGCTATATCAAATGCAAGGATTATTATTTTTATTTGTAAGGTCAGCACATGTTAACCCTGCAAGACATAGCTCTAATGGATAGAATGGTTTTAAATGGACAGAGCTCTAAATGGCAAACTATGTCATTTTACCTGTTCAATTCCAGAGATATCCAAATAAGCCTTTGCTCTTATGAACCTGAGCCTAGTATTCTGGAATTAGTTGAACAGTCCAACCCTCTATGGAGAGCGTGTGTATTTCATTTCAGACACTGGGTAGTTTCCATGCATACTGAGCATGAATATGCAGAATTTTCAATCTGGTTTGGATACTCTTAAGCATGGTGATGGGTGACCAAAACTAAAATCAAGCACTTTGAGAAATTCTGCGGGCACTGACCTGCTTTATGTCCCCAGCTCAACCTCTTCCACCTTCAGTCCAACTGCTCCACTTTCTGGAACTCCATCCTGGAGTCCCTCTACTGGCTCCCTTGTCTCAAGACAACCCTCTGATTGCACTTTTAGTAATCTTTATCATGCCCATGGGCTCCCACCCTCAGCTTGAGTGCCACAGCAGGTCTGTTTTAAGTTTTTTTTGTTGATTAGCAAGGTTAGACCTGCTCACACCCCATTAACCGAATTAGAACGAAATATTGTACTTTTGGAACGAGGGCTATGTCCCCTCAGACAAAGCCTAATCTATCAAACCCTTCTAGAGCCCAAATTGTCAAAGGATAATGCGGATCTGAACAATGTCTTCACGACCATTGGAGCAGGTCAGATGACCAGTTGGCCTCTCCGACAGGGCAAGCCCAGCCTGGGCTGGGCTTACCTCGTCATCACCCACGGGCTTAACATTTCCGACCTGAGCATAGTGGACAAGGCCATCTCGGACCACTTCCTCACTTCCTTCTCCTCTCACATCCCTCTATCCTCCACCAAGCCTTCAACCATATTCCACCACCCGTGGAAAAGGCTGCCCCCTGACCCTCTCACAAAGGCCCTCACATCCCAACATCCTATTCCTCTGGCCTTCCACCCGCAGAGATCTTGAAGCAGCCATTCAGCTGCTCCATGATTACCTCTCCTCCACCTTCAACTCTCTCATCCCCCTGAAATTCAGGACCACCTCCAAACCCACCCGATACACCAGCCACCTCAGTTCCCTAAAAACCCAAACCCGGCTCCTCGAGTGCAGATGGCAGAAAACTGCCCTGACAATTCACCACCAACTGTAGCTCGAGCATCTCCACAGCTATCGCCGTTCTTTGACATGCGTAAAAACAGCCTTCTACTCCAACATCATCTTGGAGGCTAAACACAACCCTAAAATCCTTTTTTCACCACCCACTACCTCCTCCGTACCCCCCCTCAGGCCTCGTCAATCTTCACATCCTACGCCAAATGCGAGGAAGTCATGGACTTCTTTTCATTCAAAATTCACAACATCCAGCAGGCAGCCTCATCTGCCTGCCTCTTGTCACCCACCCCTCTCCTCCCTCTCATCCACCATCACCTCAATGAAACCCACCACCTGCTGCCTCAAGCCCCTCCCCACTAACTTGCTAATCACCCAGCTCCCCCTCCTCCGCCCACTACTGGCTGACATCATCAAACAGTCCCTCTCCTCTGGATCAGTCGCTGCCCCCCTCAAAACTGCTGTCATCACCCCCCCTCCTCAAAAATCCTTCCCTATATCCCTCAAACCCCATCCACTGCCGCCCTATCTCTAACCTGCTCTTCCTCACCAAAGTCCTAGAATGCGTTGTTGTCAATCAACTTCGCGCACACCTCTCCTCCCATTCCATCTTCGAACGCCTCCAGTCCGGTTTCCGCCCACAGTACAGAGACTGCGCTTGTGAAAGTCTCAAACGACATCCTCTCTATCTGTGACCAGGGCTCCCTCTGCCTCCTTGTCCTCCTGGACCTCTCTGCTGCTTTCGACAGTCGATCACGCCATCCTCCTCCACCGCCTTTCCTCCATTGCATACCTCAGTGGGACCGCACTCGCCTGGTTTAAGTCCTACCTCACGAACGGCCAGCAGTACATCTGCATAAACGGCTTTTCCTCCCACTTTCACCCAGTTACCTGCGGGTACCCCAAAGATCCATCCTTGGCCCCTCCTCTTCCTAATCTATATGCTCCCTCTTGGGGATGTCACCCACAGACGTGGGGTACATTTCCACATGTATGCGGACGACACCCAACTCTATTTTTCCACCTCACTTTGCGACTCCCAGTTCCCTGATGTTCTGTCAGCTGTCTGTCAGACCTCAGGAACTGGATGAGTGCAAATTTCCTTCAGCTAAATGTTGACAAGATGGAATCCATACTCTTTGGCTCTCGTCAACGTCTTAAGTCACACGGTTTTCAACTCTTCCACCCGACCTCCCACTAAAACTCTCCGAACCCTTACGCAACCTAGGAGTCAGGTTCGACCCACAATTATCCTTCCTCCCCTACATCTGGTCCCTCACTAGTACCACTTTCTTCCACCTCCGACGCATCGCCCGTCTCCGCCAATACCTCACCCCAAAAGCCACCGAAACCCTGGTCCATGCCTTTGTCACTTCTAGGCTGGACTATTCAAATGCCCTCCTTGCCGGTCTCCCATCCACTACCATCCATAAAATCCACATCATCCAAAACTCTGCCGCCCGCATTCTTACCTGCACCAAACTCCACTCCCCGATTACAACAACAACAACAACAAGATTGCATTTATAGAGCGCCTTTCACGTCGGGAGGATGTCCCAAGGCCCTGGACAGTTGGGTCGGGACCCGAGCAGTGGGGAAATGGTTAGGGTGAGGGGAAGGAAGGGAGGGAGCGAGGAGGGGGTAGAGAGTCGAGAGGGGAGCTGAAGGCACGGTTGAAGATTACCCCAGTCCTTGCCAAACTGCACTGGCTGCCTGTCCCAGAGAGGACCGACTTCAAGATCCTCGCACTTGTCTTCAAATCCCTCCAGTTGTCTGCACCCCCCGACCTCTCTGACCTCCTCTCTCCTCACAACAGTCCCCGTTGCCTTTGCTCCTCCATGACTGGCAGACATGTGCGGAGGAGTGTGTGGAGGGCACTATATAAATCCAAGTTGTTGTTGTTGTTATTGAGCCTAGTGGCCAAATACTCAGGGTAGCTCTGTAATACAAGGTATTCTCTGCTTCCTCTTTGTGAGAGCAAATGCTGCAATATCGATGCCAACATCATAAATAATAATAATCCTTGCATTTGATATAACGTCTTCTCAACGTTACAAAACGCTTCACAGAATATGCTGTAAAGTGAATTGACTGTATATTTGTGGGTGAAATGTGGCAGCCAATTGCGCACAGCAGCGTCCCACAAACAGCCGTGGATTGAAGTGACCAATTTATAATTTTTTCGAGGGAACATAGGTTGAAAGATTAGCTGCAGCTGGTTGTTCAATGTTTCACTTAATGTGCCAGTTATAGGTGAGATTTGGTTCGGAAATCTCACCAGGAGATGACCTTCCCCAGCAACACCAGCTCCAGGAATAACTATGAGAACAGAGACTACACTTGATCTTAACCAAAAGGCCGAGAAGCGATGTGTTTTAAGTGCCTTGGGATGTCCTCCCAAAGTGAAAAGTGCTGTATATGAATCATTTTGTATTGTATTGTGTTATTTATTGTGACTGTGCAGCAATTCAGCGATATATGGCCTCCGGTTCCTACAGATGGAGCTGTGGATAGAAATGGTGGTTGGTCACATCGCTGCCTTTCCTGTTGCCTAAGTTATTTCCTTGGTGCCACAGAGTGAATCCCCAAAGCTGTCTGATGGCCACGGAAACCGAGGAAGTGCTGAGTGTTGGGTGGGGCAAGGCTGTACCAGCTGTTTACCAGCAGCCCTGACTGACACGGACAGGGGCCAGGCTGGGCCGGGCCGGGCCGGGCCAGGCCAGGGGTCAGCTGTGCAGGACCACACACCACAAGTGCTGGGTTAGCAGCAGCTTCACAGACATGTGCGGAGGAGTGTGTGCAGACAGGCAGTGGGAGCCTGCGCTGTGAGGCACCAGACCATCCCAACACTGGGCACGAGTTAGTTTGTCAAAGGATCAACCGTGAGATCGCAGGGACAGAGAACAAAGCCACATCCTGAGGCAGCAGAACCTGAGTAACAATACTTGACCTCGCTTCTCTACAACTGCTTGTGAGGAGCAGACCCTGTCCTGCTGCTGCTGGGGATTAACCCCGAACATCACACCATTCATTAAACAGTAAGTTAGTCATCAGTCAGGGATGTCAATTAACATATTTTAGTTTGTAACACTGTTTTCATTTTATAGTGGCATATTAACAACAACAACAAAATTACATGTGTAAAGCACCTTTCACGTCGGGAGGACGTCCCAAGGCGCTGGACAGACAGAGTTTTGGACCCGAGCTGGGGGTTGGGATCAAGATCGGGAAGAATGGAGGGGAGGGAGGGGAAGCAGGGAAATCAGAAGCATGGTTGAAGAAGAGAGTCTTGAGATGGGTCTTGAAGGTGGCGAGGGAGGGGGTGAGGGAGGGGGCAAGGAGGGGGGGTGAGGCAGAGTGACTGCGGGATGGAGTTCCAGAGGGTGGGGGCAGAAGGCCCGGCCTCCAATATTGGGGCGAGCGAGGCAGGTGACGTGAAGCAGGCTGGACCCCACTGAGTGGAGGGAGCAAGCAGGATGGTAGCGGGTTAGGAAGTGGCAGAAGTAGGGAGGAGCAAGACCATGGAGGGCTTTGAAGGTGAGGACCGGGATCTTGAACTGTATCCCCTGTGTGATGGGAAGCCAGTGGAGTCGGGCGACGATGGGGGTGATAGGGTCACGGAGCCTGGTGCGGGAGAGGACACGAGCTGCAGAGTTCCGTATGATCTGCAGCCTGTGGAGCGAGGAGTTGGGGAGGCCGACAAGCAGTGAGTTTGCTTAGTCGAGCCTCGATGTAATGAAGGTGTGTAAGTCCTGTAGCCCAGTGGTTAGAGCACTCGCTTTGCAAGTGAGAGACCCGAGTTCAATTCCAGGCAGAGGGCGAAACCTCGGGCAAGTTTCCTTACTCCACACAGAGCCTAATAATAATCCCTTCAAAAAACCAAAAGCAATAATAAATTGGTCATTTTCAATCTACGACTGTTTGTGGGACATTGCTGTGCGCAATTGGCTGCCGCGTTCGCTCACAAATATACAGTCAATTCATTTTACAGTGTGTTCTGTGAAGCGCTTTGGGACGTCCTCCCGACCTGAAAAGCGCTATATCAAAATGCAAGGATTATTATTATTATTATGAGGGTTTTGGTGGCCTGTGGTGTGAGACAGTGGTGGAGCCGGGCAACGTTTCAGAGATGGGGAAGGCAGAGCGGGTCATGACACAGATGTGGGGTAGAAAGGATAGTTAAGGGTCAAACAAGACCCCGAGGTTCCGGACTGGCTCAGTTGGTGGAGTGTGCAACCATGGATGGTGATGCTGTCAGCGTCTGAGGTGAGGAGGTGCTGATAGGAACCAATCAGGTGCGGGGGCTGGAGGAGAAACCATTTGTGGAGATGAAGTGCAGGCGGTGTGAGACACCGCCGTGAAGGTTGAGGTGAGAGGAGAGGCAGAGGATGAGGATAGAGGTGGTCAACGGTTCAAAGGCAGCAGAGAGGTCAAGGAGGATGAGGAGGCAGAGGGGGCCCTGGTCACAGATGGACAGAATGTCATTTGTCACTTTGACCAGAGCTGTTTCTGTGCTGTGGGCGGCATGGAAACCCGACTGGAGGGGTTCATGAAGGGAGTGGCGAGAGAGGAAGAAGCGAAGCTGGGAACAACAACTTGTTCCAGGACCTTGGAGAGGAAAGGGAGGTTGGAGATGGTGCGGTAGTTTGAGAGTAGAGATGGGTCCAGGGAGAGTTTTATAAGGATAGGTGATGACAGCGGTTTTTAAAGGGGTGGGAACAGTACCAGAGCACAGGGAGAGGTTTATGATGTCTGTGAGTAGAGGGGCAAGGAGATGGAGCTGGGAGGTAAGGAGAGGGGTAGGGATGGGGTTGAGGGAACAGGTGGTCGGTATCATACCGGTTATAGTGGTGGTGAGAGAGGAGTGGGAGTCAGGTTTGAAAGTGTGGAGGGAAGGATGGGTAGGGGCCGGGGTGAGAGGGGGAATTGGGGAAGGGCTGGTATTCAGAATGGCAGGGCAGCTGAGCGGATCCCCTTGACTTTGAATTTGAGGAAGTCCAGCATCGCCTCACAGTTGGCATTTGAGGTGAGGATGGAGGAGGCATGAGAGGGTGGCGGAGGAGTTGGTTGGTGATGGAGAAGAGCAGCCTGGGGTTGTCCTTGGCCACCAAGATTGTCTTGGAGTAGAACGATGATTTAGTGGAGGCTAAAGAGCTGGCATAGACTTGATGGGCCGAATGGCCTCTTTTTTGTGCTATACGATTCTATGATTCTATGATTTGATGAGGTCCAGCCAGATCTGCTGATGGACCATTAAGTTCAATTTAAGCCAGGTGCGTTCAGTGGCTGGTGTGCCATGGTGACTTACGTGAATAGGAGATGGTTGGGAAGAGAGGGGAGCAAGTGAATTGAGAGTGGAGGAGAGGGAGCTGTAGAGAAGAGTGACTGAGGAGGTTAGGTCATTGCGGGAGGAAGCCCAGAGGGTGAGGAGTTCAGATGACTGAACAAAGCAGCCGAGAGGGAGTGGGGGAGAGATTTTTCTCCAGGGGCGGTAGGAAATCGAGGTGTGTTGGGTGGAGGTTGGTAAAGGCATTTAGGAGTTAAGGGAGATGAAGTGATGATCCGAGATCGCTTTGTCTCATTAATAAGTTAATGGCTTAATATTAAGTTAATGGCCTGTATTTTGAGGGTGTATTCTTGAGAAACTAAGAGGTTTAGAACATTTACATTATGGGCAAGATAGTAATTGCAGGTATAGTGCTAAACAAAATACAGTATTTGGCAATACTCAAAGTGAATGGTTTGTTGTTTAAATTGCTGGTTGGTAAGAGATAAAATGCTGACTTTCTACCACTCGGATCTGGGATTTATGCAGCGCAGACATGGGACAAGTCACCCTGCTCCAGAGGAAGACTGGGTGGTACAGTAAGGAATAATATTGATCTTTCATCTTGCATCTGTATCTAAGGTTCAGCCTTTGATCAATTTCGGCTATAAATGCTGAACCCTATCTTCTTGAAGTACAGGGTAATTATTAGAGGAGTTGGGTCAAAATGGGTCAAGATACAGTATTGAATGGGAATCTTGGATCTAAAGATTATCCACTGGCACTCTCCTGAAATCCTCCTAAAAGTATTTTGAACTCTCCTGAGAGCTACAGACAAACAGATTTTTCTTTGAATGTACCTGATGATCTTGGAATGTGATGGGAATGTGTGGCAGAGTTTTATTCAGTATCTTCCATCAGAGTTGTAAATGTGTGGCCTTTTAATTTCATCCTTTTCAAAATACGTGATTGGAAATATCTGGAGTTTACTGTTCCTCACTGCAGCAAATGATACAGGATGCAAACGGTTAAAAGTTTAACAAGGAGATTATCTTATTTGTACGTAAAACATAAAGACTGACAATAGAGGTTAAATGAGACAAAGCTGAACCTCAGTATTTGAGGAATGAGCTATGAGAAACTAGATAAGCGAGGGCTCTTCACTCTTGAAATGAGATGTCTCAAAGGGAGCCTTTTTGAGTTGTATATGGCGCTAAATAGATAAAGAAAGAAAACATTAAACAATCTTTTCAGATGTGTCAAAGCAGATCTGACACAAATCAGGTTTGTAAATAACAGTTTTAGGATAGGTACTAGAAAATATTTCTTTATACAGAGGGTAATCAACACCTGGAATTGGTTATCAGGAACCGTGGACAAAGCTTTGTGCTGTAATAATAATAATCCTTCCATTTGATATAGCGCCTTATCACGTCTTTGAGACATCTCTCAAAGCGCTTCACAGTGTATACTGTAACGGGAAGGCGTAAAAGTTGGTATTCTGGAAGAATAAGTTCAAATACGCTGTAGGATCATAATTCAAAACTTGTGACGGAAGCTGATCGAGTTGGGTATGTGGTCATGTCACGTGATGGAAAGCGATTGGTCAGAATGAAACTTGTATGTTGCATGTTTAAACAAATATTTATTGAGTCTGCTAGATTAACTCTGATGAGAAAAGCATTGGCCAACTTTTGCTTAAAAGAATAAAGCTGTTTAGAGGATATGAAAGAACCTGTGCATGATGTGTTAACACATTCTTCAATCCATATTTTTACATTCTCGGTGTATGAGGTAATACTTCTGTTTTGATGACCCCGCTTGCTAATCTCTTGCCTCTCTGAAGTACCAGCCAAGACAGTAAATTCTCATAATGGGTGTTTCTAACTTGTATTCATTGCTCAGTCAGAAAAAACACAGCTTCACCTCAGGTAGGACTCTCCGTGAAACCCGAGATGAATTGGCACAAAATGAATGAATGTCATCATTGTACTAGAATTAGGCTACACAATCTGCCCCAGATCAAACTTTATTGAATTAATCTGGCAACCGATTGCTTTGTTTAAGGAGAGGGAAAATAACTGAATTTTAGCTCAGCTACCAGTCTGCAGCCACAGAGGAGAACCAGAGCACGCTATGCTGTGGGTGAAGTACACAAGGACAGCCACAAATGGTCACTGGGCCAGAGTACTGTCGAGCTACTGATGCTATAAATAAGAATGAAGTAAATATTGAATTACAAAGATTTCAGAGAAGAAATCATAGCAGCTTTTGACATCAAACTGTCTCAAAGTAATGATTGTGTTTTATTGGTTCAAGCTCATAGTCTGATTTCGGGGCAGTGTGGGAGGTGCCATTTTTCAGGTGAGACATTAAACAGGTAAACGTTAAAGCTTCCATGAGTAAATAATGCTCTTATCATGTCTTTGAACATCTTATAGCGCACAGGATTCTAGTGAAATATATTTCTGGGAATGTTGTAAAACAAAAATCAGCTTCAGCGTAATAGGTCAAATAGTCTCCTCATAGTCAGGAAGACACATAACATCTTCACCTTTTCGGTACCAAGTAACCCAGGCTAGATATGGCTTGGGTTAGGTACCCAGTAACACTCCCTCTATGTCTAGCAATGCCAGGTCAAAAACATCAGATATACAAGCTCCGTCTTGATTGTCCAGCACTTTCATGTCAGGCATGAGCCCTGTAGCTTAGTGGTTAGAGCATTCGCTTTGCAAGTGAGAGACCTGAGTTCAATTCCAGGCAGAGGGTGAAACCTTGGGCAAGTTTCCTTACTCCACACAGAGCCTAATAATAATTCCTCCAAAACAAAACAATAATAAATTAGTCATTTTCAATCTACGACTGTTTGTGGGACATTGCTGTGCGGAATTGGCTGCCGCGTTCGCCCACAAATATACAGTCAATTCACTCTACAGCATATTCTGTGAAGCGCTTTGAGACGTCTAGAAGATGTGAAAAGCTTATTATTATTATTATTATGTGCCTCAGCCCCAACCTCAAACTAATACCGTCTACTGTCCCAGTGTGACATTTTGATTTCACACCAGCTATTCTGTCATTTCTTTGATTGAAATGACTACTTTGATGCCAATTTAAGAGCAATTTTAAGCATTGAACCTACTCCAATAGGTCTAAGTCTAGTCCAAACTCATGCCACTGGACCTACCCCTACACCTACTTGACAGAGATGACATTCAGATCATCAGCAGGGCCTCATTCTCAAGCGGGAAAGCAGTCTAATCCATTATGCTTTGCAGGTCCAGGAGCTCCGGCACTTTCTAATGAAACCTATCCAATGATTGAGACAGTTCTGTGTTGTTTGCCCTGGTTCAATGGGAACTGCCCAAACATCTAGTGTGTGTAATCCAATTTGCAGAGTCTCAGTGATGATTAGATTGGGGTTGGAGGAAACTGTTCTGTCACATGCTCAGTGAGATGTTTTGATGCTGGGTTTGGCAGTTCTCTGAGGGGAAGGGAGGGGGCTCAACACAGACACTAAGGTCTTTATGCTAGCTGTCCATCTGTCAAAAGCGACAAATGGCTGCTGACCGCTCTCACAATCGCCTTGGTGCAACTACTTCTCTTACTATCTGAGGCAAGCCAGAGGCTAATCCGAACCCTGATCTTGGCTGTTAGATCATAGTCGGATGTTAGGGTTGTATCCAGTATAACCAAGTTTGAGCTGTACAACTGCTGAAGTACTGTGCACAGGGAACAGGCAAACAAGAGGTTAAATATGTGGGAGGGAAGAAAGGAAGTGAAACTGATTTGTAACTGTACATTAATAAAGTTCAGCAAGAATAGCAACGTTCAGACAGTGGTGTCCTTTCCTGGGTTGGCGTGATTGTGTTTTAAGCCTGGCCTTTTGTTTTTTTGAATAGATAAGTGCTTGGGTGTTCAGAGGTGACAAACTGTGTCCAGCACGGCTTCATAACAACTCGGGATGTGGTGGTTCCAGCAGGGGTTGTGTTTGCTGCCGGCTGCCTTAGTGGTCTGGTCCTCAGCCGCATTCATCTTCTCCTTCATCATAGCTGTACTTCTTCGCCATGTTGACCCTCTGGTACCTTACATCAGGTGAGTAGAAATACAATCTGACTGAACCCGGGGTGGGGGAGGGGGTACAGTTCAGCTCAGAGTCTAGGCTGACATTCCAATACAGAGGAACCTTGCATTGTCATGAGTGCCATAATTCAGGAGAGACATGATTCCACACTTCCTCCTGCCTTTTCATCAGGTGGACGTTAAAGATCTCATGACAATGTTGGAAAAGAGAACAGTTTCTCCTAATGTCCTGGTCAACAATCTTCCGAATCAATTTGTGTTGCAATTGGCTGCTGCATTTGGCTATTGAAAGTCACTACAATTGAAAATAATTACTTGGGAAGCACTTTAAAACATTTCCATGTGAAATACCTGTATAAGCTTTTCTTATATTCTGGAACAATGATAATTGGAATCCAGGCCCTGCTACCTGTGGGTGTTCCAACTTTCTATACTTCCTTGATTCCACAGCTCAAACCTTAGCCACAGACAGAGTTGCTATTATATTTTGGCCTATGAAACGCTTTGATAAGTTTTCCTTTTCAGCTTGGTAGGGTTGATCGTATTCTAACATCTGGGTCAGCACCTTGGGACATCCTCCCGACATGAAAGGCACTATATAAATGTAATTTTAATGTTGTTGTTGGGTCACAAGGTGGTGGATTTAAGCCCCCACATTTGAAAGGAAAAGATACGCATAGCCCATAGCATGGAAATTTCCCTTTGTCTGGGATGGAATGCACACTCTCCCTAGAGCATAGTGCCCTACTTACTTAATTCCAGAGAGTATTAGATGCAGGCTTGCAAGAAGTATGGTTTGTGGATCTCAGAGTATGTGTGGATACTGCTGGAATTTAACCAGCTAAAATTCCAGAGCTTGTCGTACAAGCATTGCCTGGCAAGCTTCCCACTGTTTGTGCCATAAGGACTACCCTATGCATTACACTGTTCGTTTTGAGAGTTGACAGGAGCTGAGTGGGAAAAATCCCTGAGTTCAAGCTCCACATCAGAACTTGAGGCCAACTCGCCCCTTCCCCAGTAACCACGAGCAATGCACTTTCAACCCATGTTTTCAACCCCATGCTCACTGGGGAAAGTACTGAAAGCCCCCTGCGTATCTCAGCACAATACTTACACTAGAAGAAAAGGAGAGAGAATTTGAAAAATACTTCTTCCAGTTTATTTTCATTCTCGTTGAAGATTTGCGTATGTTTTTGGCAATGTATTATTGCGCAATTCCGGAATTTCCCTGTCATCTGATATTCACATGAAACCAATTTTTTTTTCTAATTTTACAAAGTAAAATTCCGTCCTCTAGATTAGGGTTTACATGATTTACAAGAATTATCTCAGTACGGGGAGGTTGAGGTGAAGCCTTAGATTGAGATTTTCTGGCTAATCAAGTGTTGAACACATTCGGAAAACCATCATCATGCTTAAGAGTATCCAAGTCCAGCTTAGAATTGTAGGCATAATTCCCACCTAGACATGGAAATTCCAGAGATAGATTGTTGGAATGGAATGTGCACTTTCTCCTTGGAGGGACGCCTCCTGCTTAGCTAATTACAGAAAGTATTCGGGGCAGGTTGTCAAAAGTCAAGGTTTGGGGACCCCAGAGTGTGCATTGGGGTAACTGCTAGAGTCCAACCAGCTAAAACCTCATAGCTTGCCATTAGTATCGCTGTCTGGCCAGCTGTCCCACTTCTTGTGCAGCTAGGACCACTCTATCCGTTAGGGCATGGCTTGCAGAGTTAACAGGAGCTGAGCAGTATGACTCCCTATCCCCAGTGACTGGTTGAGGCCTGGGACCGAGACGGTGGTGAGACCTGAGACCGAGATGGAGAATAAGTAATGGTTCCAGCTGTGATTGTGATGTGTTCAAGACTGAGATAGATAGATTTCTTATTGCAAAAGGGATTTAGGGATATGGGGATAAGGCAGGGTTAGATTATTAGCTGGAGGTAGATTAGAAGATCAGCCATGATTGAATGGCGGGGCAGACTTGAAGGGCCGAATGGCCTACTCCTGCTCCTACATGTTATGTTATGCTATGTGTTTATCCCTGACAGTGACACAGGAACGATGGCGCCAGAGCGTTGCTTGTTTGGGATTATGCTGACCATCTCAGCTTTCCTAGGTAAGACCCAGTTAAGTTTCCTGTTGTAGTTCTCAGTGTCCAAGAGAAAAGAGGTCCATCAAAGCACTAAACACAGTCCAAACAGTCAAAAACCGTTTTGTTGATCACGTTTGCCATCCCATGATCAATGCCATAATGTCCTTATTATTACCGTGACGAGAATTGCACACAGCATTGTAATTAGGGTCAATGCCCAAATGGTCCAAAAGAAATAATAATAATAATCCTTGCAGTTGATATAGTAATTGAGATGTCTCAAAACACTTCACAGAATACACTAAAGTATAGCAACTGTGTATTTTATGAGCAAAAGTAAAGTGAGTCCTGCATTCCTCTCTCCTATTCTTCAGTTGATTTTATTCACCAAATAGCTAACCTTTCTGAATTTGCCAATTTAATTTGTCTCTACCACCTCCCTAATGCATTCCATATATTCACCATTCTCTGTATAAAGTCATTTGATCTGAACTGTCAACTTCTGTCTCCTTGTTATAGATTTATTGACCATGTTTGCGTCCCTGACCAATGCTGTGATGTCTATTATTACCGTGACACACAACACTGCAGTTAGGGTCAATACCCTGTACAAGTTCTCTCTTGTTTCCGTATGCTCCATCTCTTTAGCTACATCCCCCAAGATCCTATTCACTTCCTTCACTGCTGCTGCATCACTGCTGCTAGTTTCTGTGGTCTGTCCACCAGGACATCCAAACCCCTTCTGTATGTTGGGTCCTGCAGACTAATACAATTTGGTGTCTATTCCTGCCGTTTACTCCCTTCCCTTCTACAGTCCATTTGCCTCGCTCCCTCCCTTGCTTCCTTCAACGCACATCTCAATACTCTTCTCTTCGACTGTGCCTTCGATGACCTCCTATCACTCCTCTCCCTGCCCTCCACTCCTCCTGATCCCAAATGCTGACTGTTCAGTGCCTTGGGACGTCCTCCCGACATGAAACTTTGGCTCACTAAAACCTGGCTGTCCCACTGATCGAAGCCTCCACCCACAACCCCCCCAGCTACACCTTTCACCACCACCCCGGCCCAAACCGATGTGGCGGCAGGGTGGCCCTCATCTCCCAAACTGCCCTTGCTCTATCCCCCTATTCCTCCGGCTCCTTCCTCTCTTTTGAATACTTAACCATGTACCATCCCTCCATCTCCTTCAAAATCCTACTCATTTACCATCCTCTCAAACTGCCTGGCTCCTTCATCCCTGACATCTCCTCCCTCTTCTCATCCCTCTGCCCTGCACTGAACACCTGATCATAATGGGTGATTTCATCCTGCACCTAAACTGCCCTTGTCCCATCTCCTCTGACTTCACTGCCTTCCGCTCCACACTAAACCTCACCCTCACATAAACCAACAACCGTGGACACCGCCCTCAACCTCGTTATCACTCACGGCCTTGACATCTCCGACATGTCCATCACAGACGAGGCCATTTCAGATTATTCCCTCATCTCCCTCTCCTCCCGCATCCCCCTCCCCTCTTCCAAGCCCTCTGTGCACCCCCCCAAGCTGCCTGCATCCTCACTTCTAACCGCAAGTGTGAAGAGGTTCTATACTTTTTCATGTCAGAGATTGAAAATATCCGCATGGCTGCATCCTCCTCCCCTATAATAATAATAATAATCCTTGCATTTGATATAGCGCTTTTCACGTCGGGAGGACGTCCCAAAGCGCTTCACAGAACACACTGTAAAATGAATTGACTGTATATTTGTGAGCGAACGCGGCAGCCAATTGCGCACAGCAATGTCCCACAAACAGTCGTAGATTGAAAATGACCAATTTATTATTGTTTTTGGTTTTGGAGGGATTATTATTAGGCTCTGTGTGGAGTAAGGAAACTTGCCCAAGGTTTCGCCCTCTGCCTGGAATTGAACTCAGGTCTCTCACTTGCAAAGCGAGTGCTCTAACCACTGAGCTACAGGACTCCACCTGTATGTTACCTATGTCCTATGTCACCTCCCACACCCCCAAGACTATCTACATCACCCCCTCCTTCTACCATGGCACCTATCACTCCTCCCTCCATACGCTCCTTTGCCCCGATTACTCCCAAGTCCCTCTCAACCACCATTTCCCAGATGAAAACCACCACCTGCAGCCTCGATGCCCTCTCCATCCAAATCCCCCTTGTCTCCCTGCTGCTGGCTGACACGGTCAACCAGTCGCTCTCCTCAGTTTCTGTTCCTCTCCCCCTTAAAATCACTGCCATCACTCTTCGCCTCAAAAAACCCACCCTTAACCCCTCCAACCTCATAAATTACCAACCCATTTTCAACCTGCCCTTCCTTGCCAAAGCTCTGGAACGTGTTGTCGCTAACCAGCTTTGCTCTCACCTCTCCCTCCACTCCCTACTTGAGCCCCTCCAGTCTGGCTTCCACACTGCCCATAGCACAGAGCAGCGCTTGTCAAGGTCAAAAACAACGTCCTCTCTCTCTGTGACCAGGGATCCCTGTGCCTCCTCGACTTCCGGACCTCTACACCACAGTCGACCACATCCTCCTCCACCATCTCTCCTCCCTTATCCGCCTCAGTGGGACCGCGCTATCCGATTAGAGTCTGACCTAACAAACTGCATTCACTTTATCTCCTCAAATGGCTTCTCTTCCCTCCCCGCCCGGTCACCTGTGATGTACCCCAGGGCTCCATCCTTGGCCCCCTTCTCTTCCTCATCTATATGTTCCCTCTTGGTGATGTCATCCACAGACATGGGGTAACTTCCACATGTATGTAGATGACACACAAATCTACTTCTCCTCCAGCTGCAACTCCAGGTCTGCCGACGTTCTCTCTGCTTGTCTGGTAGACATCAGGGCCTGGATGAGCGAAAACTTATGAAACCTACCTATAACTGAATGTTGACAAGAAAGAAACCGTGCTCATTGGCTTCCATCAACGTCTTCTATCCTGCAGCTCTGACCTTCTCAACCTCCCCAGCTTATCCCTCAGCCTCACTGAACCAATGCGCAACCTAGACATCAGGTGTGACCCACAGCTGTCCTTCGTTCCCCACATCCGGTCTCAGGACCACTTTCCACCACCTCCGCCATATTACCTGCCTCCAATCGTATATTACACCAGAACAGCGGAAACACTCATCCATGCGTTCGTCACCTCCCCACTTTACTTTTCAAATGCTCTCTTTGCCGGTCTCCAGACCATGCACAGGATTCAACTGATCCCAAACTCCACCGCCTGCATAAACTCCCATCACGCAAGTTCTAGCCAGGCTCCGCTCGCTCCCTATTGCCAAATGGATCGATTTCAAGATCCTCACTTGTTTTCAAATCCCTTCATGTTCTGGCACGTAGGGACCTGCTTACACCCAACCCCCAAACCGCTGCCTCCTCTCAACTGTCTCCGGCCTTCTGCTTGTCCCTTCTGCCTGCTGGTCCACCATCAGTGGCCCCACTTTCAGCCACTACACCCCAAAACTCTGGAATACACTTCCTCTATACCTCCGCCTTGCCCCTTCCTTCCCCATTTTCAGTTCGCACCTGAAGAGCTTCCTTTTCAACCATGCCTAAGGTCACCTCCCTCTCCCCCTGGATCGGTGTCAAGCTCTGCCACTATCGAGTGCTCTGCGAAGCTAGCATGAGGGATACTGTATTATATTAATAATAATAATCCTTGCATTTGATATAGCGCTTTTCATGTCTTCTCGACCTCTCAAAGCGCTTCACTAAATATATTGCAAAGTGAATTGACTGTATATTTGTGGGCGAACGCGGCAGCCAATTGCGCACAGCAATGTCCCACAAACAGTCGTAGATTGAAAATGACCAATTTATTATTGTTTTCGGTTTTGGAGGGATTATTATTAGGCTCTGTGTGGAGTAAGGAAACTTGCCTAAGGTTTCGCCCTCTGCCTGGAATTGAACACAGGTGTCTCGCTATAGTTGCAATAATGCAAGTTGTTGTTGTTGAAAGGCGCTATACAAATTTAATTTGTTGTTCTTCTCACTCCCTAATCTAATTTCTCCACATTAATTGACATTAATTATTAATTATTTACCACGAGTCAACCCAGATCCCTGATCTATCTAGATCCCTCTGTATTTGAACTTCTCCCAGTTTGATCTAGATAGAGTAGTTTCCAAATCATTTCTGCCCAATATAAATAGCATGAGCCCCAGCACTGATCCCTGAGGTACTAATTCTTGGATATAATATAGCAATTGCAATTTATCACGTTGTTTCAACATCTCAAAGTCTTTCACAGCATTTACTGTAAAATTCAATGAATATGTATTTATAGGCGAAGACAGCAGCCAATTTGTGCACAGCAATATCCCGCAAACAGCCATGAAGTGAATGATCAATTCTATCTGCAGATTGTTGGCCAGGACACTGGGAGAAACTCTCTTCTTTTTTTCGGATAGTAACATGAGATCTTTCAATGCCCACCCGGACAGGCAAACGGGATCTGTCTTTAATATCTCATCCAATAGGTGGCTCCTCAACACAGGAGCACTTCCCCAGCCCACACTGGATGTCAGCCGAGGCTTTGGGTTTACAAACCTGGCGCAGGGCTTGAAACCATAACCTTCAGGGTGAAAGACGAGAGTGCTACCAACTGAGCCAAGCTGACTCTGCCCTCTTTTCAAGCCAATGTAGCTCCCCAAACAATTGTCCTCAGCTTTCTTTGATGTGCATCATTTCTGCTCAGCTTCAGAAGCCTCATCTAATTCTCTGCTTGTGTACATCTGTTCAAAGGTCAAGCCATCCAAACTCAGAGGGAGAACTCCCTCTGGTGGGCACGTGCATAACACAAGATCTTAAAAGATCTCATATCACCAATCGAAAAGAGAAGGGAGTTTCTCCTTTTGTCCTGGCCAACAATCTAAGGTCACCATAACTGAGTGAATATATTTAATGTGGAAACAAAAACAGAGGTTGCTGGTAACACTTCCCAGAGACGTCTGTGTTTATTTTCAGATTTCCAGCATCTGCAGTATTTTGCTTTACATTTAATGTGGGATGTTGCATCGATGCTCCGGGGATCTCTCAGCATAGACTGTACCCACCCGTTCCTGCCTATACAGCAGTAATTGTCATCTCAGTGCCTGACTGTTGCGGTCCATCTCTATATTTCCACATTCAATAACCACTTAACTGTCAAACCTGTAAATATTATTATAATATTGACATGCTTGGAGAATGGGGGTGTGGGGAGGAGTGCATAGGGTGAGTGGTGGTGAGCAGAGGAAAGAATAGAGTGAGTAGAGGGAATGGGGTCCTGTGGCTTAGTACCTGTTTGTTTTCTGGCCTTTGTTCACCTAGCAGTAAGTAGGAACCCAGTTGTTAGTCGATTGGCGGATCACTTTTCCAGGCGTAATACCTTCAAAATAGATAAATAAAGATTTGGTCACTCAATCCACGACTGTTTGTGGGACGCTGCTGTGCGCAATTGGCTGCCACGTTTCACCCACAAAATATACAGTCAATTCACTTTACAGTATATTCTGTGAAGCTCTTTGAGACGTCTTGAAGATGTGATAAGGCGCTCTATCAAATACAAAGCTTAATATTATAATTGTGGGGATGAGTTGGGGTTTGAGAAAGGCTTAGGCTTTGGAGCAAGTGTGATATCTCTCTGGGTTCCAAGTGCCCACTTCTTTTGAGAGCTTCAGCATTAATAAAGAAGTTGCCAGTAATTGCAGAGACAGACATCTCTTGCCAACAGCACACTGAACCCCGCCTGCATTTACATTGCTTACAGCCTGGCCCTTGTTAGGGGCTCACCTTTGCTTGTAGTTCCCACCTCCTTCAATCTTGTTTTTGAAACTCCATCCCACAGTCCCTTTGAAGATATTTGGTCCCTTGCTCCCTCCCTTGCATCCTTTACGGCATCCTCCTGACGTGAAAGGCCCTGTACACATGTAATTTGTTGTTATTATTGTTGTTGTCTTGTGTTCCCTCCCTGTACAGGTGTCTGCACAATGTATGTACGGTACAAGCAAGTTGAAGCACTGATCCCTGAGAACATCTGTATCACCAGATGTAACAGGTTGGGGCTGGTCCTGGGCTTGCTTAGCTGCCTTGGGATCTGTATTGTGGCAAACTTCCAGGTAATTCCCTCACTGTTTCCCAATGCTCTTGAGTGCAAGTTATGCGTCATAGAAACATAGAAACGCAAAAGTTTACAGGGCAGAAGAAGGCCATTCGCCAGTCGTGCCTCTGCTGGCTCTTTTATGAGCAGTTCTTCGCATGTACAGCAGGCATAAGGAGAGAGAGAGCATGATATCCTGGGTTGAACAGGTAAATCCAGACCAGATGTGCCCAGGCACAAGGGCATGGATTTGGGATTCAGGTGAGTTTTTCTTCACCTGGCTGGTCACAGAGGTTGACTTATAACACATAGCACATTAGCTCTTATGGTACTTTCACCAAATATCTGTTATGGTTCCCCCTTCAATCTACAACTACTTCACCACGGATAGCATCTTGGAGTCCTGAACGTGGTAGGGTTCAATGCTAAGTAAAAGAGGAGGGGAAATGACAATCAGGGTGATAAAATCTAACATAGACTCCCTGAGCAGTGCGTTTTATAATTGATTGCCTTCTAGTGTAAAGCAGATAAATGTAACCTTGACCCCTTTTAATGGAGTCTGTGGTTGTGTCAAAAATGATTGATGTTTAGTTATTTTGATGCCTCTCAGAAAGTTAAACTTTAATGCAATCTCCCTGAACATCTTGTTCTAGTTGTTGTTATCTCTCTTCATATCTCAGATGTCTTGATCCTTGTTTAAGTGCAAACAAATGCTTCCTCTACACCACCCTTCCAATGTGCCTCACCCCAACCTCAGAAGAAGATTCAATGAGCAGTGTGGTGATGCAATTTAATCACAGAAGGCTTGAATTCACAACTTCCCTGACCCAGAAATGAGGCACCCCTTCCCCTGCCTTCCCCTCGCAATCCCAACAGAAATAGCTCCTGACACTTGCCTTACCTTTATTGAAGCTTGTCTGTCCTCTATTCTATTTAGAAAACTGCTATAATCCACGCTCATGTGTTAGGAGCGATTCTGACCTTCGGCATGGGCTTCATCTACATTGTGGTGCAAACGTTCATCTCCCATCGCATGCAGCCGCACCTCCACGGGATCGCCATCTTCTGGATCCGCTGTGCCCTCCTCATCTGGTGTGGAGCGAGCATTGTCAGTAGTATCCTTCCAGTAAGAGCAGATAGTCTTGGCTGATGTCCCATCGAGAAGGCATCTTATTTCCTTCTCTCACATTGTGGGAAATGGGGAGATCAAACATAACATCCTGATTCTCGTACTTGGGTTTGATCATGTCCTGATATATCAAAGTCTTTCTTTGTAACTGTTTTACTGTATGTTTGTGTGTGAATGTTTTTCCACCATTTTATTGTGTTGGTTTGTTTCGCTTTATTTCTTATTTCTTTCTCTCTGTGCCTCTTAATTCACACATTATGTGTCTCTCTTTTTGTATCTTTTAATTCATTCTGCGTGTTTCTTGGTCTGTGTCTAGGTTGCTCTGTGGATGCCTTGCTCTCTCTCTGTCTTATTCTACCTATCTCTGTGAAGCGCTTTGAGACGTCTAGAAGATGTGATAAGGCACTATATCAAATGCAAGAATTTTATTATTATTATTTCTATTTCACTGAGTGTGGAAGGGGGTTGTCTAGATATACATGTGTCATTATCTCTATTTCACTCTATGTTTGTCTCTCTCTTTCTCTGTGTACCCCTGTGTACCCCTGTCACTGTGCCTCTGATCATCTCATTTTGACTCTTTCAAAATTCAGCCCATTCCTGAAAGTATCATTCCGTTAAAGCTGATATTTCTCTTGTGGTGAACCTTGTGTATTTTGCTGAGCTTTGTGTGTATGTATGTGTGTGTGTGTGTGTGTGTGTGTGGGGTGAGGTGTGTGTGTGTGGTGAGCTGTGTGTGTGTGTGTGTGGGGTGAGCTGTGTGTGTGTGTGTGTGGGGTGAGCTGTGTGTGTGTGTATGTGTGTGTGTGGTGAGCTGTGTGTGTGTGTGTGGTGAGCTGTGTGTGTGTGTGTGTGTGTGTGGGGTGAGCTGTGTGTGTGTGTGTGTGTGTGTGTTGGTGAGCTGTGTGTGTGTGTGTGGTGAGCTGTGTGTGTGTGTGTGTGTGTGTGTGATGAGTCACTGTGGGTGAGCTGTGTGTGTGTGTGTGTGTGTGTGTGGTGAGCTGTGTGTGTGTGTGTGGTGAGCTGTGTGTGTGTGTATGTGTGTGTGTGGTGAGCTGTGTGTGTGTGTATGTGTGTGTGTGGTGAGCTGTGTGTGTGTGGATGTGGTGAGCTGTGTGTGTGTGTGTGTGGTGAGCTGTGTGTGTGTGTGTGGTGAGCTGTGTGTGTGTGTATGTGTGTGTGTGGTGAGCTGTGTATGTGTGTGTGTGGTGAGCTGTGTGTGTGTGTATGTGTGTGTGTGGTGAGCTGTGTGTATGTGTGTGTGGTGAGCTGTGTGTGTGTGTGGTGAGCTGTGTGTGTGTGTGTGTGGTGAGCTGAGTGTGTGTGTGTGTGTGGTGAGCTGTGTGTGTGTGTATGTGTGTGTGTGGTGAGCTGTGTGTATGTATGTGTGTGTGGTGAGGTGTGTGTGTGTATGTGTGTGTGTGGTGAGCTGAGTGTGTGTGTGTGTGTGTGTGGTGAGCTGTGTGTGTGTGTATGTGTGTGTGGTGAGCTGTGTATGTGTGTGTGGTGAGCTGTGTGTGTGTGTGTGTGGTGAGCTGTGTGTGTGTGTGTGGTGAGCTGAGTGTGTGTGTGTGGTGAGCTGTGTGTGTGTGTATGTGTGTGTGTGGTGAGCTGTGTGTGTGTGTGTGTGGTGAGCTGTGTGTGTGTGTGGTGAGCTGTGTGTGTGTGTATGTGTGTGTGTGGTGAGCTGAGTGTGTGTGTGTGTGTGTGTGGTGAGCTGTGTGTGTGTGTATGTGTGTGTGGTGAGCTGTGTGTGTGTGTGTGTGTGTGTGGTGAGCTGTGTGTGTGTGTGTGTGGTGAGTGAGTTAGTTGACACCTCTAATCTCATATCTTCTGTCCTCCATCTAAAAATATTTCCTTTTTCTTTCCCCACCCTCTTCTCTGCTTGTCGTCATAATCAACAAAATCCCCCAGTTCTGACGAAAGGTCATAGACCCTGAAATGCTAATTCATTTTCCTCTCTCCCTGGATGCTGCCTGATCTGCAACGTGTTCCCAGCGACTTCTGTGCGTCTACCAGATTTCCAGCGTGTGTAGTACTTTCGTTTTATCAATAAGTTATTCAGTCAGTCAGCTCTATCTCCAGGCAGTTTGAAGTCTCCACTTTGTAAATATTTCCATGACGCTTGCTCTCAGTGTTTGTTTCCTCTGTGACTCTCTACTCAATGATATCTGCCAAAGAAATGGCAACCAGGCTCCACTGGGACACCACAGACAAGGTAAGCTGCAACTGAACCACAGTAGAGCTCAAACCTCACTTCCACGGAGGGGGTGCAGCGCAGGTTCACCAGAATAATACCAGAGCTTAAAGGGTTAAATTACGAGGACAGGTTGCATAAACTTGGTCTGTATTCTCTCGAGTTTAGAAAGTCGAGGGATGATCTGATTGAGGTGTTTTAAATTATGAAGGGATTCAATAGAGTAATTACAGAGAAACTTCCTCTGGTGGGGAATTCTGGAACAAGAGGGCATCATCTTAAAATTAGAGCTCAGCCATTTCACAGTGAAATCAGGAGACAGCTTTTCACCCAAAGTTTGTGGAAATCTGAAACTCTCCCCAAAATGCTGTGGATCCATTTAAATTTTCAAGAGGTCAGGGGATCAAGTGATATGGAGCAAAGGCAGGTAAATGGAGTTGAGGTACAGATCAGCCACTATCTTAATAGGAATTGGAAGAGGCTCGAGGGGCTGAATGACCTACTCCTGTGCCTATGTACATAGACTATGGCCAGAGAGCTAAAAATGTAGTGAACACATTACATTTTGCAATTTTGTTAATTCTAAAAGCAGTGACTCATCCTAGGGCGTGGATTTCCAGCTGTAGCTTGCACTGCAAAATGACAGCAAATGGCTAATCACCTGAACGAGTGACATTTACATTTCGTGCAGTTTAGGAAACAACTCACTGCCGAAAATGGAAGTGTTTATATGATTTAGAACGCAATGCAGCAATGTTCAGATTGTATCAGAGAACCTGAATTCTATCCTATTAAAGGAACTTCATTGTGTGATGCAAAAGGTATTGAGCACTAAGATGATGACCCACTCTGGGGAGATTTAGCTGTAGGTTATCTGTGCATTTAAACTACAACAACTTGCATTTATGTAGCGCCCCTCACAGGGTAGCATCCGAGAGCGCTTGACAGTGGTGGAGCATGACTCCGAGCTGGGGGGAGGGGAAGGTGACGGTAGGCACAGTCAAATAGGAAGGTCTTCAGGGCAAAACATGAAAATGGGAAAGGAAGGCGAAAGGCACAGGGATAGAGGAAGAGTGGGAGAGGTTACTAATCCTTCCTCCCCCCCAAAAAAATGTTGTCACTCAGTCTACAACTGTTTGTGGGACAATGCTGTATACACCATGTTTCGCCCACAAAGTATACAGTCAATTCACCTTACAATATATTCTGTGAAGGGGTTTGAGACGTCTCAATGACATGATAAGACTCTATATCAAATGCAAGGATTATTATTATGAACCGGAAAATGTTAATTGTAGAAGAACTAGAAGTTAAAAGTGCACTGTAGTCACTAATGCATTATTAATTCAGTGTCTATAATTCTGGACTCAGGTTGGTTTGAGTGTGAATTGGGTTTAATGTTTTTCTGGCCTAACCTTAATCTGTATTTGACAGGGTTACACACTTCATCTGGTCAGCACCATCTCTGAGTGGTCGCTTGCCTTCTCCTTCCTCAGTTTCTTCCTTACATACATTCGGGATTTCCAGGTGAGATGTTGAGATGTGAATTTAGGCACAAACTGAAGTGTTGCAGCTGATGTGTCGCATTTCACCAAGGTGTGAGAGCAAAGAGCTTCTAAGATGCTTTTCTATACAGTATCTGGGAAAGTTCTCCATTGAATTCTTTGCTCTCAGTCAAGACTGAAGTGGATAGATATTTGTGAGGTCAGGATATCAAGGGATATGGAGGCAAGGAAATTGGAGTTGAGATATAGAACAGCCATGATCTTATAGAATGGCAGAGCCGACTTAAGGGGCTGAATGGTCTGCTCGTGTTTCTGTGAGCTTCCCATATTCCCACTGGGAATGTGGTTTTGTCCCTCACTGAAAAGTCCACATCCAATTCCTTGGCTGCATTGTTTTTTTAAAAATTCCCTCATGTTTTCATCCTTTCTTTTGAACCCTCCTAAGGGGAGGGTTGCCCTGGCACCTCCCTGTACCCAGCCACGTGGCCACTGTTCATTACCAGCAAAAAGCCGTCTGAAAGGAGAAAACTGAGTGGGCAGAATGTGCAGCATCCAGGTGTCATTATATGGAGGCCACCTACACTGTGCCAGTTATGTGTATGAATTGGTGCTTCTGTGCTTCTGTTGGAGTTTACTGCCAAGGGAGAGTGAAAGACTTTTTTATATAAAGGAGAGTGAAAGAAAAAAAAAGTTCCTTTTTGCTTTAGAAATTGCTAAGGGTTGTGTGAGCAGCTGCCCTTATCATAGCTGGGGACGTTACGACATCATAGCAGACACTGATCCTGTCCACTCACACACTTTCCAGAAGTGAAATAGAAAAAGGAGAACCCTGTCTCCTTTTCAGAGGCAATGAGGCGAATTGTAGCTTCTTCTGTAAGCCTGGCTAACATCACAAGCTCATCACAGAGCAGGGATCAAACCCACTCACTTACCCCTCTGTGCAATGCAGTCTAAGGGTTTGAGCACTTGACTCGCAAGTGAGAGACCTGGGTTTGATCCTCGGGCAGAGCAAAACGTGGCTTACTCCACAAACCTCTGTTTACCTCGCAGTAAGTTGTTAGTCAATCGGCAGATCGCTTTTCTGGGGGTAATAATTCCTTAAAAATAAATGTGGTCACTCAATCCCCGACTGTTTGTGGGACACTGCTGTGTGCAATTGGCTGCCGGGTTTCACCCACGAAATATACAGTTAATTCACTTTACAGTATATTCTATGAAGCACTTTGAGACGTCTCGAAAGCGTGATAAGGCGCTGGTATCAAATATAAGGATTATTATTATTATCCATTGATCCTTTCTAAATCTCAGCTTTATTTTCATATTTTCAATAAAAGAGTAGTTATGCATTGGGGGTTTCTTTGTGCTTTTGATAGCTTCTCTATGGAGCTTTACATTAACCCCAATCCCCTGCTTGTTCCCCATTATGTCTTTGCTGGTGCTAGCTAGCATGCATATGCAGAAGTTATGGATGGATTAACTCATTATCCTGGTTCTTCCCCCTCTCTCCCTCCCAATCCCAACTCAAGGGAAAACATGGAAATGGTGTTGGGTAGAAGTAAAAACTGCAAAAGTTTTGTGTTTGGTGTATATTAAGAATCCTGTCCTAACACTCCCTCTGTCCTTCACACAGAAAATAACTTTACATGCTGAGGTGGATCTACACAGTGAGACCCTGCACGATGGACCACAGTGGAACATGCCCCATGGAGAGCGCACCCCTCTGCTTGCAGGCAGCTTGTGACCCAACGCACTGAAGTGATTAAGACCACCAGCATCTCCGGGACTAAACCTCCTGATATCCAGAAGCCAGAATGCACAGCTGTGCTGTGAACCTTTCCTGTCTGTCTGTATTTCTGTCTGTTACAAATTCAACCAATGGATGCTCTCTTCTCATCTTAGAATAGTAGTGCTTCCATAAAGAGACTGCTGCATCTCAGTAGACGATCAATAGAGCCATCAACAAGGTCAGTTGTGGAACAGCAATACTCTTTGAGTGGCACTGCGCCATGGTGAGGGATGGCTTCACAAAGCACTTAGCCTTATGTACCTTAAGCATCCAAGAGGACAAGGATCCCTCATCAGCAGCATGTTGCACTATAGATCACACCTGCCAATAGAACCATGCAATGAGCTGGAAGACTAATCTGACCCATTATCAGGACCTGTATTTGAGGTTAGGTTGCCTTGATCTCTCAAGGGGATTATTATTAAGCAATAACTGCTGGTGGAAGCATTGTGAACATTACATGTCTGCTGGTCTTTTGGATGGTTAAAGCAATTGGCTTTCAAGGTCTCTGCACAACGCTGGATTTGGAGGCCATCACAGTGGCTCACACCGTCCAGGATCTTACAGACAAAACTTAACCCATGCAATATGCACATTAAGGATGAATACCATGAGCTCTTGGTATGTTATAACCCAACTTACATTTGTTTTTTTCTGGTGCTGTTGAAAATTGCTGAGTGATTGTCTGACCATGTTGAGGTTTCACCTTTTGGAACTGAATTAGAATCCTGTCCATCATGACGAGATGGAAGTCTGTGTGTGAGTGTTGACAGCATTACGTTTGGAGTGATCTCAATACAGTGAATTGGGACTCGCAGCAGAAAACTGTCTGAATTCAGCATGAAGTGGTCAATCTGCTTTGCCAGGAGAGGCTCAGGAAGGGTGATGTGACAAACACAAACTATCCTCTGCCTTTGACCATTCTGACAAATTTACAACATTACCAAGATCTGTAAATTTACCAATACCCAGAATTCTCCCTCCTCACAAAGCCCCGAATATCTCATGATCTTAACCTTAATACCATCGTCTTCAAATTTAAAATGATATAGAACTTTTGAAAAATATTCAAATGCAGTGTTAATTAATGTAATTATACAAAGAACTGTGAAAAGTGGCTTCAAAATTAAGATTTTTTCCCCCCCCGACGTTCTGCATGATACTACCTTTTAAAACAGTAGGTAAGAAGGTAAACATGAGGATATTTTTGTTGCTAAATGTGTGAGTTGCCCTGCGTCAGTGGTAACTTCTTACTTGGATTGAATCATAGAATATTACAGCAAACAACGAGGCCATTCGGCCTATCGTGCTTGTGCTGGCTCTTTGAAAGAGCTACCAACTAGTTCCACTCCCCCTCTCTTACCCCATAGGCCCACAAATTTTGCCTTTTCAAGTACCTAACCAATTCCCTTTTGATATGAATGAGAACTCACCAACTAAACAAAGGACATCTTCCCTTACCCCACATCTCCTGCTGTAATAATAATAATAATCCTTGCATTTGATATAGCAGTTTTCAAAGAACTTCACAGAATATACTGTAAAGTGAATTGACTTATATGTTGGGCGAATCGTGGCAGTCAATTGCGCACAGCAGTCGTGGATTGAGTGACCAAATTATTATTAGGTTTTTTTCATTTGCTCTTTTTGAGGGATTATTATCCCCAGAAAAGTGATTTGCCAATCGGCTAACAACCGGGTTCTTACTTACTGCTGGGTAAACAGAGGCATGTGGAGTGAGGAAACTTGCCCAACATTTCACCCTGCTGGGAATTGAACCCAGGTCTCTCACTTGAGCTACAAGACTCCATTCCCAAATGTGGTGTGTTGATCTATTTAATGGTAAGAGGATAATTGATGACTGGTAGATTAAGCAACAGGTGAGTGCTATAATGGGATGGAGTTGTGCTCTTTCTCTGGCATCTGGGTTGAATTTGAGCTTAGCTTCAGTGTGTGAAATTCTGTAATGGCAAATTAGTTTGCGAGACAGGAGTAGAGTATTGGTCCATCTCATGTAAACTTCCAAGTCCCAAACCTGAATCCAAATTGCACTTTACCAACTCTAACTATTGAACTGACAGCAAACACTCACTCCTCACTCCAGAGTAAGTTACCAATTGAACAGCAATGCAGAAAAAAATGTAAGGGCAGACAATGCTACATATAGGAAATCTAATGGTACAGTTGGGGTTACTCTGAGGTGTAGTTTGAGACAGTGGTGGGTGAATATTGTACTGTACTGGTGAACACAATGCTGTTAGAGTCATTGCAACAGCACAGATGTGCCACAAAGGAAATATAAAATTAGGAACTGCTTTCACGACTCTCACAGTCTTGCTGTCACACTTCCTCATTCTGGCTGGTTTCTAGCCTTTCCTCGAGCTCTGATTTTTTGCTGCAAATTACTCAGATGTTAGGAACCAGATTTTAATTCATATTTAATTGATAGGAGGTTCATTCCAGTCCACTTGTAGATAATTAGCTTTTGCTCCCACAGTGTATGATGTACCAAATTGAACAACAATGCTGTAAGGAGTTAAACTGCTCTCAAGTAGGAGAGCTGTGAGTACAGAGGTCAGTAATCACATCTTAACCAAGAAAAACAGCTGCTGACTTATAGCTTTGGAAAGTTTACAGCTCATTGTAAAGTACTGTTGGTAAAACATTTGCATTTTATATTATAATTCCGTCCACTTCTCACAAGTGCCTTGTTACACCAGCACAGTGGCTTCTCAGCCTGGCTCAGTCAACAGCACTCACTGTCCTTTGGGAGGCCTGGAGGAGAGAGAGCACTGCATTGTTGGAGGTGCCGTCTTTAAGACGAGATATTAAACCAAGGTGGGGTCAGCCTTTTCAGGTGGATGGTGAAATAAATTCTGTGACACTGTTGGAAAAGAGAAGGGAAGTTCCTCTCGCATCTTGGCCAGAAATCCTCCAATTGATTGGTCATTCGCTTCATAGCTATTGGTGGATCCTTCGTCTACAGTACAGATATTTGACTTGGCAGTAATTACCTCTGAAGTTATAAGGCCTATAAATGAAAAGCCTGCTGTTTGTCATGCTGGGGGGAAGCATGATCCTGAGTTGATGTTGGTGGCACTGGTTCCCCTAGCCAACATCTGGCGTTCACCTCGCTCAGGAATGTGTTTCCACTGACCCAGCTCGGCAGGAGCTGAGCTGTAGGTTTCCTCTCCAGCACTCAGGAGCTATTTTTTCATACGTCCGGTTCCCAATCAGAATATGCTTTCTAATTGATTAACAATATGTTTTGTGATTACAGAAATAAATGATTTTTTTTACATTACACTAAACAGCAGTGTGCTCTGTCATTGATCTGGCAAGGAGACCTTCCATCATTCACAGTGACAAGGGCATCGTCTCAAGGTTGTTTGAAAATACTGGGAGAGTTTAGAGCCATTTTCCCCTACAGAGGGTTGTTAGGGTGTGGAATTCATTACCAGAATAACCACTGAGGGTGGCTAATCATTCACAAGAAAACTGGATAAGGACCTCAATATAAAATTAATCTCTTACTATATAGGGAAGAGCTAGAAAACACTGATTACTGCAAAGAGTATTTATAAACATATAGCAATGGCCCCTGTGCTGAAAATCAATGTTTATCCAGTGACTAACACACTAAATAAGATGGTAATCAATCAGATGTTACCAATTTTTTGATAACATGATTAAGTTGCTTTCACCATAGTGCAGTATTGTTATGCAATTTGTTACATAGACTGCGCGGAACTGCTGTCTGCATCAACACAAAGAACAGAATCAGATACTTTATGACCGGAGGAGGCCATTTGGCCCATTGTGTCCATGCCATACTGAAACGTACTGCGCTGCTAGGCTGATTGCTGTCCAATGTTCTCAAAAGAGTTGGCTTGTGCTGGGATATGGGCAACAGCCAACAACCATCCTTGGGCACCTCAGCCAAGTGACCATTCTTTAGGGAAACATTGACAGTGCATTACAGGTTGCATCACAGGTCGAGCTGGCTCCTGCCTTTACCAGACATCTTCCAACAAGGGGGGGTCTTTGATTCGCATTCTCACTTGGGAATTCTGATAGATTTTGAAATCAGCCAAGGAGCAAACCTGGGACCTTCACTTCAGGGCTGTTTGTGTGACCTTTGTTGTGTGCAAAATGGCTGACATGTTTGGCTGTAAAAACAGTCACACTTGACCACAATTCCTTGTGGTCAAAGAATTTTTTTTTGAAACAATTTTATCTTAAAGGCGCTTTATCAAACTCAAGGATTATAAATACTTAATGCATGTCATAACATTATATTATCCGTGCTGTGCTCTGTGACCTTTGTTCAGCACTTGTTAATAATTAAATGTGAATATTTGTTAGATAAGTTGGAGGAAGTGGCATGTAAACTGGCAAGCTGCTCTTTTAATACGCTAGACTTTAACTTTATAATTGGCTTGTAACTGAAAAATAATTAATAAAGCAACAAAAAACAGCCAAAAGAACCGGGAACAGAAGGAAGGTCATGTACAATAATCCTTGCATTTGATATAACGCCTTATTATCACTGTCGTTGAGACGTCTCAAAGCACTTCATAGAATATATTGTAAAGTGTATTGACTGTATTTTACAGGCAAAAACACAGCAGCCAATTGTGCATAGCAGCGTCCCATGGATTTCTTTTCGGAGGGTATTACCCCTGTTAAGCGATCCGCCAATCGAATAACAACCAGGTTCCTACTGACTGCGGTAAACAGAGGTGTGTGGAGTAAGGAAACTTGCCCAAGGTTTTACCCCGCTCGGGAATCAAACCCGGATCCTCTTGGTTTCGAGGCGAGTACTCCAACCGATACCAGCTGTACCCATGGCAGCTTCACTTGCAACCAAAGGAACCAATAGGGAATGTAGATTGACACACAGACAGACAGTTTGTCTTTATCTATACTCAGCTGGAAGGACTCCTGTGGGATGACACAGGGGGAGGACTCCTTTAATATATTTTCTCTCACAGTCTCTCAGTTTCTCTCACTATCTCAGTCTCTCTCTCTCTTAGTCTTTCTCTGTCTCTCCCACAAAACCATCACTGCACTTTATAATATATTCTCTCTCATTCTCTCTGTCTCTCTCTCACAGTCTCTGTGTGTGTGTGTGTCTCTCTCTCTCTCGCTCAGTCTCTCTCTCTTGCTGTCTCTCTTTCTCCAGTTTCTCTCACGAGCAACAACAACTTGGATTTATATAGTGCCCTCCACGCCGGACGGTGTCTCATAGAGCTTAAACTCTCTCTGGGTCTTCAGTCTCTATCTCAAACTCTCTCTGTGTCTCAATCTCTCTCTCCCAGTCTCTCTTCCAGTCCCTCTCTCTCTCAGTCTCTCTCTCAATCTCTCTCCTAGTCTCTTTCTCTGTCTCTTCCAGTCCCCCCCTCTCTCTCTCTCAGTCTCTCTCCCTCAATCTCTCTCTCCCAGTCTCTCTCTGTCTCTCTCAGTCTGTATCTGACTGTCCCGCAAAACATACAGTCACTACACTTTATAATATATACTCTCTACCAGCTTCTCTGTCTTTCTCACTATCTCAGTCTCTGTCTCAGTATCTCTCTTTCTGTCTTGCTCTATCAGTCTCTGTCTCGCTCTCTTTCTTTGCCTTGCTCACTCAGTTTCTGTCTCTCAGTCTCTCTCACTATCTCAGTCTCTTTCTCTGTCTCGCTCTCTCAGTATCTATCTCAGCCTCTTCTCTCTCTCTCTCTCTCTCTCACTACTCAGCCTCGGTCTCAATCTCTCTCTGTCCACATGAGAGGGCTTAGCTCCAATGACAACCAGAAAAAAGTGCCATACATTTGTTGCAGAAGACGCTGGACAGTCAAGGGTTTCCACCCAAGTTGGAGGTTGGAAACAAGAGGCCAAAGCCAATTCTATGATTCTATGAGAGGTTGTGAGATGAGAAGAGAGAGAAGTCAATGGAGATAGAGCAAGATGGGGTGAAATGCAGGTTGAAGTCGCTTGGGATAAGGAGGCGTCAGAACAGAGGCGGAGGGATGCTAGGAGGGCAGAGATGAAGGTGGGGAAAAGATTGGAGGGATGGGGAGCGGCGGCAGGACAGAGTGGGGAGGAGCCTGGGCCTACCTACACAGGTAATCATGGGGAGCGGCGGCAGGGAGTGCAGCTCGGGGGGTGTGGGGTCTGAGGGGGGAAGGTGTGGGGGCGGAGCGGGGGAACCGCTGACATCATAGTTTAGTTTTCAGGAGTGCAACAAAAATAAACCTCTGCCCCCCCCCCCGCCCAGGGCTCACATCAGGGCCCCCCCATGGTCCTGGTGGGTTGGCTGCCCCAGCCCCAGCCTATGGGATAATGCCATCCACCTGACCGCTCGCTCCCGGTCCCCGCGTGCGCACTATGGCTGCCGCTTTGACCCGAGCCCCCTCACCCCCTCCCTCCCTCCCTCCTCCCTCCTCTCTACCCCCAAACCCTCCCCCCTCTGCATCTCTCCCGCTCTGTCCTCCTCTCTCTCCGTCCCTCTCGCCTTCTATCCCCACTTGACCCTCCCACAACCTCCCTCTGCTCCAGCCTGGGAATCCTCCGCCGGGCTCACCGTGGCACTCGGCGTTGGCTGTCCAGCAGCAGCCACACCGACTGCCCCATTCCCCACCACACTCGCCAGCCACCCCGGACACAGACCCGGGGAGCCAACCTCTCCTCCCTTATCCCCATTCGCCCCACCCCTGCCTCACAACCTGGACCCCCCTCCCCTCCCACACACCCTTCTGTCAACCGCTCCCTCCACATCGGACTACAAAATGTCCGCTCCCTCTGTAACAAGGCCCTGGTCATCAACGATCTCATCCTTGATGAGAACGTTGACATCATGGCCTTAACGGAAACCTGGCTCACCCCAGGCGACACCTTCCCCCTCACGGAGGCCACACCACCCGGCTACACCTCCCACCACATCCCTCGCCCCAACCGCCGTGGCGGTGGTGTAGCCCTTATCTCAAGGACACCACTTGCCCTATCCCCTTACTCCTCTGGCTCTTTCCCCTCTTTTGAGCACCTCACCCTCTCCCACCCCTCCTTCCCCTCACTCAAAATCCTCCTCCTCTACCGGCCCCTAAAACCTCTCCCACCTTCATCTCCGATAATTCTACCCTACTTACATCTCTCCTCCTCTACTCTGATCGCCTCATCATCCTGGGCGACTTCAACCTGCACTTCACCCCCTCCTGCTCCATCTCCTCAGATTTCTCTTCCCTGCTCTCCTCGCTCAACCTCTCCCTCCACATCAACTCCCCCACTCACAGTCACGGCCACCCACTCGACTTGGTGATCACCCGGGGCCTCAGTGTCTCGGATGTCACTATCACCGACAAGGCCGTCTCCGACCACCACTTCATCTCCTTCACCACCTCCACCCCCCTCCCCACCTCCACCAGACCCACCACCATCTTCTACCGCCCTGGAAGAAGTTACCCCCACAATCCCTAACCGCTGCCTTGGAGTCCTCTGAACTCCTCTCCCTCTGGCCTTCAACCCTCACTGACCCCTCTTCTCCTCTCACCCTCCTCCACAACACCCTCTCCTCCACACTTGACACTCTTGCCCCCATCACCTCCCGTACTGTCTCCTACTCTCGCTCCTCCCCCTGGTTCACCACCCACCTCCGCTCACTGAAGAGCCAGGTGTGGGCCGCTGAACGCACCTGTGTCAAATCTGGCCTAACGGTCCACCGACAAATCTGGCTGGACCTCCTCAAAATCTACCGCTCCACTCTAGCCTCGGCCAAATCGTCCTTCTACTCCAGGATAATCCTGGAGGCGAAGAACAACCCCAGGCTACTGTTTTCTACCACATCCCGACTCCTCCGTCCCCCCCGCCACCCCGCGCAGGTCATCTCCTCCAACCTTCACTGCGAGGAGATGCTGGATTTCCTTGAATCCAAAATCAAGGGAATTCGCTCCGCGGTCACTTCCCCTCCAACATCCACCCACCACCCACCCCTTCCCTCCCACACCCCGACTCCTACCCATCCTCCCCTACACACCTTCGTACCCGTTTCCCCACCCTGTCACCAAACTCATCCTCTCCCTGAAACCCACCACCTGCTCCCTTGACCACATCCCCACTCCACTCCTTATCTCCCAGCTCCACCTCCTGCCCCACATATCACAGACTGTCCCTCTCCTCTGGCTCTATTCCCATTCGCTTAAAAACTGCCATCGTCACTCCCACCTTGAAAAAACCCTCCCTTGATGCGTCGCAGCTATCTCCAACCTCCCCTTCCTGTCCAAGGTCCTGGAACGAGTTGTCGCCTCCTAACTGCGCTCTTTCCTCTCTCCCACCGTCTTCATTTTTTTCCACACACGGCTTTTCCTCCAGCCGCCGCACTGTCTCGTGGGGTGTCCCTCAGGGCTCTGTCCTCGGTCCCCCCCCTTCACCCTCTATATGCTCCCCCTGTGGTGACATCATTCGCAGACATGGGGTTAACTTCCACATGTATGCGGATGACACCCAACTCTACCTTTCCTCCTCTATCCTCAACTCCACGACCCCCGATGTCCTAACAGCTGTCTGTCCGACATCGAGTCCTGGACGAGAGACAACTTTCTTCAGCTCAACGTGCGCAAAACTGAGGCCCTACTGATTGGCTCACGTCAGCGCCTCCGCACCTCAGGCGCTGACACCATCAGCATCCAAGGCTGCACTCTCCACCTCTCAAAGCCATCAGGAACCTCGGGGTTCTGTTCGACCCTGAGCTGTCCTTTCTCCCCCATATGCACCACAACTGGCACCGCCTTCCATCACCTCCGGAACATCGCCAGACTACGGCACTACCTCACCCCTCACGCGGCTGAAACTCTGGTCCACGCCTTTATCTCAGTGGTTAGAGCACTTGCTTTGCAAGTGAGAGACCTGAGTTCAATTCCAGGCAGAGGGTGAAACCTCGGGCAAGTTTCCTTACTCCACACAGAGCCTAATAATAATCCCTCCAAAAAAAAACCCAAAACAATAATAAATTGGTCATTTTCAATCCATGACTCTTTGTGGGACATTGCTGTGCGCAATTGGCTGCCGCGTTCGCCCACAAATATACAGTCAATTCACTTTACAGTATATTCTGTGAAGCGCTTTGGGACGTCCTCCCGACGTGAAAAGCGCTATATCAAATGCGAGGATTATTATTATCACCTCAAGGCTGGACTATGGGAACTCTCTCCTCGCCGGCCTTCCCGGCCCTCCCTCCACACTGCAGGTCATTCAGAACTCTGCAGCTCGTGTACTGTCCCGCACCAGACACCGCGACCACATCACTCCCACCCTCGCCCTCACCCTTGCCCTCACTCCCACCCTCGCCCTCACCCTCGCCCTCACTCCCACCCTCGCCCTCACCCTCGCTCGCCTCCACTGGCTCCCCATCCCCCAGAGGATCGAATTCAAGATCCTCATCCTCACCTACAAGGCCATTCACGGCCTCGCTCCCTCCTACCTCTCCGACCTACTGTCCCCCTATCTACCTGCCCGTACCCTCCAATCCTCCGCTCCGGTCTGCTCCACATCCCCCGCCCCAACCGGTGGCCGGGCCTTCAGCCTCTCAGCCCCGAGGCTCGAGAACTCTATCCCCAGTGCCTTCGCCGCTTCCTCCCTTTCCTCCTTCAAGGCCGGTCAAAACCTTTCTCTTTTACCGTTCCTTCAGCTCCCCTCTCGACTCTCTAACCCCTCCTCGCTCCCTCCCTTCCCTCCCCCTGACCATTTCCCCCCTCCTCGCTCCCTCCCTTCCCTCAACCTGACCATTTCCCCCCTGCTCGGGTCCTGACCCAAATGTACAGCGCCTTAGGACGTCCTCCCGACGTGAAAGGTGCTCTATAAATGGAATCTTGTTGTGTTGTTGTTGTAAGGTGCTCAAAGGAGGGGAATGAGCCAGTGGAGTAAGGGGGATAGAGCAAGCAAGTATCTAGAGATGAGAGCCGCAACTGCCACAGCGGTTATGATTATGGTTAGGACGTAGGGTATGGTGGGAGCTATAGCCAGGTGATGTGGCCTCAGTGAGGGGGCAGGTGTCACCTGGGGTGATCCAGGTTTCAATGAGGGCCAGGGTATCAATGCTTTCATCAACCAGTTTGCAGAGGAATGTGTGAGATGGGAGGGGGTGGTGGGAGGTTGGTAGGGAGGGTGTGAATGTGGATGAGGCAGGAGATGTTAGTCCACGTGGTCTGGGTCCAGCGGAGCTTGTGGTGGTCGTGGGGGATGGGGCTGTGTGGCTGCAGCTGGACAGCCAATGCTGAGAATGGTGATCCAGCCAGACATCCTGTGAAGTGCTTTAAGACATCTCAACAACGTGATAAACGCAAAGATTATTATTATTATTACCTGTCAATTGCCTTTATTATAAAATATCAATTGGATTACTCATTAATCTCCAGAGCTATAAGGATATAACCCAAGATACCCAGGCTTTCATTACATTGCCGAGATAATTCAGTGCAACCTGATTGGAACAAATGCTATTTGGCTCAGTAGTACACAGGGCGGTGGAGCAATACATTCTAAATGCAATGCAGTACTGGAGGTGCCTGATGTCCTTCGGATGAGATGAGAAATCTAGATTCTGTTTGCCTCCTCTTCAGGTGCATGTTAAAGACACTGTGACACTATTGGAAAAGATAATGGAATTTCTCCGTGTGCTGGCCGACAATCCTCCAGATTAACTGATTATTCACTCTTTGCTTTACTGTAGGCAAAATGTCTGTTGGTGTTTGCCTACGAAAAATTGTCGCTACACTCGGTAGTATTTACTGATAAATACCTTGAGACATTTCAACATAAGATACTATAAAAATGCTTTCTTCTAACTGGATTCCTGTTTTAAATGTCTGCTTTAAAGATGCATAGCACAAATCACAGTCTCTAGATTTATTTGACTCTTTTGCATTGCTATTTACAATCGGCACAATTAAAATCCCAACCCCTGTCCGTCGATAAAGGTTTCACCAGCGGAATCACAAGTTACATTCAACACAATCTCAATATTTCTATTTACAATTGGCTTTGAAATGTCAGAGCAATAGACCAAGAATGAAAGTGCTCACACAGAGAGGTACCTCAGTGCCAAGACCCTTTGTGGCAGCAGGTTGGGGGGGAGGGGGGGCCTCCCACTCAGAACTTAGAACTTAGTTAGTCATGAATTTCTGTGAAGATACCTGAGGTGTTACTGTCTATCAAAGACATTGTTTGAATGATTTCAATCCTCTGCACCAAATCCCTTTGTAAACAGTATAAAGGGCTTTACCCCAAATATCCTACTTAAATATAAACAAATTACAATTCTTGCAGACTATTAGCAATTTACACGCCAAAATGTTGATATTTTGGGGAATTTGCCCCATTCTTTCGTCCTGGGACTTCTTGGTTTGGAAGGCTCCTTGTCCAGAAGCCTATCACAGTTTGTCCACATTAATCTCCTGAGTCCTGACTGGGGCTGGCTACCAAGCCTCCTCCTCAATTCTTCCTCTTCTCGTGATACTCAGAGATTTTCTTCTCAAAGAATCCTGCAAACAGAGAGGGCAAGGTGGTGAAAATTCAACTCCGAACGAGACTCTCTCTATCTCTTTGGTCTGCTTATTCCTCACCTCAATCTCTTTGGAAAAACACCAAAAGCTGTGAATTTGCTTTCGGGTCAGTCGGGTGTTTGACACATGTGGAAACGCATCACGTGTGAATGGAAACAGGAAGAGGGGCACTGAAGGGAGAATGGCAGGAAGAGGACGATGGAGAGCAGATTTGAGGTCTCTACCTGACAAAGGACATTCAACTTTCCAACACTGAACAGATGAGTTAAGTGAGTTAGACCTTATGTCTTGCTTTGAGGCTCATGGAGCTGACTTTGTTCCCCTCACTATCCTAATACAATATTTGTTAATCAGATTGATGGTGCTGATTGAAAATGGATGGTTGGCAAAGTCCAAACACCATCTGTCTGTCTCTGGCCAGCGTTGTTTCCCTTCCTAGGGATTTATGGGCTGTAAATTTCGCAATGCTTCCAGTTTGCAAATACTATATGGCATTTTAGAACCCAGTAATAATGTATTTAAGCTGGCTCTGTGGCACACTAAGAGCAGAATTGGAGGCACAGGCTTCAAATTAAAAGCCTCATCCAGACTAGAGATTAGAAGTTTTTTTGTGTATTAATACAACAAAAAATTGGATACATTTCTGGTTGAGAAGGAATATTTTGAGGGATAGAGACAGATGTAGACTGAGATGTATTGGGGATCTATAGATAGGTGCATATTGAGATACTGGAGGTTAAAGGGATAAGTACAGACTGAAACTTATTAAGGGATGCAGTACTGGAGCAGACTGAGATCCATTGGGTGTTACTGACTCATACGGAGTTGCAAATCACTCAATAATCAATAATAATAATCCTTGCATTTGATGTTGCGCCTTATTATATCGTTGATACGTCTCAAAGCGCTTCACAGAATATACTGTGAAGTGAATTGACCATATATTTTGTGGGCGAAACATGGTAGCCAATTGGCACAGCAGGGTCCCACACACAGTCATAGATTGAGTGACCAAATTATTATTACTTTGTAGGAATGGGGCTTATTGAAATCCATTGGGAGTTACTGACTCATATAAACCAGTAGTGGAGGAGCAGAGTAATAATCTGGGGTAATAATCCCTTCAAAAAACATTTTTTTAAAAAAAGTAATAATTTGGTCACTCAACCCATGACGGTTTGTGGGACACTGTTGTGCGTAATTGGCTGCCGTGTTTCACCTACCAATTGCACAGTCACTCCACTTTACAGTATATTCTGTGAAGCGCTTTGTGACATCTCAAAAACATAAGGCACTATCAAATGCAAGAATTATTATTATTGTTATGGCGCCATGTGTGATGTTGTAATAATTAGGTGTGTTGTTGGTGAAGTTCTGGCCATTACCTTCCTGGGAGTTTGGGTGGCGCTCCAATTCCTCTATAAATAGGTGGAACATCTGCGTATCCATGAAATTTTTAAGGAACTTCTGGATTGACTTGGAAGAAACAGACTTGCGGAAGGCTTTGGGCTGGAATTTCGCCGTTGTTTTCTGGTGCTTGAGATGGTTGGAATAATGTCCGATGGTTTTAACAAAGAATAGCACAAAAAGGTTTGTCACCATTTTGTTCAACTCTTCAGTGGCTGAAAGAGAGAGACAGAAGTAAATATCACATTGAGTTCTGGATCAGACTTTTAATCACATTTACAGTTTTCAAATTTAATAATAATCCAACTTCTATCTCTATGTGACCTCTCTGTGACCCTATTTACCCCACAGCATCCCCCCTCCCTCCCTCCCTTCCACTCAGCAAACAGCAGCCTGTTTCATGCTCCCCTCCTGATCTGTCTCACCATGGTTGGGCAGGCTTTCAAACATTTTGGAACTCCCTATATCTTACCCCTTTCTCCCCTCCCACCCTACCCCCAGCCTGGGCTCTCCTCATGGGAAACTTCTCTCCAGCAGAGCCAGGTGGTATTTAACATGCATCTAAATGGGCACCGGGATCATGATTTTAATATCTCATGTTAAGGACAAAAGCAGCAGTAATAATAATCCTTGCATTTGATATAGTGCCTCATCACATCTTCGAGACGTCTTAAAACACCTCACAGAATAGACTGTAAAGTGAATTGACTGTATAATTTGTGGGTGAAACACGGCAGCCAATTGCGCACAGCAGCGTCCAACAAACAGTCGCGGATTGATTGACCAAATTATTATTATTATTTTATATTTTTTGAAGGGATAATTACCCCCGGAAAAGCAATCCACAATCAGGTTCCTACTTACTGCTAGGTAAACAGAGGTGTGTGGAGTGAGGAATCTTTCCCAACGTTTCTCTCCTGGGAATCAAACCCAGGTTCTCTCGCTTGCAGGGCGAGTGCTCTAACCATGAAGTTACAAGACCCTAGCACTGCACGGATATATCAGCCTGGACTGTGAGCTCAGCTGATGTGGAGCTTGAACACAAAACTTCCACCCAGGAGACCCCAACTGTGTCGGATTATTTGTTTCTAGTTTCCCCCTCATTGGCACTTGCCTCTGCTCCTAGCCTGACCTCTTCCTGCTCTGTTTGCTCTCCAGTCACCTATCCAATTGGCCATTGTTTGTGCGTGAGCCTTGGCAATGAGTGTCAGAGGGCATCACAGACATGAAAAAGGCAATAGATTGGAGATTGACCTGGTTTGTCACCAACGCCCCCTCACCTCAGCCGCTGACACGATCACCATTCATGGCTGCGCTCTTCACCTCACTGAGCCAATACGAAACTGTGTACTTTTCGACCCACAGCTAACCTTCAAATCCCACATTTGTGCCGTGACCCTTTCCGCCTTTCCTCTGCAACATTGCCCGACTCCGACACCGCCTCTCACAGGCTCCCGAGACCATGATCCATCAAGTCCCAGTTTGACTACACCAACTGCCTGCTTGCTGGACTTTCCAACTCTTCACTCCACAATCTGCAGATTATTCAGTACTCTGCAGTTGGCGTTCTCTCCTGCACCAGGCTCCGGGAACCTATCAGCCTTGTTCTTGCCCGGCTTCACTGGTTCCTCATTCCTCAGAGAATCGAGTACAAAACCCATGTTCTTACCTTCAAGGCCCTCCACGGTCTTGCTCACCCCACCTCTCCGACCTCATAACCCCATATCAGCCTCTCTACTTGGCAGACACCAGCCTGCTTTAGGTCGCCCGCACTTCCTCGGCAGTCAGGCATTTAGCATCTCTGCCCCCACACTCTGGAACTCTATCCTGCAATTCCTCCAACTCACCCCCTCCCTTGATTCCTTCAAGTCTGAAGACCTTCTCTTTGATCGTGGCTTCGGCCACCTTCCCACCTCTACCCCCAACCCCCCTACCCTCCTCCCCCCTACTCCCAGTTTGGGTCCAAAACCCGATTGCCCAGCGACCTGGGACGTCCTTCCATGTGAAGGGCGCTATACAAGTGTAATTTGTTGTTGTTTCTCCCTAACCCTGCCAGGGTCAATTTACTCTCCCCAACAAATCTGGCACGGGATGGAATTGGGGATATAAATTTAAGCACTTTGAGACATCCTCCCGATGTGAAAGGTTCTTCATAAATGTAAATTGTATTGTAAACCAGGAGAATGGTAAGAGGAACACTCTATTTGAATTAGTGACAGTAGGGAGCGCCCTTTACCTCCACCTGAATCAAAGACAGACACAGATCTATAATTAAAAACATAATCAGAGATTGGGCTGGATTGAGCATCTTACACTTGCAGGTGTCTCTCTGGCTCTTCAGTGTCCCCAGCAGCTCCTTATACAGCTTGTGGGGTAGAATCTCTTCTTCATCGCCGACCTGGAACATTTAATAGTAATTCTTGGATTTGATACAGCGCTTTATCACATCTTCGAGACATCTCAAAGCTTTCACAGAATATACTGTTGAGTGAGAGAGAGACACACACAGAGACTATGGGTGTGAAAGCCTGAGTTTGTGTGTATAAGAGACACAGAGAAGGTTTTGCGCACCAATTGTCATAAACGTTTGTGGTTTGAGTGACCAAATTATTATTTATTTATTTTTGAAGGGATTGTTACCCTCGGAAAAGTGATCCGCCAATCTACCATCAACCATGTTCCTTCTTACTGCGGTAAATAGAGGTGTGTGGAGTAAGGAAACTTACCCAACATTTTGCCCTGCCTGGGAATTAAACCCTGGTCCTCTCGCTTGTGAGGAAAGTGCTCTAACCACTGAACTACAGGACTCCACAATTACATCAATGATCCTTCAACATATCGGACACTCCTACACACAGCCTCTCTCCCACTCCTAAGCCTTTACACTTGCTGCCCCAATCGCCTGCGTTACAGTGGCACATGTTATAGACATTTGCGCGAGTCACACGTGATATAGAGTCATCCATAGACACGTGACACAGATGCACAATATCCGAGGAAGCTTCACACAAGCTAAAAGGCAGCTTTATGTTTGTCAGAAACCGATGAACTCACCTTTTTTATAAACGTCCCATGGCAGAGGTCCACAATCAGACACTGAAAGACAGACACCCACAGCATGTTTAGCCATGATTCACATCAGAGGCAGAGCAAGTGTTTCACACTAGTGCTTGGAGTGAGAAGCTACCTTGGTGAATCCTTCACTCTTTCACACAAAAGATGGATTCATTCTGATGGTGGGGCAGAAACCGGCGTCCCCCCACCCTCCTCACAATGTGGCACACCTGAAGGTGCTGGTTCTCTGCTGAGTGTCCGCTTATTGCCAGGGCAGTACTTAGTGCTCCTTACTGTCAAGCGCTCTTGCATTTATTCAGCAGGGGTACTATATAAATGCAAGTTACTGTTGTTGTCGGGGCTACAGGTGGCCTCAGTACCTCGGGATTAGGACATCAGCCAGCGGTCCCGCTCGCAATTCTTCTCCTGCTGAAAATTGCACAAGCACATGTTGGGACAGGAATGGGCTTCGCTATGATGCACCCATCAGGGAATATTCAGCCAATGATCTGGATCATCGAGAACACCATAGCCTGTGTCCTTTCTCATATCAGACCCCATGAGCCCACCCAGATCAGGCTCTCTATTCCCCATCAGATCTGCTTTAAATCCTTGCTCTAACTTTCAAAATGCACACACTTGCCCCATCCAGCTCTGTGATCTACACACCCACTCTCTACTCTGCCAACTCAGGTCCGCTTCCTCCTCTCCTTTTGCAGGTGAGCCTTTAGCCACCTTGACTCCACTCTCCCTAAGTCCCTCCACCTCGCTCCTTCCCCCTCTTCTTTCCATACCTGCTAAAAACCCTCTCTTAGAACCGTGGCTTTGGTCACCTCTTGCCTTATCGCCCACCTTGCTCAGGTTCCTACTTCACCGCTGAGATGTTCTATAGAAAGGTGTTACACTACAATCAATAATAATATTTGCATTTGCTATAACGCCTCATTAGGTTTTAGAGACATATAGCAAATTTTACTGTGAAGAGTGACTATATTTGTAGGCCAATGCGGCAGCCAAATTGGAAAAGGTAACGTCCCCACAAACAGCCATGAAAGTGAAAGTACAAACAAATTGTGATTTTGAAGAAAAACAAACAGAACTTCTCTTTTGAAGAATGTAAAATAGTGAATTGTGTTTTATAGCATTCCAAAGCTCAGCCTGTGTCCATCTCCTGCCAATCTCTCAGTCCTCAGGGATGGGAGAAATTTTGAATTGGTGTCCAGCCAACTAACCAGCACTGGCATTCCTGAACCCGTCCCAAGGATATTTCCAGCTGTAAGTGCTGAGAAAAACTTGGGATACACAGAGCTTTTTTCCCACTGGACCATTGTTGTTTACAATTTGGCCCAAAACCATTTGTCTTCTTTCACTTGCAGCTGAAATCCTGGCAGATCTAATGTCGTTAGGGAAACATCTCTCTATCACTCATGATCTTTAAACTGTCCCGATTTTCCCACGAATTAGATCACAGGGACCTGATTGCCTTGTGCAACAGATATCTGTTTGGAAATCAAACCATTGGTTAAAATCTGCACTTTCACTTCCTGAATCTCATTGTGAACCCCAGAGACTAAACTAAAGGGTAGGGAATTACAAACACAGGCTGGCTGAACCAAAGATCTATGATGTCCCAGTTCCATGTGTATGGGGAATGAACATTGCATGGGGAAGGAGGAGGAGAGAGGAGGGACAAGGAAGTAGGGAGAAGGAGAAGCCAATGATTAGCTTAAGTATGATTCCTTCACCCCCAACAAACAAATTCTGGGTCAGTCTGTGCTGAGTTATTGATCTCAGATGGGAAGTGATTGAGCCCAGTATTGATCTCCCCACCCACAGGTTTGGGAGGAATCATCAGGGTTCAGGCTCTTAATCACTGCCCCCCTTGGGGTGGCGGGTGGTTAAGATAGAAGTAATCTTGACATAGAATGTTCAACTTTTGTGGCCGTTTTGCTTTACAGTATATCCTGTGATGTGAAACACTTTGAGACATCTCAATGACGTGGAAAAGCGCAATATAAAGTACAAGGATTATTATTTTTATAACTTTTGCTCCTGTGGTCTGTGATGTGACACAAGCTTCTGGTCAGCAGAAGCTGAGGATTGGGGGGAGGTGCGGAATTATAGCAACTACAAATTGGATCTTGTAGTGTCTGATCTCCAAGCTCCAATAATAGTAAAACGCCCTTAAACCACAGACTAGAAAAGGGAAGAGGAAGCTATCAATTGAACTGAAATAATATCAGTTCATTCAAATCAAAAAGGAACCTAGACATTATATCACGTTTATGGGTCCCAGTGGCGATGACCTGGGGGAAACTCCAGCAAAGAGAGGGTGGAAAAAGTTTGCAGATGATACTAAACTAGGAAAAGTAGTAAACAGTGAGGAGGATAGTAGCAGACTGCAAGAGGACATAGACAGACTGGTCAAATGGGCAGACACGTGGCAGATGACGTTCAATGTGGAGAAATGTGAAGCGATTCATTTTGTGAGGAAGAATGAGGAGAAGCAATATAAGCTGATGGTACAATCTTAAAGGGGGTGAAGGAACAGAGAGACCTGGGGGTCATATAGTAAATCTTTGAAGGTGGCCGGACAGGCAGATACAGCTGTTAAAGAGCATCCGGGATACTAGGCTTTATAAACAGGGGCATAGAATACACAAGTCAGGAAGTTATGGTGAACCTTTATATAAAACACTGGTTAGGCCTCAGCGAGAGACTGTGTGCAGTTCTGGGCCCCAAACTTTAGGAAGGATGTCAAGGCATTGGAGAGGGAGCAAAGGAGATTGACCAGGATGGTACCAGGAATGAGGGGCGTCAGTTATCAGGAGAGGTAGAGAAGCGAGGATTATTCTCCTTGGAGCAGAGAAGGTTAAGAGGAGCCTTAATAGAAGTTTTCAAAACGATGAGGGGATTCAATAGGTGAACAAGGAGAAACTAATCCCACTGGCGGATGGGTCTGTAACCTGAGGACACCAATTTAAATAGTTGTTAAAAGAAAGAGGGGAGGTGAGGAGAATTTTTTTCACAGCGAGTTGTTGGGATCTGGAATGCATTGCCTGAAAGGCTGGTGGAAGCCAATTCGATGACAACTTTTAAGAGAGAAGCAGATCATTATTTGGGGAGGACAAGTTTGCAGGGTTATGGGGAGAGCGCAGGGGAGTGGGGTTGATTTGGAAGCTCTTTTCAAAGAGCCGGCACAGACACGATGGGCCGAATGGTCTCCTTCTGGGCTGTAATTCTATGATTCTATGATACAGCAATAAATAGTTCATGGAATCTTTTGTGTCCATAATAGATGGGAGTTTGGTTTAACGCAAGAATTATTATTACCATTAACATCTGCCCTGCAATACATCATTGTTGCCAATACAGGGCACCCCTAGGACTGTAGCAGAGTGTCGGTCTGCACTGTGTGAAAGGAAATTGGTTGCTGATTTTCTGCTGCAGAGTGCACTAAAGCAAATCAGATCATATAAAATTCCACCATCATATCCTTTCTCATGCCCTGCTCTACAAATCCATTCCCCCCATCCTCACTAAGCTCCATTGACTCCCTATCCCTTTAACATGCTTGTTCTAATGCTTCTGTGCCCTTGTCTTATGCTTACCACAGTGATCTCCTGTGGTCCTGTTTACTGCTACCTGCCGATTCCCTGCACTCTGCTAACTCGGGCCTGGTCCACATCCCCTATCAGCCACGTTGACGCAGACCTTTGAAACTCTCCCTAAACTCCTCCACCTCACACGCTACATTTCTTCTATCAAAATATACAGTGACTTCACTTTACAATAGATTCTGTGAATTGCTTTGAGGTGTCTCAATGACGCGCTATTTCAAATGCAAGGATTATTATCATTAATCAAAAGTAAAAAAAAACTACCTTTTTGACCTTGCATTCCCCCATTTCCCTCCATCTCTGTAAAGCTTTTTGAGAAATTTAACTACACAAAAGGCTCTATGTAAATGCAAGTTGTCATTGTTGACAAAGCTACTTCCCCAACTGCCCTCCATCCTCCTCAATCGCGATCTCCAGCTCCGAAACACTGACTGAAACTGACTGTTTCAACCCCCGAAACACTGACTGTCCGGCACCTTGGGACGTCCTCCCGATGTCAAAGGCGCTGTACAAATGTTGTTGTTGGGGACTACATGGTCCCCAACAACATTTGTTTTTACTCAGAGGGTAAGGCCTTTCACACTTACATCCTCGATGGGTAGATCTTGCAGCCTCTCCAGGAATGATATCTGGACACCCATCATGAAAGGGGTTGGAGAGCAGACGCTATCTATCATGACCTCTGGCAGCACGGGGATGTAGGTGTGTTGCCATGTGAAGGGGTAGAGCAGGGCAGCGATGGCGTGGATACATTGTGAGAGAATGCTAGCAGGGAGGGGAGAAGATACACAAGCAGTTACACAAATGCCCTCAAACCTGGTCACCAGATCCTCAGCCCATGGGAAGAAAGTATTCCAGATGTTCCCAACATTTGATGTAATTTCCTATTACAAATATCATGTTACAACTTCCTGAAAATATCGAAAAGCTATTGGTAACTGACTCTCTATTGGCATTAGACCTGTCCCAGCTCCCACTCCCAGACCTGTCCCAGCTCACACTCCCAGACCTGTCCCAGCTCACACTCCCAGACCTGTCCCAGCTCACACTCCCAGACCTGACCCAGCTCACAGTCCCAGACCTGACCCAGCTCACAGTCCCAGACCTGCCCCAGCTCACAGTCCCAGACCTGCCCCAGCTCACAGTCCCAGACCTGCCCCAGCTCACAGTCCCAGACCTGCCCCAGCTCACAGTCCCAGACCTGCCCCAGCTCACACTCCCAGACCTGCCCCAGCTCACACTCCCAGACCTGCCCCAGCTCACACTCCCAGACCTGCCCCAGATCACACTCCCAGACCTGTCCCAGCTCACACTCCCAGACCTGCCCCAGCTCACACTCCCAGACCTGCCCCAGCTCACACTCCCAGACCTGCCCCAGCTCACACTCCCAGACCTGTCCCAGCTCACACTCCCAGACCTGTCCCAGCTCACACTCCCAGACCTGTCCCAGCTCACACTCCCAGATCAGATCATCTAACATGGGGTAGATTCATAGTGAAGCTCCCTCCACACTGTCCTACCTAACACTTCTACAGCACCGGTTAGATACATAGAAACAGGAGGCCATTCAGCCCCTCCAGCCTGTTCCGCCATTGTATAAGATCATAGCTGATCTGTACCTCAAATTCAATTACCCGCCCTTGCCCCATATCCCTTAATACCCTGACCAAAGAAATATCTATCCACCTCAGTTTTGAAAATGTAAATGGACCCAGCCATAATCCACAGCCTTTTGAAGGCGAGTTCCAGATTTCCACTATCCTTTGTGTGAAAAACTGCCTCCTGATTTCACTCCTAAATTTTAAAATGACATCCCCTTGTTCTGGATTCCTCCACCAGAGGAAATAGTTTCTCTGTACCTACCCTATCAAATCACTTTATTATTTTAAAAACCGCAATCAGATCACCCAATCAATCAATTATCAATCAGATAACCTTACTTAAGTTTATGCAATCTTATGATACAGAGGAAAGCTCCCTCTGCACTATCCCACCTAACACTCCTCGGTCAGGTCATACAAAACTACGCAATCCATATCCTTTCCCTTACCAGGCTCCGCAAGCTCATTCGCATTGCCAGAGGAGGTCTTCTAGTTCAGAGTATATCTGGTTCAGACACAATATCCCAACCAATTTATCGTAACCCTGGAGCCACAGGTTAAATACAGAGCAAAACTGCCTCTACACAATCCCATCCAACACACCCAGGTAAGCTACAACACAGGTTAGATACAGAGTAAAGTTTCCATCCTGTCTGTCCAGGATCAGCCATAGATATCTTTACCTGAGCTCCTCTGCCAGGAATATCACGCGTCTCTCCAGCAGCACTGAAGCAAAGATCTGGATGATATATTCTTCTGATAAATAGAGCAAGACTGATGCTAGGTCCACATGCTCCAGCCTGGAGTCAAGGGGCCGGGTCAGCTCGATGATCTGGGGAGGGAAGACAGAACACAGATAATCAGCAGCTTTAAAAATCTAAATAGCTCCCCCTCCCTCACACCAGACTCAGCTATTTTGCAAACCTTTTGAGGGTGTAAGTCATCTCAGAAGACCTCCAGATCAGAGAGCTCCAGTGGGGGAGCGAGCACCAGCACAGACATGATGAGGAGATAGCAGGGAATGGGATTAGAGTAGAGAGCTCCAGTGGGGGAGCGAGTACCAGCAGAGACATGATGGGTTTCTTCCCCTGCTGTAATGTCTATGACAACCAAGCATCCCATAAATCCAAGCATCTAGAGAGCATCAGTACACAGGCAGATCCCCATGATCAGTCTCCTGGTGAAGGAAACACCTACATCCTCTAGGCCAGGACGTACCTCTGTTCCTGAATCCGGGATGAAGCTCTTCACACGAACAGTTTTCCCAGGAGCTGGGAAGGGACACTCTCTTAGTGCCTGCATGAAGGGGTATATCACGGCCGTGCAGATCTGCCGTCTCTTCTCTACCTCATCCAGGATCTGCACAGAGAGAAAGGAATCCTGGGGTAATATTCCATTCCCTAACCCACATAAGTCACAGGCATCCCAGAGAATCTTAAAAACAACAGTAATTTCATGCGGGGTAGCAGGAGCACTTGAACAACAGAAACAAAATTACATTTGTAAAGCGCCTTTCATGTCGGGAGAACGTCCCAAGGCGCTGGACAGACAGAGTTACGGACCCGAACTGGGGGTCGGGGTCAGGCAGGGTGGAGGGCAGGGGAGGAAGCAGGGAGATCGAAAGCACGGTTGAAGAGGAGGGTCTTGAAGGAGGCAAGGGCGAGACGGAGGGACTATGGGATGGAGTTCCAGAGGGTAGGGGCAGAGTGCCAGAAGGCCCACCTGCCATAGTAGGGCAAGCGAGGCAGGGGATGTGAAGCAGGGCGGAGCCGCTGAGTGGAGGGAACGAGCAAGATGGCAGGGGGTTAGGATGTCACAGAGTTAGGGGGGAGCAAGACCGTGGAGGGCTTTGAAGGTGAGGACCGGGATCTTGAACTGTATCCTCTGTGTGGTGGGAAGCCAGCGGAGTCGGATGAGGATGGGGGTGATAGGGTCGCGGAGCCTGATACAGGGGAGGACATGAGCTGCAGAGTTCTGGGTGATCTGCAGCCTGTGGAAGGAGGAGTTGGGGAGGTCGATAGGGGAGGAGAGCATAGCACCTTCCACGCAGGGTAGCATCTCAGAGCACTTTACAGTGGTGGAGCCTGACTTTGAGCTGGGGGGAGGGGGCAGTTGGCTGTAACCATGGTTGAAGAGGAAGGTTTTCAGGCAGGACTTGAAAGAGTGGAGAGGGGGCAAAGCGGAGGGATTGAGGGAGGCTTCCAGAGATTTGGGGCATAGTGGCTGAAAGCACAACGAGGGACGAGCAGGAGGCCAGTGCCGGTTGAGCGGGGGTGCCAGGTGATGGACTGGGGAGTGAGGAGGTCAGAGAGGGAGGGAGGTGCCACGATTTGAGGAACTTGAAGTCGATCTGTTCGGTGTTCGGGAGCCAGTAGAGCCTGGGCCAGAACTGGGGAGATGTGCACACGGACTTTGGTTGTGGTCAGTATACGGGCGGCAGAGTCTGAATGAGCTGATCTTGTGATTAGTGGAGTTGGGGAGACCGGCGAGGAGTGTGTTGGAGTAATCCAGACGGGAGGTGACAAACGCATACATGAGCGTTTTTGCTGCATTTGGGGTAAGGTAGTCCGAGGCGGGCCATATGGACGAGGAGGAGGAAGGCGGTCCTTCAGGGACCGGATGTGGGGGAGGAAGGACAGCTGGGGGTCGAACCGGATGCCTAGATTGCGCACTGGTTTGGTGAGTCTCAAGGAGAGCCCAGGGAGGTTGAGTTTAGATCCGCAGGAGTGAAGATGTTGATGGAAGCCAAGGAGTATGGCTTCTGTCTTGTCCACATTCAGCTGCAGGAAGTTTACACTCATCCAGGCCCTGGTGTCTTCCAGACAAGCTGGTAGAACATCGGTGGACCTAGAGTTGGTAATGAAGGAGGCAAAGTAGATTTGTGTGTCATCTGCATACATGTGGAAGTTTATCCCAGGTCTGCGGATTACATCGCCGTGAGGGAGCTTATAGATAAGGAAAAGAAGAGGGACAAGGATGGAGTCCTGGGATACCTCGCAGGTGACCGGGTGGGAGGAGAAACTATTTGCTGAGATGAAACGGAGGCGGTTGATTAAGTTGGACTTGAACCATGCAAGTGCGGTCCCACTAAGGTGGATGAGGGAGGAGAAGTGGTGTAGGAGGATGGCGTGGTGGACTGTGTCGAATGCGGCAGAGAGATCCAGGGGAGGAGGCAGAGGGAGCCCTGGTCACAGATAAGAGAGAATGTGGTTTGTAACGTTAATAAGCGCTGTCTCTTATTGCGGATGGTCAGGGTGAAAGCCAGACTGCAGGGGCTCGAGGAGGGAGAAGTGTGACCGAAGTTGACTTGCAACATTGTGTTCCAGGACCTTGGCAAGGAAGGGCATGTTGGAGATGGGATGGTAATGTGTGAGATGAGAGGGATCGAGGGTGGGTTTTTTGAGGAAGGGGGGATTACAACGGTTTTTCAGGGGGAGCAGAACAATCAATCGCAAAGATGTTCAAATGAATAAAAAACCTTTGGTCTATTTGATCTCATCCTTCCAGATTACCCACCCATTTTCTTATTATAGCATTAGGCTGTTTCTTCACGAGGCCAGCCTGCTGACCTCAGCCATTTCTGTGTGAAGAATATCTTTCTGGCCACTCCTTTGAAATTGTCCACCTCTTATCCTTACTTCATGGAGTCCTGTAATTCAGTGGTTAGAGCACTTGCCTCGCAAGCGAGAGCACTTGGGTTTGATTCCCAGGCAGGGCGAAACCTTAGGCAAGTTTCCTTACTCTACACGCCTCTGTTCACCTAGCAGTAAGTAGAAACCTTGTTGTTTGTCAATTGGCGGATCGTTTTCTAGGGGTAAATAATCCCTCAAAAAAAATTGTTAAAATAATAAATTGGTCACACGAATGTGTGGGACACTGCTGTATGTAATTTGCTGCCGTGTTTTGCCCACAAAATAGTCGATACACTTTAGAGTATATTCTGTGAAGCGCTTTGAGATGTCTCAATGACAAGATTGTAGGCGCAATACAAATGTAAGGCTTATTATTGTTACCATTTAATCAGTAATGACGAGAATTGAACACAATTCTCCAGATGTAGCCTAATCAGACCATAAGACAGCTTCCAGAGATCTGAACTCAATAGCTTTGGTAATATAGCCTAGCTTCTCTTGTTTTTTAATGCCTTATCCACTACTAACTCATACTATTTTGACACAGCAAGTGATGTGAGTGATGGAGCCAAATAACTCCCATAGATCTCTTTCAGTATTCCCTTTCTGTCACATCCATGAAGTGTACAGGACATCGGTTTTCCCTATCTATGTACAGAAGCCTGCAGTATCGGCCTTGGGCTCTCGTTCCCCTGGTTCCAGTGCTTGCATTGCTGTTTGCGCAACATAAATAGAGCAGTGGAAATCTGTTACCCAGCAGGAGGCCATCGACCAATTTCAATAGTGTTGTCAGTGCTTGCTCCTCCAATGAAGCCATCTATCCGAATTCCAATTCCCTGCTTCCTCCCCCAACCTCTACCACTGACCCACCAACTCTGGAATAATACTACTACTACTACTAATAATAATAATAAGGCTTGCATTTGAGAAACGGCCTTATCACGTCACAGAGACATCTTAAAACTTAACAGGATAAAGTGATTTTTCACTATATGTTTGTGGGCGAATCGCAACAGCCAATTTGCACTCAACAATCATCCCCAAATAGCAGTGAAGTGAATGTCCAATTTTATTATTGGTGGGATTTATTGACCAGGACACCAGGATAAACATCCTACTTTGTTCGAATAGTGCCAAGGGATCTTTAACATCCACCTAAACAGGCAGACGGGACCTGTACCCTTTAACCTGCCAACCCCTCCTTACACCAACCTCTTTCTACATCAATCCATCTTGCTACCTAATTCAGTAAAGTCTGCTTTATGTCATCCTGTAGGGCACCTGACACGGGAAGAGGTTGTCTTCTCAGGTCACACATTCAAACATCAGTGGGTGCAGTTTGTCACCAATACACAAATCAATCATAACTTAATGGTACCTTAGAGAAGAGGCCGAAACAGCCCAGGCAGCTGATGATACAGAAAACCTCAGGCAGCCGGGCCCCCTTCCCACCTGGCTGTAGTAAGAGAAAGAGAGAAACTGAATTATAAGGAACAATATGTAGAGAGACAGTCCAAGTTACACAGTAACAGTATGTACAGAGAGAGCTAAAGGTTGACGTGAAAGAACGATTAACCTAGAGGACCCTGGGCAAAGCCTCCCTTTTTCCATAGTGCCTGAGGAGCTTTAACATTCACCTCAACAGGTGGATGGGACCTAGGTTTAACATCTCGTTCAAACGACCGCACCACCAACAAAGTCTAGACTGTAAACTCAAGCTCATGTACATCTTTCAAAGCACATCAAGACCTAACTGTTTGACCATGCTTCTGGTTATTTTTTCCTCTCCCCATCCCAGCCCCCTCAGCTCCCATCCCAGCTCAGGTGGCCCAGATGACAGTTGAGCACTTTGAGATGTCCTTCCAACATGAAAAAGGTGCTGTGTAAATGTTGTTAAGTTTCTGGAAGGGAAACACAAATTATTGCTTATGCGCCCATGGACCTTTCTCTAATAGGGAATCCGCCCCACAGCAGCCAAAAAGGTGGACCACCCTGGGTTAGACTAGGAGTTCAATGTCCCAACATGGGGCTTCATTGCAAATTTCAGTGGTGAGTGCTTTCGACTAAGCTCGGTTGCTCTCATTACTCATACAATGTACCACAAAACGGCTGTGTATTGTCCGCCAGTGAGTCAGCACCTTCAGGAGAGGAGGAGAGGTGAAAGTAGAGAAGAGAGAAGCAGAAGGTTCCAGAAGAGGAGGATGATTGTTACCAAAAGCCGCCTGCAGTATCCAAACTTCCGACTGCCATCAATATCGGTCAGAACAAAGGAGAAGGTCTCACTGAAAGAAACAAGAACCAAGTCATTGACCTAGACACTGACTCAGGCAACAAACCCAGATAGAGCTCCAGTCTTCTCGTCCCCTTACATTTACAGTCTATTAACCCCAAACTCGGAATCTTGATCTGCTGTCCTAGGGTATCCTTGTGTCTTCAGATCATAAAATTAGCAACTGATGAACAGTGTGTCAGGGGTGAAACCACTGCTGCCTCAGTGGATAAGTCACTGGCTGGAGTGAAACTGTGACATTGAAGGTGCCAGGTCCAATCCTGGTCTCTGCTTCATTCAGAGCCACAGTTGGCACTTATTATTATTGCCTTAAGTTTGGAAGAGGGAAACTCAGCGAGGTTTATGCTCCTGGTGCCTGAAGTCCCGTCGAGCCTTGGCCTGGAGACCACTTAGTCTTGACATTTAAGATTGTGGAAAACTTGCAAATCCACTCTGAACTCGAAATCAAATTTCGCACAATTATTAAAAGAGCTGGTTTTCCAATTTAAAAAATAGTCACTCAATCCACGGCTATTTGTGGGACATTGCTGTGTGAAATTGACTGCCGTGTTTCACCCACAAAATAAACAGTTCACACACCCCACTATATTATGTGAAGCACTTTGAGACATCTCAACAACATAATAGGGCACTGTATCAAATGCAAGGATTATCATTATTGAGAATTTTCTTCTCTTTTAAGAAAAATAGTTTGATAGGCTAAAACTAGGTGGAATTTCAGGCATCCAATGATCATCTTGTGACCTTGCTGGTTAGTATAAGGCATACCTGGATTGAACCTACCTATGATCACTAACTGAACATCCTGCTAACTCTCACTGTTCACAATTGGGGTGGAAATGCTCACAAGTTGATACAAAGCAGTGACGTTTAGGAGATCATTTGTTGCTCTTGGTGGCATCCCAGTGTTTCACTGCATACTGGTATTGAATGCTTTTTCTCTTCAATCATTATGTAATTACCAATTAATGTTATACTCAATCAACCCAGTAACCAACCACAACAGGAACAACAACATTGCAGAAACCAGGAGCTCTGGTGGAATGGTTGTGCTGAGGGGTTGTTACCTCTTGTACTCAGTGAGTGGGGCCCAGCTCTTGCCATCCGGGAAGCAGAAGAGCGGAATAGCTTTAAGTAAGCTCTCCTCCTCCTCCTTCTGAGAGCGCAGCAGATTCTCTCTCTGTAAGTGGACAAGAAACTCGTCAGCTGCATAACTGGTATAGATAGCACAGCCAGCTATGCCCAACCACAACTACATTCCTCAGCCCCCATCCCAATCCTGGCCCCAATCCCCAGCCCCAATCCCTCCTCCCCTTATTTCCTGAGAGCCCAAGATTCACCTTGGCATTGAGGCCTCCAACCCCTCCTGATCCTAAACCCCAGATCGGGTGCAAACCCTTAACTGTCCCCAAAGTCCCCATACACCCCCCACACATATACAACACCCCCCACCCACAAACCCCTCCCCCAACACACCATCCACACACATACCCCACACGCATACCCCCACCCAGCCAGCAGCCCCCACCCCCCACACAACCCCCGTGCTCACACACACCGCCCTGGAATCTGCTGGGAATGGGTGACAACAGCGTCAAGGTAGAGAAACAAGCTGAGCTCCTGCCTACCTTGGGAAACTGGTATGTTATCTGTGGTTCATAACTGGCTCCAGATTTCTTGAGTGACACAACGACCAGGTATTCGAAGAAGAGCTTGCCACAGTGCCACGAGGTCTCCTTCACCTTTGTGTCCTCTTGTGAGAGGCTCCTCTCCACCGAATTCCCTTTCTCACCAACTGTTGGAAGAAGACGCAGTTTACACTGATAGAATCTCAGAGTGAGTCGGCAGGGTCTGGCCCCTGTGCATGGTGGCTGTCACGCTCTCTCTCTCTCACTTCCTCCTCTACAAGATGAGCAGTTTGGTTACGCAGTTATCAGAGACTTTCTCCAAACACAAGCAGCTTCTTCAAATCCACAGCTCTAACCTTTGTGACTGCTCCTTCCTATGTCTCACGTTATTCCTCCTGTGTCTGTTTTATTTAACACTTTCTTTCTAGCTTTAACCATTTTTCCGGGTTTTAACATTTCCCAATAATCTTTGATTTTGTCGTAGTGCCTATAAAGTCAAAATGGCTCAAAGCACTTTGTAGGGATAATTACTGTCAAGTATTTATAAGCAAATGTCACAGTCAATTTACATACAGCAATGCCCGACAAACAGCCATGAAGTGAATAGGAACGCAGGTACAGCATTACCTCGAGCCTGTTCCACCATCTATTAGATAGTGGCTGATCTGTACCTGAACTCCATTTACCTACCTTTGCCCTATATCCCTTGATCCCCTGACCCAACAAATATCTAAATCACCTCAGTCTTGAAAATGTGAATGGATCCAACCAACCATAATCCACAATCTTTTTGGGGGAGAGAGAGAGATTTCCAGATTTCCACTAGCCTTTGGGTGAAAAACTGTCTCCTGTTTTCAATCCTAAATGGTCTGGCTCTAATTTTAAGATGATGCCCCCCTTGTTCTGGAACAATTAATCAGATTGATTGTCAGCTAGGATACTGGGAGAAACTCTTGTCTCTTTTTCAATCATGTCACGGAATTAAACAGGCAGACACCACCCCCCCACCACCAAACACACACACATACCCCACACCCTCACACACATCCCACAGCCTCCCGCCACACACCCCCTCCCCACACAATGTCTCATCTGAAGGAAGGCACCTCCGTCAAGTCAGCTCTCCCCCAGCACCGCACTGGAATGTAAGCCTAGACTGTAAATGAAACTACAAGATTGGTTTAGTCCATCTGATTTCATCCCTCCAGAACCCCCAACCTCTATTCCCCATCACAGAATCAAACTGATTTTAAACAAGTCCCAGTATCTTGGTGTCAACCACCTTTCCTGTGACTGTTCCAGCCGTTAATCACTCACTGGTTAAAGAAAAACCTCCAGGGGTGTGTCCCGAAATTGCCCTTTACAACTCTTGATACCCAAGGCTCTGGCCCGCTCCACGTCCCCCACCTGGCCCACCCCATCATCGTTGATCTAGCCTTCAGCCTCGCTGGCCCAACTTTTGGAACTCCATCCCACAGTCCCTTCGCCGTGCTCCCTCCCTTCCCTCCTTCAAAGGTCTCAAGACCCTCCTCTTCAATCGCACCTTCGGCCAACCTGGTACCCTCTACCACCCCTGCCCTCCACACCCCGATCCCAACCCCAGCTCAGGCTCAAATCTCTGTCCAGCAATTTGAGTGAAAGGCGCTATGTAAATGTAATTTGTTGTTGTTGCTGTTGAACTTTCCGACCCAAAAGCGAGAGCACGAGCATTAGAATGAAGAAGAATCCTGCCCAATAATCATTTAGCATCGCAATTCATCAAATTCTTGCTGTTTGCGAGTAAGTGCTGTGTTTGTCCCTATAACAATTGCTACACTTCAGAGTAATTCATTATGTGAGATGCCTTTGATGTGACGCAGCACGAAATAGTGTGAATTATTGTAGATGTACCTTGTAGATATTATCCCCTTCCTGTGGGAAGTCCCTGCGGAAATGACAACAACGTGGCAGCTGAAAGTGTCCACATTGCTTTTAGTCCAATCATTTTGTAAAGTCAGGTTATTGGGGATTACGATTGTTGTGATTAATCAACTAACATCCGCTGGTTTGACTATAATTTAACAGCATGTTTAAGACCAAATAAACTTGATCATTTATTTTATGGATGTCTGGGGGGGCGTTGCTATGTGCAAATTGGCTGCCCGAGTTTGTCTACAGAAATACCTCGTCACTACATTTTAAAGTAAAGGCCATTAAGCACTTTGAGACATTCTGACCACTGTTAAGGCGCTATATCAAATACAAGGGCAATGATGTGATAACTATCACCTCACAGGTCACAAGTTTCACTCTAATATTTCAGTCGGGATTCCTCAACAAGGAATTAATACAGAAATTGGGTCACAAACACACACCTCCACCCCCCCCCACACACCTCCACCCCCCCCTCACACACCTCCACACCCCCACACACACCTCCACCCCCCCCACACACACACCTCCACCCCCCCACACACCTCCACCCCCCCACACATACCTCCACCCCCCCCACACACACACCTCCACCCCCCCACACACACCTCCACCCCCCCACACACACCTCCACCCCCAACCCCACACACACCTCCACCCCCCACACACCTCCACCCCCCCCATACACACCTCCACCCCACACACACCTCCACGCCCCCACACACCTCCACCCCCCCCACACACACCTCCACCCCCCACACACACACCTCCACCCCCCCCCCACACCTCCACCCTCCCCCCCCCACACCTCCAACCCCCCACCCCACACCTCCACACCCCCCCACACACCTCCACCCCCCCACACACACACCTCCACCCCCCTACACACCTCCACCCCCCCTACACACCTCCACCCCCCCTACACACCTCACCAGCCCACACCTCAACCAACCCCACCAGCCCACACCTCAACCAACCTCACCAGCCCACACCTCACCAGCCCACACCTCCACACCCCCACACACCTCCACCCACCCCACACACACCTCCACACGCCCCCACACACACCTCCTGGGTGGGGTTGGTTGAGGTGTGGGCTGGTGAGGTGTGGGCTGGTGAGGTGTGGGCTGGTGGGGTTGCTTGAGTTGTGGGCTGGTGAGGTGTGGGCTGGTGGGGTGTGGGCTGGTGAGGTGTGGGCTGGTGGGGTGTGGGTTGGTGGGGTGTGGGCTGGTGAGGTGTGGGCTGGTGGGGTGTGGGCTGGTGGGGTGTGGGCTGGTGAGGTGTGGGTTGGTGGGGTGTGGGCTGGTGAGGTGTGGGCTGGTGGGGTGTGGGCTGGTGAGGTGTGGGCTGGTGGGGTGTGGGTTGGTGGGGTTGGTTGAGGTGTGGGCGGGTGAGGTTGGTTGGGGTGTGGGCTGGTGAGGTGTGGGCTGGTGGGGTGTGGGCTGGTGAGGTGTGGGCTGGTGGGGTGTGGGCTGGTGGGGTGTGGGGTGTGGGCTGGTGGGGTGCAGTGAGGGGCTGGCGTGGTGTCGGGTGGGGTCAGGCGGGCTGGGGGGGTGTACCTCCTCTGGACTGTGGCCTTGCGGGCCAGGTCAGCCTCCTGAAGCTCCTCCTGAGACCTCGAAAGTTGTCCATGTGTCACTGTGGTCTGCGATACACACACAATCACCCGGTTATTAACCATAATAATTCTGGCGTTTGATACTGAGCCTTTATTACATTAACAAAACATCTCAAAGCGCTTCACAGGGTTTTAATTGTGAAGTGTAGTGACTGTGAATGTTTGCAGGTGAACGTGGCAGCCAATTTGCACGAGGAACAAACAGCCAAAATAATAATAATAATCATCCTGACATTTGACACATCGTCAGAGACGTCACAAAGCGCTTCACAGGATTTGACTGTAAATGTCACTGTGAAGTGACTGTGCGCCGGTGCCATCGGCGCCGCGTTCCGCCCACAAAATACAGTCCGTTCACTTTACAGCGTATCCGCTGAAGCGCTTGGAGACGCCTCGAAGACGGGATACAGCTCTGGGGCAAAGGTCGGGATTATTCTTATCATTATTTTGTACATGAATCAGCGAACGGTACCGCCCGAGAGCCCGACACCGGCACCGGCACTCCGGGAGGCCGGGCACAGGGGGGCAGCGCCTCCAGCCCCGGGGGGGGGGTGGGGGGGGACGGGCTGCCAGCCCCGGGTGTGGGATGTGGGGGGGGGATGGGCTGGGGGTGTGGGGATGGGGTGTGGGGGGGGGATGGGGTGGGGGTGTGTGTGGGGGTGTGTGTGTGGGGAGGTGGGGGTGTGAGGGATGGGGTGGGGTGTGGGGGTGGGGGGGGGACGGGCTGCCAGCCCCGGGTGGGGGTTGTGGGGGTGTGTGTGTGGGGGGGGTGGGGCTGTGGGGGTGTGGGGGTGTGGGGGGGGGCTGTGGGGGGGCTGTGGGGGTGTGGGGGGCTGTGGGGCTGTGGGGGCTGTGGGGGGGGGCTGTGGGGGGGGGGGGCTGTGGGGGGGGGGCTGTGGGCTGTGGGGGTGTGGGGGGGGGGGGTGGGGGGGCTGTGGGGCTGTGGGGGTGTGGGGGGGGCTGTGGGGGGGCTGTGGGGGGGCTGTGGGGGTGTGGGGGGGCTGTGGGGGGGGGGCTGTGGGGTGTGGGGGGGCTGTGGGGGGTGGGCTGTGGGGGGGCTGTGGGGGGTGTGGGGGGGCTGTGGGGGTGGGGGGGGCTGTGGGGGGTGTGGGGGGGGGGTGGGGGGTGTGGGGGTGTGGGGGGGGGCTGTGGGGGGGGGGGCTGTGGGGGGTGTGGGGGGGCTGTGGGGGGGGGCTGTGGGGGGGCTGTGGGGGGGGGGCTGTGGGGGGGGGCTGTGGGGGGGGCTGTGGGGGGGGGGGGGGCTGTGGGGGGGGGCTGTGGGGGGGCTGTGGGGGCTGTGGGGGGGCTGTGGGGGGGGCTGTGGGGGTGGGGGGGGCTGTGGGGGTGTGGGGGGGGGGCTGTGGGGGGGGCTGTGGGGGTGTGGGGGGGGGCTGTGGGGGGTGTGGGGGGGGCTGTGGGGGTGTGGGGGCTGTGGGGGGGCTGTGGGGGGTGTGGGGGGGGGGCTGTGGGGGGGCTGTGGGGGGGGCTGTGGGGGGGGGCTGTGGGGGGGGGCTGTGGGGGGGCTGTGGGGGTGTGGGGGGGCTGTGGGGGTGGTGGGGGGGCTGTGGGGGGGGGGCTGTGGGGGGGCTGTGGGGGGGGCTGTGGGGGTGTGGGGGGCTGTGGGGGGTGTGGGGGGGGGGCTGTGGGGGGGGCTGTGGGGGGGCTGTGCGGTGTGGGGGGGGCTGTGGGGGGGGCTGTGGGGGTGTGGGGGGCTGTGGGGGGGGCTGTGGGGGGCTGTGGGGGGGGGGTGTGGGGGGGGGGCTGTGGGGGGCTGTGGGGGGGGGCTGTGGGGGGGCTGTGGGGGGCTGTGGGGGGGGGCTGTGGGGGGCTGTGGGGGGGGGGGGCTGTGGGGGGGGGCTGTGGGGGGGGGGCTGTGGGGGGGGGCTGTGGGGGGCTGTGGGGGGGGGCTGTGGGGGGGCTGTGGGGGTGTGGGGGGGGGCTGTGGGGGGGCTGTGGGGGGGGGGCTGTGGGGGGGGGCTGTGGGGGGGGGCTGTGGGGGGGGGCTGTGGGGGGGGCTGTGGGGGGCTGTGGGGGGGGCTGTGGGGGGGCTGTGGGGGCTGTGGGGGGGGGGCTGTGGGGGGGGGCTGTGGGGGGCTGTGGGGGCTGTGGGGGGCTGTGGGGGGGCTGTGGGGGGGGGCTGTGGGGGGGCTGTGGGGGGGGCTGTGGGAGGCTGTGGGGGGCTGTGGGGGGCTGTGGGGGGGGGCTGTGGGGGGCTGTGGGGCTGTGGGGGGGGGCTGTGTGGGGGGGGCTGTGGGGGGCTGTGGGGGGCTGTGGGGGGGGGGCTGTGGGGCTGTGGGGGGCTGTGGGGGGCTGTGGGGGCTGTGGGGGGCTGTGGGGGGGGGGCTGTGGGGGGCTGTGGGGGGGGCTGTGGGGGGCTGTGGGGGGGGGGGGCTGTGGGGGGCTGTGGGGGGGGGGGGGCTGTGGGGGGCTGTGGGGGGGGCTGTGGGGGGGGGGGGGGGGGGGGGGGCTGTGGGGGGCTGTGGGGGGGGGGGGGCTGTGGGGGCTGTGGGGGGGGGCTGTGGGGGGCTGTGGGGGGGGGGGCTGTGGGGGGCTGTGGGGGGGCTGTGGGGGGGGGGGGGCTGTGGGGGGGCTGTGGGGGGGGGGGCTGTGGGGGGCTGTGCTGCCGGTAACTGGGGGGGAATTTCCATTCTCAACAAAACTTACTTTCGCTTTTGACGGTGTTCTCGGTGTTGAGCCGCCGCCGGTGATCGGTTTTCCTGTCCACCCGTCACTGTGAGGGCGGCTCTCGGGTGCAGCGCTCCGGCCCGTCCGGCCCGCGGGCCACCAAACTCTCTGCTGAGCCGCTCCGCTGTGAGTCTGAGCTCCGCCGCGCGGTCCCGTCCGACAATCACTGACTGAGAGCCGCTCAAACCTCTCCCTCTCTCCCTCTCTCCCGCACACCCCCCGCGCACAGCCACTCCCTCACTGTACACACAGCGCTTAACCACTCCCCGAACACAGTCACTTCAGTGGCGGTGACAATGATAACCGACCCTTTGACTGAGCTGAGCCCTGGGATACTGGCCGAGGGCACTGCCCTGCACTACACTGCCCTGCACTGCACTACACTGCCCTGCACTGCCCTGCACACTGCCCTGCACTACACTGCCCTGCACTGCCCTGCACTACACGGCCCTGCACTGCACTACACTGCCCTGCACTGCCCTGCACACTGCCCTGCACTACACTGCCCTGCACTACACACTGCCCTGCACTGCCCTGCACTACACTGCCCTGTACTGCCCTGCACTACACTGCCCTGTACTGCCCTGCACTCCACTGCCCTGTACTACACTGCCCTGCACTGCCCTGCACACTGCCCTGCACTGCCCTGCACTACACTGCCCTGCACTACACTGCCCTGCACTGCCCTGCACTACACTGCCCTGCACTGCACTACACTGCCCTGCACTGCCCTGCACACTGCCCTGCACTACACTGCCCTGCACTGCACTACACTGCCCTGCACTGCCCTGCACACTGCCCTGCACTACACTGCCCTGCACTGCACTACACTGCACTGCCCTGCACTACACACTGCCCTGCACTACACTGCCCTGCACACTGCCCTGCACTGCCCTGCACACTGCCCTGCACTACACTGCCCTGCACTGCACTACACTGCCCTACACTGCCCTGCACACTGCCCTGCACTACACTGCCCTACACTGCCCTGCACACTGCCCTGCACTACACACTGCCCTGCACTACACTGCCCTACACTGCCCTGCACACTGCCCTGCACTACACACTGCCCTGCACTACACACTGCCCTGCACTACACACTGCCCTGCACTACACTGCCCTGCACTGCACTACACTGCCCTGCACTACACACTGCCCTGCACTACACACTGCCCTGCACTACACACTGCCCTGCACTGCACTGCACTACACACTGCCCTGCACTGCACTACACTGTACTGCACACTGCCCTACACTACACACTGCCCTGCACTACACACTGCACTACACTGCACTACACACTGCACTGCACTACACACTGCCCTGCACTACACACTGCCCCGCACTACACTGCACTGCACACTGCACTGCACTACACACTGCACTACACTGCACTACACACTGCACTGCACTACACACTGCCCTGCACTACACTGCACTGCACTACACACTGCCCTGCACTACACTGCACCGCACACTGCACTGCACTACACACTGCACTACACTGTACTGCACACTGCCCCGCACTGCACTGCCCCGCACTGCACACTGCCCCGCACTACACACTGCCCCGCACTGCACTGCCCCACACTGCACACTGCCCTGCACTACACACTGCACTGCACTACACTGCCCTGCACTGCACACTGCTCACTGCCCCGCACTGCACTACACTGCCCTGCACTGCACACTGCCCCGCATTACACTGCTCACTGCCCCGCACTGCACTACACTGCCCTGCACTGCTCACTGCTCACTGCCCTGCACTGCACTACACTGCCCTGCACTGCTCACTGCCCCGCACTGCACTACACTGCCCTGCATTGCTCACTGCCCCGCATTACACTGCTCACTGCCCCGCACTGCACTACACTGCCCTGCACTGCTCACTGCTCACTGCCCTGCACTGCACTACACTGCCCTGCACTGCTCACTGCCCCGCACAACACTGCTCACTGCCCCGCACTACACTGCACTGCCCCGCACTACACTACACTGCACTGCCCTGCACTACACTACACTGCACTGCCCTGCACTACACTGCACTGCCCCGCACTACACTGCACTGCCCCGCACTACACTACACTGTCCTGCACTACACTGCACTGCCCCGCACTACACTGCACTGCCCCGCACTACACTGCACTGCCCCGCACTACACTGCACTGCCCCGCACTACACTACACTGTCCTGCACTACACTGCACTGCCCTGCACTACACTGGCTGATTGGGTTCATAATCTACATTGACCTGAATGAAAGCAGTAAGAAGGTCTATCTATCTATGTTCCAGATTTTAGAAGAAATAATTGTTTGTAAGTCACATTTTTATAGCTCCTTATCGCGCCAAAACATCTCCAAGCAGTTAGTAAGCAATTATTGGCAAGTGCAGCGGCCTTTTTAATTGGAAAACGTGGCAGGCATTTATTTACACAAAGGAAGGTCCCACAGACACATGATTACATGACGTGTCAGCTTGGCGCAGTTGGTCACCTTAGCGCTCTTGCCTCTGAGTCAGAAGGTTGTGGGTTCAAACCCCACGTCACGACTTGGAATCACAGGTCTAAGTTGACAGTCGGGGGTATAAGTATAAACCAACCAATAGCAGATCTAATGGGATCTTTGGGAGAACTTCTTCACACAGAAGGTGGTGACAATGTGGAACTTACTGCCAGATGCTTTGATTGATGCAAAAAGCATCAATATATTTGACAACAACAACAACATTTATATAGCCCCCCTCACGCAGGGTAACACCTCAGAGCACTTGACAGTGGCGGAGTACAACACCAAGCTGGGGGGAGGTGACTGTAGGCATGGGAGAAGGGGGAGGTCTTCGGGTGCAACCTGGAGATGGGGAAGGAGGGGGCAAGGTGGAGGGATAGAGGAAGAGTATTCCAGAACTGTGGCTGAAAGCTCAGGAGGGCATGAGGAACATGCAGGAGGCTGGAGCCAGTCGAGCGGAGGTTGTGGGTTGGGGAGTAAGCAGGTCGGAGAGGTAGGGAGGTGAAGGGATTTGAAGATGAGTGTGAGGATCTTGAAATTGAGAAGAAACTATGCATATGGGAGGGAGAAGGGAATAGAGTGGTGTGGAAATGGGGATTAAGGGGGGATGGAAAGCTCATGTATAAACATTGTTGCCTATTGGGTGGGCCGAATGTCTGCGTAATTCTAGGAGAAGTCTCCTCCCAAAGGCGGTGTCTCGGACAGTGCTTTCTCAGGCCTTTACTGAAGTGTCAACCCAAGGGCTGACATGGTTAGGGTTTGAACCCACCCATGTGGTGTTCTGTAGCTCAGTGGTTAGAGCACTCGCTTCGCAAGCGACAAGACCTGGGTTTGATTCCCGTGCAGGGCGATACGTTTGGCAAGTTTCCTTACTCCACACGGCTCTGTTTACCAGCAGTAAGTAGAAACCTGGGAATGGGCACCTCGCTTTTCCAGGGGTAATAATCCCTTCATAAATAATAATAATAATTTAGTCACTCAATTCACGACTGTTTGTAGGACACTGCTGTGCGCAATTGAATGTCGCAATTCATCCACAAAATATTCAGTCAATTCACTTTACAGTATATTCTGTGAAGGGCTTTGAGATGCCTCGAAGAAGTGACTATTATAATCTTCTGACCTGGAGCTGAGCCAGGCTGACAAGAACGATAGGACCTAAATTTTGCACATTGTTCTTGCTGTGAAACAGTGGGTACCGCAGTTTCAATGAACAGGAAGTGGTCAGAAGTTACTGGAAATGGCAACATGTATATAAATAGACCACACAACTAATGGGGCACAACTAATGGGGTGCTAGGGGTGGAAGAGGGTAGAAAATGAGCACTTTACAGTGACGTGGTGATGGGTGCATACACACTTGCACCTTTCTACCCTACAGTCACTTTAATTTACAGCATTTCCCCCCCTCCCACTCCAGGGAACTGAAGGAGCCTGAGGGAGGAGAGATTAAAGGGTAATGTGATTGAGGTGTTTAAAACAAATAAGGGAATTGACAATCTGGGGAATGGGCACCTCTTCCCTCCGGATATCAAGGATACATCATCTTACAATTACAGCTAAAGTAGTTAAAAGCAAAAATGTCTCTTAATAATCTTTACATTTGATAACAACAACTTGCATTTATACAGCGCCCTTCATACTGGATGGCATGACCCGCTAGGTAAACAGAGGAGTGTGGAGTAAGGCAATTTGCCTACGGTTTCGCCCTGCCTGAGAATCAAATCCAGGTCGTCTCGCTTGAGGGACGAGTGCACTAACCAATTATGGAGTCGTTTAGCTCAGTTGTTAGTGCACACGCCTCATAAGCGAGAGATCTGTGTTCGATTCCTGGCAGGGCGAAAAGTTGAGCATGTTTCCTAACTCGACATGTCAATGTTTATCTAGCAGTAAATAGGAATTAGGTTGTTAGTCGATTGGCAGATCGCTTTCTGTGGGTAATATTAGCTAAAAAAATCACTCAATCAATGACCGTTTGTGCGAAACTTCTGTGCACAATTGGCTGCCGCGTTCGCCTACAAAATATAGTCAATTCACTTTACTGTAGATTCTGTGAAGTGCTTTGAGACGTCTCAAAGACATGATAAGCTGCTATTATATTCTACAGGACTCCACAGATAAAGGCCGAATAGGAGCTTGCTAGTACACGACTCATGTTTCTTGGAACAGGGAAATTCCCCTGCAATTCCTCACTCAATGACTTTTCGACCCCAGCCAGATTGAGCTGGTAATACGCAAGTAGGGATGAGATGTTTATCAGTTCCAAGAGCCTATGTAGAATGCATAACCTCGGTGCACACATAGATCAGTGTGCACAATCGATCAGTTCATAGAAATAGGTTGTAGTAAAGCACTAACATTCATCTAGAACTTCAATCGGGATCTTCATAAGGGAGCCTTGATAGTTGGGAAGTAAGGGATGTAGAAAAAAGTGGGACTAAAGATCTGGCATGATCCCAATAAACTGGCAAAACAGGTTTGATGATCTTCAGCACCTTGGGACGTCCTCCCAATGTGAAAGGCGCTATACCAATGTCATTTGTTATTGCTGTTGAACGGCCTCCTCCTGTGGCTAAATTAATAGCTGGTGTCTGGTGCACATACTGGAGAGGGAATGGGCTGGGCTGCAAAGCTGAGGAGGTCCATGAGCAGAGCACGGCAAGGTATGATGGAACAGTTTTGGGGGGGTTGGGGTGTTGGTGTGCACACAGTTTCCAGACACCCTGGAGTAAATAAATAAGGTAGATTCCGGGAACCCATTGGTATCAGGTTACATGAAAAACGCCTGTGTTCCAACCCATATTCAAAGTAGACTGGGAACTGACAGGAGGAGTGTAAGTGTTGGCAAACTGTGTGCTTCTAATCCAGCTGTAGCTGCTGTCCTCAGGG